CAGGCTGGCTACGCCACTGGTCGCGTATAAACCGTGTTTCGAAAATCTGAGTCCCTGTGATATAAGCTTAGATATTTTGGCTGAGGCTTTCCCAAAGTCCGCAGTTTACACTGCGAAAATCGAGTTCAAAATTGGAATATAAGACCAGGCCTCTATATATAGGCTTACAGTCTCGGGTATTTTATCATTAAAATTATGCTAGCTTACATGTATATAGGGGCAAAACTGATCAGCCGGAATATTTAGCCGGACAAACAATTAGCTGAATAAGCTGTTGGCATAATATATATATACAGTAGTTCAGCAAAGACAGTGCTCAACAAAATTTCCAATTTCATGCATACATATTCAGTTAAAGTAAAGATTACATGTATATTCTTTAGTCGTTGTTTATGTTCATAACTGAACAGCTATATATATATATATAGTTTAGCCGTTCTTCGAGCGCATGTTAACTTTACCTATATATAGTCTATAAACTTACTTTTTCTTGTGTACTGATAGATCTTTTAGCCGCCAAATGAAAACGAAATCAACACTGAATCGTCCAAGAGCGATAAAGCAGCTACATAGTTGTAATGTAGTTATAATCCCGACGGCACTTTCACACCTTGGCCTCGACAAATACAGACGTTGAACATGCATTTGTCCAAATGGTAGTCGCCTTGCAGTTGCCGTTCGGTCAATCAACTTTAGGTTTAACAAGCTGTTCTAACTATACCAAATATCATGTAAAGCACGATATCGTACTGAGGTTCTTTCAGCCCATACCAAGGTCCAAAGATTTGATAAAACCGATCATGCATGCATGGCATTAAAACTGAATCCGAAATGAGAATCAGAATATAATACAATGATAGGCAAACAATGGAAACGTACCATATACAACCATAGCTATTGCTTCATACTCTTTAGCCCTATACCCAAGTGCCGAATGGATTATAAACGCACGATTATGTGCTCGTTTTGAGAAACATTATACGTACTGCAAAACAAAAATCTGAAAGAAGCTTGGCTGTAATACTAATATATATATATACAGTATAGGAATACAAATACTGTAACTAATGCATAAAATGCGTTATGCATCGATATGAATTATAAACAATACAGAGTGCTATATATAATATCCATCCATCACCTAAAGTTCTAAATGATAAGATTTCCACATGTATTTGCATGGTAGAAAATGGTGTCTGTGCAAAGTCGTCTACGAGACATTAACCCGCAAATATAAGGAATGCGAATGCTGTAACTATAATGCATAAATGATGTTAATCTATGTATATACAAATTATGAACAATACAGAGGTTATATAAACTTATATATATCCTATCAATTAGTTTGATTTTCGTAGGGCCGTGTAACATTTAAAAGTGAAAAGAAAAAAGTTGAACTTATTGCTATATACATGCAAATTATAATTTATGTTTGCTGATTCCAGGTCTTAGATCCAATACATAAAGCTCTCTTCATGGAATTAGTATTTGGTTTTGATTTCAGAATTGTAGGTGTTAAATTGTAATTAAAATTGTTCCATATTTGAAGAAAACAGCCTTATATCTCTGTGGGACAATTATAAATTATTCCATTTTTCCTTATTGTGTTTTTTATCCTGATATTTGTTTTGATCGAACGTCATGATGATCACCCGCGTATAGTTGTGATGTAAAGCGTGTACCAGAAAAGAGACCAATTGTTAGCATTTGAAGCGGGCGGAAGCTTCACGCGCACGGATTTTTGGCGCACAGGAGAGAAGACTGTAAGTCGGCAAACGGTGCTTTCTTGAAAGAGAGAAGGGGCCGTAGAAGGTCAAGCGCTATTGAATAAACAATGTAAACATATAAAAAAACTGTTTTGTTTGATACAGGTTATTCTGCTGGGCAGAACAACACAGAAGTACATGTTGAAAGAAGCCTCAAAACAAGTGCCAAAAAAAACTTCTTTCGGTTGTTTTATATATACATTAGCCAATATGTGCATGGTTTTCGTCAGTCAGACAATAGATTATTTCTTAGATATACTGCCTTCACAAAGGCTGATTTACACTCCTGCATTCACTACACTCAGAAAAGAGAAAATCTTTTCCCAAAGATCGAGAAAGCATTTTTTCATCATCAATGAAATGAGTACTGACAATGGACATCTCTCTGAGCGTAAACGAGTAAATTATTTGTTTTTTTTACCTGTTTTCATTATCAGCTCTTACACAGCTAGATATATACTGGGCTGGGACAGAGTACCTTTTCAAATTTGTATATCAATAGTATTTAGGCTAGCTGGTTTTCATTTAGACATAATTGTTGTGAACATGTCAGGGTGATTAATGTATTTATAGAATAGTGCTACGTTTTTGCAGTCATCAACAATGACTGATTTGACAAATCTATATCCGGACTATTTCAATCGATGAAAATAACTTGTTCACGGCAATTGCATGTGTTCAACATTATCACAATAGAAAACTATATACCTTATAAAAACCTATACCCTTTTTCTGGACGCTGTCTAGATACATCTATAATCAGCGATTACAGAGGCAGTCTAGCAAATTTGAACCTTATATTGCACATACTCGTTCTTAACTGATTACTGGAATGCCTGTATTTTCGTTAAACGGCCTTTGAGGCATATCACAAATTTGATAGGCCATAACTAATCTCAAGCATTTCCTGTCTAGGCGTACGTGTCATACCAATGAAGATAGATGGTGTTTGGTATGAGAGATAAGCCCGTTACATGCATTTAATTAATGTTTTTACTAAAATCAACGAGTAGGAAGAGTCCGTAGTTTGGGATCCAATAATTATACAAAGTGCTTGGAAAGGCTAAAAAAAATGTTTTTCTAAAACGTTACATTAGTTTTTCAATTGGACGAAGAAGTCGGACGCCAAAATATCGAAATAACTTACAGAGAAATCCTTTCTGAATAAAAGGAAGGAAAAATATCGGATTTGTGTATATTTACATGCATACAAATTATTGACTAATGTCAAGAAAAGGTCAAGCAATGTCAGGGGCGGGAAAAATTTACTGATTGAAAGCTTCGCGCGTATCAATTTGATCGGCAATCGCAGACAGTCGGCGATTTTCATCGTTCGTAGTCGCTGATGCATAAAATGCTTTATCCTTTTGAAAAATGCTTTCATTGTTCACTGCCACTGGATCGCAAAGCATCACCAACTCGGTGAATGATATAAAAATCAGCCTTAAAGCCTGGTTTTCATGTGTCACCGACGGTCGGCGATCGCCATTGTCGGCGATCGATTTCATTGATAAATGAAGAAATTATTATTATGAGGAAATTAGAATTAGAAATTAATATAATGTTCTTTTGAAGAAATTTCCTCGTAAAGAAATTTCCTGCAGTGTATGTCGGTATACGGTTGTCGATAGCGTCAAGGGAATTGTCGGATTTGTAAAGCTCCTGATTAACATGCATCTCTTTTTGCTACTCTAAAACGAGAAACAAAATACAATCTTCCCTCTCTAATCTCTTCCTCTTTTTCAAGCAGGAAGACGAAAATGCCGAGAAACGAGACATAGGATCTTGGCCTCATTATTATACCTGGAACTGTGGAGTGTCAGATATTCCACCTTCCTAAGTGCATCTTAATTGCTGATGGTGATGTTGGTCAGAGACATTGAAGCCGGGTGACGGCAAATGGTATATAGGGGAGCAACCGTTCAACGTACGCCATAATTCTGGCAAATATGAGGGAAGAAAAAAATTGACATCGTCGAGGAAAAGGAGAATTTAAAATAGTGCATGACACTATTTACCGTCTGAAAAGCTCGCTCATACCTGTTCTGCATGACCTTTGAAATCCCTGTTAAAAGACCATGTCTGCGATCAACGGAACGGCAAACTCTCTTATATGTTGAACCAACTCACAATTATTATTGCAGTCTTCAAATTTAAAGTCCCTCTAAGGCAATGTAAACTCGGCACAATAATATTACATGACTGTACAATCACTTTCTATTTAACTAATACACCGAACCACTCAGCTGTCGTACCAGATTAGATGTTTAGAAATTTTCATTAGATGTTTAAACCTATAAGGGCTGGTTTTTATTTAGCCGTTATTTTCAGTTATTTTCACTGATGTGAAATTATATTGTCAAGATCGTCGTCTTTAATATTCTCTGTATGTAAATTGCTTTTGTGAATGCATACATACACTGCATAGCATTATCCTCAATGCACTAACCATCTTGACATGTTCACAAACAATTACGGTTAGAAGTAAACCAGCCCTAAAGACTTCTGGTCAGGCTTCAAAAGACCTTTTGTGTTCAAATAAATCTCGTTGTTTCGAATTTTTGCCGGTTAGAACGCTTGTACGTACGTGCAGCGAAGTGTTCTTGCATGCATGCGTACTTGCATGATTTTATTTCAACTATATATATATATGTTCGTATAAGATCAATGCTCAAACCATCGATAACGCTGTCCACGCCAGCTAAGATCATGTTTGGATTATCTTTAAACCAGACTAGAAGCTTAATTCACAAAGCATTTTTCGAATAAATTATGCGAACCACATAACGTGGTATTCAAAAGCGTTTTAAAACTATGGTAACGTTATAGCGATAATACTTTTCAACATTCTGTAACTTAATTGAGAAATGAACGTCTATTGAAGATTCTTAATCAACATTTGAAGTGAAGTAATTAAACAAAGAAAAAACACCATCTTGCCAGTGTTCATCTGTATATGCATAGAAAATTTTTAAAAAATGTGTGTTCCAGTGGTGTCCCCATGGAAACACGGAGACCTGCTGGTCTTATATTGTGTCGCTTCACTGTGGCAACAAAGAAGCTGATGATAATTGACCTTCCATTCCTATGGTCTAGAAATTCATATGGTCTATAGCGTATTCTCTCCCACTGCGTAGCTTGTATAGTTTAATTGTAATTTTCTGCCTAATTGCATTGGTGCATGCCAAAATTACGAACGACATCACTATATTTATGATAATATTATATAGCTTGGAAAAATCTCGAACGGATGTCACTTCTCTTCCATAACAAATGAAAAAAAATTGAAGCAGAGCAAGATCTGGTAGAAATGATCATCAGTATCGTCGGCTTTCGTCGCCTGTTGTATATCACAATAATATGATCGTGTATATACAGTATCATAATTGTATAGCTATTTACGTGTTTTTGTCAGAACATCACGGAATGTCTGAATGATTCATATATTTAAAACTGGCGTTGTTGTTAAATCGTTGTCAGAAAGATGTTTCAGAAAAGGTATGCTGGAGTGAAGTATATATATATTTAGCCCTTCTGAATTTTATGGTAGTAGTAATTTAACATGCACTCGGGAATAGATATAATCTGTGATATATATAATGTCATGGTATACTAGGTCTGTAATAGTGCATGATATAAGAGTTAGTATATAAAGAAAGCTCGCTGGAAGTCAAATTGTCCCAGTATATATGCAACTGCTCTCGAGTCTAGTGCATTTTGAAAGAAAGGAGTGCTTCGTTCTTATACATATCTCGCACTTGCGATCTAGTAAGATACAATCTGTGATATGAAAGTTCATGATCCACTCGGAGTCGAATTGTTTCGGACTTCCGGTATATATATACAACTGCTCTCGAGTTTTGTGCATTTTGTAAGAAAGGATTGCCTCGTTCTTATACATATCTCGCGCTAGCGGATCTAGTAAGATACAATCTGATATGAAAGTTGTTTGGAATTGTTTCGGACTTCCGGTATATATACAACTGCGCTCGAGTTTAGTGAATTCTATAAGAAACATGCCTCGCGGTTGGTCTTAATGTGACTCGATATAGCGAAATAAAAATTCAATCTCTCAGTCCTATACTCTAACGTATACGACGTCTGAGAGATTAATATTTGTTACAAGGCATGGTTATTCCCATGCAAATCTTCGTGTCATTCTTTAATATCTCGCTAGTGAAACCAGTTGGAATTTTGGCACCTCGACGAAGTTTTAGTATTTTTGCACAAGTGAATTGACACAAGAGCTGCATTTTTTCGCTTATCTCTGTAAGAAAAGTCCAAAAAACGACTAGCTGTCATCACCTGAAGGTGAATATAACAGCATATAATACGTCAAATTTGATCAATCAATATGTAAGATTTGTTAATATTCATACTGAAATGTGACCAAAACTAAAGTCGTGCTGCTTTCTCTACTGCGCTGAGATGTGTAGACTGTAGTCTTAATTCACGTCAATAAGAAAGAATACTAGTGCATGTAGCTAAACGATTAGCGATCATTTACCAAATTGCATGCCTACAGTCGTCGCTATGAATTGTCAATAAAACCAAATAAAGCAAAAAGCAGATTGTGGTAAAATTTCGCGTGACTATACCAGAAATTTGTGACATGGTGATTTGCATATATACTAATTAGCATTTCACTTTCAACAATAATGGCCTTTAACTTTTACTATAAAATACATATAGCAAAAGAAAAACACAAAAAATTGCCGTTGCCCTGGATTTTGCCCACTGTTTGCCGACCTCTGCTGGATCAATAGAACAGCCGTTTCGCAACGTTTTGATGATCGAATTTCTTACCTTGGGTGTTTCTACGTTCTGCCAACTGACTGTGTTCAAATGTGTATATATTCTTCGTATGGCTGAACTGCCTTATGAGACTGATAATATTTTTTAAAGATCCGGACTATATACAGGAAAAATTAATATCAAGAATTCATTCAAGCATTTCGATTCGGATTGTTAATGAATTGACGTGTAATATACCAAGAAATTTTGTTAAAGGCTTTAACAAAATTTCCTGGTATATTACACGTCAATTCATCAAAAATCCGAATCGAAATCCTCCTATGAGTGAGCGATTTTATAAGTTCGTTGAGAAAACACGGCCAAAATTTTGATCAATGCATCTTTAAATTTGGCGGACTGTAGAATACTCAAGGTAAAAGATTCGGTTGCCAGAACATTTCTAAACAGCTGTTCTATTCATCTAGAGGTCGGCAAACAGTGCTCCAAGTCTGCATGTGGCTCTGACGTAATGACGTTTTATAGTTTCACTCAATTTATTGCAAAGTGCAACACTTAATAATATTCTGAATAATACATTCATATATGTTCGCTTCTATACAATAACAAAAGATGGCCTCTTGGAATTATCATAAGGTTGCATAGCAGGACTAAATTGTCAGGCTGCATTTAAGCTTAACCTAATTTTCGCAAAATTAATAAAGTCATGCCCAATTTTTTCCTTATACTTTCAGAAAACTTTTAACGAAACTAATTCGCGTCCGTCACATCAAGATACTCCTAGTATTTCAATCCGTCATCACAACTTTCGCCGTGATGTACATCATGTACACTTCGTCCTATTTGGATCAGACCTCGAAATGGGAAATTTCATTAACCGACACGAGATGTCAAGGCTGCTGTGTTATGCACAACTCCAGCATCAATGCCATCGTTGCCGAACGTCATATCTCGGAGAAGCTCCACAAGTTTTCGCGGGCAATACGACAGTATGAAATTCCGCCTGACATCATGAACGTTCTACATGAGGCTGAGCACCTCATCGAGCAATTCGAACGAGACCTGAAAGAGTTTAGGCAACTAAAAGAGAATCGAAAAACTCTACTGAAAGAGAAGTATATTGAACAGGATGTCGCCGCTGCACAGGATCTTGTTCCCAAAGCCAGACCAAAGGGCAACAAAGGGCAAAAAAAGACTTGAATATTTAGATCTGAAGCCAACAGATCTTATACTAAGCTATGTTACTATTTTGCTCTTTACCAATTTAAGCCCCGTTTACACTACACTCAAATGGGCTAAAATGGGTACCCGTGCCCAATTTAATTAGTGCTCAGGCTACCATGTTCCGGGCACGGATGAAATAGCCACGGGTACCCATTTTAACCGTGCCGTGCTAATAAATCGAGTGTAGTGTGAACGGGGCTTTAAAGACATGAAATCAATTAAAGAGCTCTTATAATAATAGGAGTCTAGAGATAAGAATCTTTAGATTCTAGAGATAAGAATCTAAGATCTTTAAACTTAATCTTCACCAGAGCTTTGCATGGTCAGGTCAAAATTTTCAGGTCAAATTAAAAATTTTCCAGTATGTGTGAACATGTTTACCTGTGCAAGGCTTCAATAAAGTAAGTTTACCTTACGACAATCAAAGCTTCAAGCTCCGACCAGACTGGATCTCTCATTTGAGCGTGCTATCATGCCACATACGTATGCATGTACATTTGTTATTATTATATATAATTATATATATTGCCATGGGAATTTGCTACGGGTGTATTATGGCATAAAAATTTAAGAATTTGTCATTTGCATTCAATTTCACACGAGTTCGATCCATTACTCCTGCATGTAGAATATGATGCTTTGAAATCTTTGTAGAACTTTTTCCACATTAAAATACACGTCAACCATTGACAGCGCATCGATGGGTACGGTTATCAGGTATTAAATAATTTTTTAACCGAATATCCCTGCGTGGAAGAAATTTAAAAATTGATTAGCATCAAACAAAGAAACAACTGCATAATACTATAACCTAATAACTGTCTGCATATATGTATGCATACGATTACTTACCGGGGCAGAATAGATGAATAAAGCAAAGAGAAGTACAATGAGTATTAAAATAATTCCTCCGACGAAATACCACTTAAAATGATGCCATATAACGTATCGGAACGATTTCCACGGATTCAATATCCACAAGAATGATGTCTCAGGACGGCTGAAAACGAACAAAGACTGGGTCTTATTAATTCATTTGGTTCTATCTTATTCTAGGATGATATATTTTTATTTTCAATAGAAAATTGTCTTTCGAATTTCTAAGTCAAAAAGTTCAAAAATTAATAGAATAGTTTGCTTTTTGCTTCACTCCAGACTACAAACATATCTGACCGGCATGTATCACATATGATTTTCTGAAATAAACTTAATTTTTTATCATAGTATAACCAACTCCAAAATCACCCATTGTGCATGAACAGTTCTGGCAAGAGCTGGCTAACTCACACCAGTTATATAATCCCCAAGTTGTACCGAAATCTACCAAATCGATTTCTACCAAAATCACGGATGAATAATTTACATTAACATAATTTACATGCAAATTTCAAGAGACTCGGTTTCAAGGGACTATACTTTCTTATAAAGTGACCGATTTGCACAATAAGACGTATTTGCCGGGGAAACCATTTTGGCAACGACAGCATCCTATGTATAGTTTGTGAATAGATTTTTTTTCTTCTAGCTAATTTGACCCTTAATTGCTATAAGTAGGCCTACTGTCCAGAAAAACCTAACAAAAACCGCGGTTAACCTGGTCAAATCTCGGTCTGATCACGGTTGAACCGAGGTCTAACCGCAGTGAGACGGAGGTTAGACCTCGGCCTAACTCGGTTTGACAGACATTTCGTACGATTTTTTCGATTTGGTTATTGTGTTGTCCTTCTGAGCTGTTCATAACATTTCGTTTGGAAGCGAACGGCCACTGCGAAGGTACCGCGACCGAACCGCAACTGCCGTGTTAGGTTATTTTTGGACGTTTGGTTTAACTTACCGTGGTTTTGTCAACATTGGATTCCGATTTGGTTCAGACTGCCCTTTGCCGACTGGTGATGCTTTGGCATCCTCCTCTTCAAGCAACTCGAGGGTTAACTCGATTTTTCCCTAAATAATTGCCGGAATGAAAATTTTTAAAATGAAAATATTGCCACAAAACATTGTCTTATCCTTAAAAGAAGACTTTTGCTAGCTTCATTTGTGTTGTCTTTTCTCTTTGCCGGTCACATGCAGACATTTTGTTCTTTTGTTTTAGCTCATACATGTAAATGACAAGTCGTTACAATGAAATATTTGGCATTTATCTATAAAGCACCCAGTATAATAAGGTAATATAATGTTAATAAGATAAAGGTTGTCAAAGTAGACAACTACTTCTTCTTCTGTACATATGCAAACATTATAAGTAAAAATACATAATTCTTCTGTACATATGCAAACATTATAACTAAAAATACATAATATACAAAATTGTTTCACATGCATGCAGCATGCACCGATATTTTGCTTTACTCATTTGTAACAAGTAATGGGCATAAGGTTGGCATTGATGCAGGATCAATAAAATAATGATATTACTAATAGTTAAACTACAATGGGTTTCAAGTCACTGTTAGAAACTGAAGCAGCTAATATTCTTGTTTTTTGAAACTGTAGGCATGTACACGTATTACATTTATATTTCAATTGAATCATTTTTCCTACCGTTAGAACCAGTTGATTGGATTTCGCTTTTTCTTTATCTTTTCCTTTTTTTTTCTCTCTCCCATTTTCTTTCGGCTTTCCAGCAACAGGCCACCATCCTTTCACCCTTCTTTTGTCAAATAACGAATTTGTTTTCTCTGATAATGGCCAGTCAGTGATATCCTTTGCATTTCGATATGGTTTGGGTAAGTTTTGCAAGTCAAGTTTCACATCGCCTTCATTGAAAATGTGACAAAATTATTTTACAATTTCATTCAGTGTTGTATTGTTTTAGGGTGGCTCGGTATAGTTTTTAGATTCTACTTTGAATTTCAATCGTATTACTCAAATAATTGACAAGGTTTTTTAAAAATGACGATTAAAATCATGAAAAATTTGTCTTTGTAGTGTGATTGTCCCAGCTCGCCACGCCGCCCACGCGGCACGCCCGTGTCTTCTCTCGCGCGTAGTTTGCTGACGTTATTATAATTTCGATATTTCTGGATAAAAAGCATTGTATCTTCTTATATCACCTGGTGACCTAGTAGGTTGAAATTTGCGTATGGTTTTGTGCCGCAAAAAATGTAATTATACCTAGAATAAAATAATTATGTAATGCCAAAATTATTTGACTGAAGACAACGAATATTTGTCTTCCTAAGAAAATTGGCATTACAGAATTTGTTATATTTTGCGTATCGATAATTGGTTTTATTGGCAAAAACGTGCAACAAAAAAAATTGGGGGTCACCATGCTTTTTCGAAAACTATGCGAAAAATAGGTCATTTCATAGTCAACTCTGTACGCGTGTGTTGTCATAGCAACGGAATATATGCCTCAAAAAATCACAGAATTTGGAAGAAAATACGTTAGAATATATAAAAGTTTTCAAATCTGCTTCAAAAAACAATAAAATACAAAAATCAAGACCATCGAGTTCGGAAAGATAACGTCGACGTTTTTCTGTGATATTAGAGCTAGTGACAATATAATATATAAAACGAATACTGTATATTTTCATACCGATAAAATCGTCGAAACTCAACAGATCATTGTCCCATATTTCTATGATCAACAATGGCTGTACTTCTTCGGCATATTTACGACGACTTAGGAAATGTGCCTGCCAAAAAGAAAATAGTTGTACACTTGAAAAACAGTAAATAAGGAAACTGTCACGAAATAAAAAAATTTAAGGTTCTCCCAACAGTTTCTCCGTTGTTTCAAAGTTGGAGCGGTTCTCTAACAATTTTGACAGAGTGATAAATTTGTGTCTTCAAGAATATTGTTGGGGACGACGACGTAGTCGTATTTGCACTCCAAGTTCAATCCGGCGGAAAATGGCTCCTATCAAAACTCTTTTACACACTCGTACACTCCACAAACACTGTACCTTTTTCATTACAATAACTTTGCGTTTAGTTTCTGAATATTCAAAGGGAAAAACCATGCGGTAGTTAAACATTCCATCTCCATTTAGCGATCTAAAATACAGCAAAATAAAATTTGAGAATTATTACTATTAATGCAGCTACATGATGCTATCCATGCAATTATATAATTAAGCTGCATATTATATAGACATTCACATATTCATCCAACTTGTTATCATAAAAGTTCAATCAAGTTAAGAAATTTACTATAATTACGTTATTGGAATGGACTATAAGATTTCTGTCAGCCTTTTTTAACCATGCATACAGAATGCAGGCCCAATTGCCAACAGGCAGGATTCAATTGTTTTAGTTTGTTCAGTTAACTGGTGATATAAGTAATCTAGGCCTAATTTATTCCTAATTTTTGTTTGAATATATCTGCATGTCCATGCAGCACAATATATCTTATGGACATCACTGTAATGTTGTATTTTGGAACGTACCTAAAGTGGGTATCTGTTTTCTGAACATCTTCAATACCCGTCATTCGGCTATTAAAAGAATATTTGAGTTTAATATTTGTTTTCATAATTTGAGTTTAATATTTGTATTAATTTTAGCGATTGAACGTATAGCTATATATATTTTTACTTTCCATTTATTACCATTTTACGAATATATCACTCATTTCGTCGCCATAAATATTTGTCTCCTGGAGTTGAACGTCATTTGTGTTCCATACAATGACTCGAAGCTCATATCTAGAATTTAAAATAAAATTCATATTTATGAAAAAAAAATCCATATATCGGCCTTAATCTGAGAAGTGCGCTTTTAATGCCAGTATAAACGTACTGTCACATGAATCACATGCACAACAATTTCACACGTTTCGCAAGTCAGTACTCAAACTGTTGTCACACTTCAAGCATCGCCACGAGTATTAGCGATTTCTCTTACAACTTTTTTGTGGAAATAAAAAATCCCAACCACCCACTATCGCTATATTGAATTTTTAAGGGTACTGATTTGTACTAATTGATGATGAAGTGAGTCAATCAATTCAGTTTCAGGACTTTTCTCGTCGCTATATGAAAGACAGGGCCCTGTAATCATTGAAAATGAATGAGTTAATAAACGCCTCTCTGAAGTGATTCAACCAACTATCCAGGTTAACCAAACAAGAAAACAAAAGGCTTACCGTTTTGGTTTGGGCGGTGATATGTCAATCGGTGGACCTGGTCTTCCATACCTTTCCGGAAAGATATGAACAAACATCTCCAGTTTTCCCTAAAATATAACACGATGCAATATGCAGAAATTTCACGCCAAGTTGACCATTGACGTGCACGCTGCTCGAGTATTAATCTAGCCTTATGCCTTAACCTGCACTTATTCACACTTAATATCGTAATGCCACTTAACAGCCTAATAGGCGTTATTAATAATAAATATTTATTTATTATAGGTACTTTTTTCCTACTGTTGGTAATTTTTGTGTATTCTTTGTGTACATTTATATTAGCGTTTAATGAATACACTTAAAATGTTTTAAAAAACTTTAATCATGTTATTAAGTTCTTTCGCGTACCTGTGAAAATCCTGGGAAAAGGTCGTTTGTCAAATCCCGCGTTTCAATATGTTCTGGAACCATGCTATAGTTCTCCTAAAGAAAAATTTTTACAATTCAATTTATCTATCGTGACGCAGACTTTCATTACAAAACTCACAATGAGAAGAGATGAAATTTAGGTAACGTTTATGTGGCATGCATAAATGTTAAATGTAAACAAGTTGTTTTCTTAATTAGTCATAATGATGGGATTATGATGCAGCCGTTAGTGATCTCTGAAGGAGAAAGTTCAGGTATTTCATATTAGCGGTAAGCACTTTAGTATAGTCATGCAGTGCATGGTCAATCTTTCACATAGGTTGAGATTCCATAAGTGTGAAATAAGTGTGAAAGGTAATAGAGACAAACTAATAACGGTCCAGATGCTGCACAATAGAATTTTATATTTTGCGCTCTTACAACGACAATTCATCACAAAAGTAGTTCGCTATCTTGTGCGCACGAGTTTTTTATATACTTGTGCGCACGAGTTTTTTATATACTTGTGCGCACGAGTTTTTTATATACTTGTGCGCACGAGTTTTTTATATACTTGTGTGCACGAGTTTTTTATATACTTGTGCGCACGAGTTTTTTATATACTTGGCGCAGAGTTTATGATATATACTTGGTGCGCACGAGTTTTTTATATACTTGTGCGCACGAGTTTTTTATATACTTGTGCGCACGAGTTTTTTATATACTTGTGTGCACGAGTCTTTTATATTAACTATTAGTCTCATTAAATTACAGGGGGAAATGTGAGCTGCCGTGTACGCACAACAATCTCAGCTATATTCTATATTTGTTTTCGTATGAAATAACGGTATTTTAATGTGTCACGCCAAATGGTGGTGGGCACAATAAGTACGACATCACTCGCAAGAGCTCAAAAACTAGCTATATATACGCATGTATAATATTTTCTGAACTTATGATTTAAATTTTTATGAGAAACATGTACCTTCAAAGAATTCAACACATGCAAAGATAGACGTTCCATGTTCTCCCCAGCATGTGTTAGATCTGTTTTTGAGTTCTCTAAAGTATAACCATAGTACGTACAATCATTAAACGTGGTATAATTATAGTATCTCTTAACATACTACAATGAAACATGCAAGATGTTGGAAGTTTTTAAAGGCTTTATTTAAATCTTCGTATATACAATGGCGATGTTGTGCTACCAAATTAAACATATTTCTCGCCAAGCGTCAAAATGCGTGTATTTTGCCATCACACGGAAAACAAGTATATATTAATTATGTAGTTGTACATAAAATGACTCTGAACGTAGACTGAGAGCTTTCAAAATTAATGCAAAAACGCGTAGCTATTTTTGATCGGTATAAAATTGGTTCACAATTCATAATAACAGGCATGTATTTTGACAACATTCAAGAGTTTTCCTCATGCACCTCTTGTGCTCAATGGCAAACAGCATGAGATTTGTGAGCTTTAATTTCAAAGCTGCCAAATAAAGGAAATAATTCCTTTATGCATAGATGGCTATATACGCTAGCTACCACTTGCATGTGTTCTGCGATAGTGCGATTGTACCTTTCTCATGCATGCACGCAACTTTTATCATATATGACATTCTACTAGCCTAATAATAAGCATAATGAAGAACCTTACCAAACTGGTCGAGTTTGAAGTAACGCTCCTCCCTGCCACAACTGAGCGTTAGTATACTATTATCGCTGTTGGAAAAACGATGCGTAATACCAAAATCGTCACAGTAGTTCTTTAAAATTACCGACGGTGTGTATTTGCTCCCAAGACGCCACTTGTTGGGACCGGATCTAAAACAAATAAATAGTACATATCGATCTCTTTTTTATCAAACTTCAGTTTATCTGATCGTGTTTGACACGTTGAACGAATGAACGGCATTAATTGTATCGAGCAACTCACATGTTATATGTTGGAGGAAGTCCAGCTATGGCGTGACGTTTCGTTAACAACCTGTTTTCAAGGTCCACCACTGTTTCACCAATTAGATCGTCGTTATCAATGTCGTAGTCAAAGACCTTGATCTTTAAGTCTTTCGCATCGGGAATTATGGTATCAAACTCGAACACTCTATAGACACAGAAACAAAGATTGCATTTCGCGAAAATGGAAATGTTAGTGATACTGTACAGAAAATTAAAAAGATATATACCGTAATCCTATAAAACCAAGCGCATAATTATTTGCCCCCCTTGCCCCTGCTGGGTAAAAGGCAAGGGGACGGCTGCCCCTGCTGCCCCTTCATGCATGGAGAAATGTATACCGACGACCACCGAAGACTGAGGCGAATATCCAATGCTTACTTTCCGAATTCTGCTTCTAACGTGTCCTCCAGATGACTGTTTTTATTATTAAAAGTTTCGTTTCCAAGAGACACAACAAGATACGGGTCAGACTAAAAACAAAACAGATATTTTATCGCACGATAAGAGGTTTCTTGACGTTATTTACAGATATATTACAATATTAATGAATATAAAAAAGAGCTCCCTAGTGACGCTTTGTTTAACCTCGCCTAAACTAAACTATACTGCTTAAAGTGCTACTGCAACGAAATTTTCGACCCCTTTTTTATTGGCTCAATTTAAAGTGTTCACTTTCCTGATTTCATTTCTGAAAACAGAATCAAAATTGGCTTTCTCAAAAGATTTTTATAGCTCTCCAAAGTCGCGATTTTTGCCACTTCCTGTGCGAACTTTTGCTCCGCCATATTGTGGTTTGTGACGTAGAAAAGAGTACCGATTTTAGCATGGCGTAAAAATACTAGTGTTAAGTAGCCTCGTCGACGAAGAAGCTCTGTTTCTTACAGTCCCTACTAAGCCAGTATTCATCAAAATTATTAAATATCTATACATATGTTCCTAACGAAAAGATGGATCGCCAAAGTCGAAGAAAATATTGAATTTTTTTTCGACTTTCTGCTTCATGGTTCGCGGTCAGACGGGCTAAGACTAATTTGAATTTTCTAACAAATCGGCGTATATTTTCAGACCCTTTACCAGACATTCCTTGAATATATGTTAGGTAACAGACTTCACTTCCATTTCAAAATGAAATGATTTGGTTCTCCGCGTCAAGCTCGAAAATTCGAAACAGACAACACACAAGCTATATATATTACCATAAGCTTCGAAACATCGGTACTCGTTATGACGTCACATCAGCAAACATGGCGGCTATAAAAGTTCGCATTTGATACCGAGGTTTGAGGGCAAAATTAGTCAACTTCTACTTAACACACAAAAGTCATATATACATCAAATTGTTTCTAAAAGACTGAATATTTGTTTAGGCTAATAAAAATGGGGTCGAAAATTTCGTTGCAGTAGCACTTTAAGACAATCAAGAATTGCCCATCGAAAACTGACGGTTAACTGATATTTGCGTGTTTTGATCTTCTTATTCGAAGAAATATAGCTATTTTCAATTCATTGCAATTCAATTCATTACAATTTTAATTTAGCTATCAGTTCAATTTTATCTCTTTTCTTACCAGGCCATCAGAATCCTTTGGCTTTAGATCATAGGCCTAAAGAATGAAAACAAAACAGGCTACTATAGCACTTATGCAGGTTTTCCTTGATGGTATATTGTCTTTATCACCACGCCTCGTTTCAATGCAAAAAATTTCTTCACACCAAAATGAGCCTTGGTGTTAAACGAACAATAGCATAAAAGAGAAAACCTGCAGACACCACGTCAACGCTTCGCTTAGCGACTGAAGAACGTTTGGTAAAAAAGACTTCAGGACTTACCTTCACGACGTAGACCCGCACAATACAGCGAGTAGGGAACATTTGCTGCAGCTTCTGTTCTTTAAATATTCGTGGACGTAACGACTTCTCATGGTAGTCGTCTGGTAGGTTATAAATTGCCAAAGCTCCCTGAAAATGCGCGTCACGAAGCAGGGTTAAATTTAGGCTAGGACTGGCTAATTGTGATTTAGCAACGCGGCGTAACTTGTCAAAAACAATATAAAATTATAAACTAGCGTGATTGGGTTACAGAAATTGAATGGTATAATTTAAACATATATGCGGTAAAATAACCCCAAGTTAACTTCTCCTCTCCAACCGTCTACAAAAAATGTATGTGTGGGTTGAATGGAACGTATAAGAGCATACGGTAGAGGGCATGTGACAAAAGCAACAGAAAATGGGCTAGAAAAACCCACTTGACAGTGCGACATTGAACATGTTTTTGTTTACACTCAACGAACGCTAAATTTTATAACAATTTCTTACTTTAAATTCACCAACAATGCTGTCCTCGTCGTCTTCATCAGCAGATTGCATTTTTCCTCTTCGAAAATAGAACGTCTTAATGTGGTCTTGAAAGTAGTCGTATTCTTCTTCTAAAGTATTCGGATATATCTGTGTAACACAAAAAAAATTCAACGTAATCATATTTTATTATATTACACATATTATCAACTCATGCACCAGAACAGAAGGTGATATGAAATCAATAGTCTACAATATAGTTCTTGATTTCAATGCTAGGATATTTGGTCCATAAAAAAGAGTTGTTAAAAAACCGTCAATTGGTTTTCCTCTCCGGTTTTGGCGGCATCATATTTTGACCACCAAGCCATATCATCACATTTCTTTTCTTTTTTTTTCGACGCCTATGAAATGAAAATTTGGATGTTATAGGCATGGCGTGCTTTATACGAACTTTAAGTGCTCCTGCGAACTGAAGCGAAGTGATGTTTTTCAAACTAGAGCAAACCTGGACCGACGGGTTAAAAAAATAGTTAATTTGTTGAACACAAGGCCAAATCACGTAAGACGAATTGGACTAAACCGCGAGGAAACAAATGACTGTGGAGATAAGAATCTGCGAGAACATGTGGGGGGGGGGGGTAGAGTCGTATGAAAACGAGTGTGAAAGTAAAGTGGTGGGAAAAAACGTCTGGAGGTGAATAACGAGAAGACAACTGCAGAGAAAAATCGGGTGGGGTGAATGTAGAGCGGCGAAGCGCATTTTATTTTCCGCAGACAGTCGGGCACATATTTGATGCTCGGGCACTTCCTTAACAACCATCCACCAAACGTTCAAATTCTTATGAACGAAAAGTACACAGTAAATGAACCTGACCCTCAAATAACCCAAATAACTAACCAAAATGTATCGTTACTGGTTCAATTTAGGAGTTTGCAAATATAAAAAATGAGAAAAAATGGTACTATGTGGTACTAAATGGTACTAAAAATGAAACAAAATGGTACTATGGAGTATTCGAATCTAGTCATCCCGCACTGAAACAAACCATGTACTTGACGTCTACACTGCTATGCATCGATGAAAAGCCCTCTAATTTAACATTATATAACCTTGTGACGAAATCAAAGATGTGCCCGACTGTCTACGGATAAAAAAACCAAGCAGGGGAGAATAGTGTGCAAAGCTTTATTTGTGTGTTTAAATCTTGAGCAAAAATATAAAAAATATTTTGCCATGTCTGTTATATTTATCCGCTAATATTTCTTTTACCTTAGCTTTTTTCCTTGCTTCTCCATTGCTATCGGATCCACTGTCTACAGTGATACTTATAGTACCGTCTTCATCAGAAGGGCTACTACTAAGGTTTGTAGGTTCTATTTATTAGAGGAAGAGTCATTAATGCTCGCACTAAGGCATTTAAATACATGATCCGGCTGGGCTGGCCAGGCAGTGAACTTGACTGACAGCAGGGAGCAAGCTAATTGCTCGAGATTAGTCGATTATAAGGTAAAGAGCAGACTTGCTGCAGAATTTTTGAATTCATATCGTTGGAACCAAAGATTTTTCGTGACATAAATCACTCAACAAAGTTCGCTCACATGAACAGCAAAAAAACGCATGGCTTATTAACACGAATATTATTATGATAGCCCCATTTACACTACACTCAATTTATTGGCACGGATAAAAATGGTGCGGGTACCCATTTTAGCCGAGCCGTGCCAGTAAATTGAGTGTAGTGTAAACGGGGCTTACGATCTCCACTGCACACACACCATACATACATGCGATTGTAAAGAAATACACGAAGCAAGAAAGTAGAAATATTGCTGACATTTAAAAGTTGATTCTACAACGTAGAATTGAAACAGATTGTGTTCATCGTGCACAATTGGAATTTTGGAATGCAAATCAGAGCGATGAAAAGGCTAAATATTTGTTCCGTATTACAAACTGAGTTGATGAATAAAGCATTAAAATGATCATCATACCAGACGGATTCTCTTCATCAAAAAGCATGGACAAAGGTTGTTCGTCTCTTTTCCTTTGAAACTCGTGAAGATTTTTTACCACGCATATACCAATTGGGGACTGGTGACTACCAGATTTCAACTGAATCGTGATAGCCGGCAAGTAAATGGCGTCATTGGGAAGATTCTAAGGAGAAATGGTGAGCGGTGACTGTAAGATTGTATTCTTATAACAAAAACATAGTTTTGCGAAAGAAATTAAGTGTCTTAGATTAGTGCATGTTCACAGGAGGTTCAAAATGTCACAACGCAGTTTTATGATACTCATAATCATAGCATCGTAAAAAAAACGTACCACGTCGAAACACAGCACACGATCGCCTTCGAAGTTGTAGTTGCAATCATTCGAAACAGATTTTTTCTCAATTTTGTTACAAATTTCGATCTCTATCCTCGGCGATTTCACTTTCATCCAGCGAAAACGTCGCAAATTTCTCAATCCCCAGCATAAAACCTATACGTAAAATATAAGTAATACCATGCATGATGCAAGTCAAATATTCTTTCAGCACCTGTCATGCATGAGATATGATATCATATAAAGACGTATACCGAAATGATTGTATATACTGAGAGAACTTTAATTAAAGGCCTACAGGCGAGTTCACACATGCAGTCAATCGTTTTTCGTATGGACACATGTTCTCTCATCCACCTATTAATAGATGTGATTGGGTAGAGAAGTTGCAGATGTTCTAGTATCTAATACACAGAGCATTCATGACAATTCACTAATTTTCATTCCTTTAAAGACCTCCCCTCCTGAAATTGGAACAAAAGTTGGCCAAGTGTACAGCCGTTAATGATGTAATTATATAAATTGAACGCTTATAGGATCGCTTCCCTCCAAAATACATTAGAATAAACTGTTTGTAATCGCTTGGGGGAATAGACCATATGAAATACCTCAACTGCTTTTCTTTCAGTTTCCGGTTTAATACCATCAGGGATTGAAAACAGTCCACTGTCGTCCGGAACTGGGAGTGGTGCTAAATGTTTTTCATCCTGAGATAACAGAAGAAATAAGTTAACGTAAGTATATCGTTCTACAGGATTTCGAAAAACTGAAGGGGGTTTAGATAAAACTTGGGAAGAATTGCAATACAAAACTCAGTATTGCAATAAAATCACTAAATTAAGACTCTTCACTGATTCAAACGAATGTATACTACTTACTAAATAAAGTTCGAATCCGGCTAGAACATCTCCACATTTGCTCGAGCCCTTGTACACACCAAGCCAAGATAATTGTGTCTTTTCTTCCGAATCATCTTGAAGAACTTTTGGTTCCACTTGAACTCGACCAAGAAATTCATTTTTGCCCTAAAACGAATAAAAATATTAAATATTACATTAAGAAGCAAGCCGAATAGACACTTCCCGAATTTGCTTGAGTGCACACAAAACAATAGCTTGGAAACGAGGCGGGCAATGTTGTCTATTGTTTGTGGGATGGTTTTTATTGCCCGAAAAAAAATTCGGGAAGTGTCTATTGCTTTAGGGGAAAATAAAGGGGAAAGAAATCGAAAGAAGTCGTACGCGGTAGCAAACCACGATTGGTATGGAAATCAACCAAATGAAAATGTATCCATTTAATAGCGATAGTGCGATATTAATAAATTTGTATTTTACAAATAATTATCTTACGACAGGATCCCAATCAAAAAGTTCCAGTACAACATCGGGCGGATTCTCGATAATCTGTTCTGGGTGACCATATATCGGAACGCTTTCCAAAACCAACATTTGATTCCAGGTCGGATTTAGTTTCTTTTTTATTTTCTTCGACTTTGCACTGCGAATGCCAAACGATAAACGCACAAATGGATCTGAAATGGTCAATGAAGTTTTTCATCTACGGAACTTCTCTGTAAAGCAAAATCTCAATGTATCACTTCACTATGAAAAAAGCACCACTGACTCCTAAATACGTATAGTGATATACTTTCGAGTATAATAATATATCTCAAACCACCTGCTAATCCGTCAGGATCCGAAGGCAAAAGATTCCTTCCTTGGAAAATGTATGCTCGTAGCTGACAAATAAGTGGATCTAAAAGTGTTCAAAAGGTTACAGCTTTTATAGTAGTCTTATAGGTACTCTTGTCTTCCCTTAAGGGAGGCTAAATATATACCTCCAAAGATATTGAAGAAAGGAAACAGCTAGGTTGTAGGTGCATGATTTAAAGCGAGAAACTCATTTTGTATTTAATAAATATCTGCATGTGTGGAATATGTAAGTTAGCCTGGTCTAGTAAAGTGCGTATCATGCGAAGTACGGCTGCATATTGCTCATTCAAAACATTGGAAATGTGAACACGAAGGTTGGGAAGAGGATAATTATTAACAATATTACGAGATATTACCTTTAAAGGACAAGAAAATACTTGGAGCTACAAGCACAGGCTCTCCATCCTGCAAGAGAGAGATCATGAAGTTTAAACCGCATGGTTGGTGTCATTATTACTATTAGGCATGAAGTCGATCTGCTTGAAATCTATAGAAAATGACAACGCATTCACTTCTCATATCTAAACCTTTCCGCGGGCTTTTGTGTATTTTAAAAAATCACCAATCGGCTGGAAATATTATGCTGTCAGTTATTAAAAACTCAACCCCATCCGAGTTGTTTTGTTCAGATACCTTTGCATGATTGACATTTTGATATTTGGAGTACTTTTATGATTAAATAGCTTTATTATAGAAATTGCGGAAAAATCCTTGAAACACTTGCGAAAAATCCTCGTTTCAAGATAACCAGTGTTTTGACTTGGATAATAAGACCATTTCAATTAATGCACGCATGGTTATAGCGTTCATATTTACCTTTTCTTTGGCCTTATTCTCCAATATAAAAACTGGATCTGCTGCGGATTTCCCTGCGGATGTTGATTTTTCTTTAATCAACATTTTACGAAGCCGTTTTCTACGGACGATGTAAAGCGGCTTTTCTTGTGCGTGAAACCTCGATTTAAACGTCAATGCATATTCCCATCCATCTTGGTTTACAGGCTAAAATTTATAAAATCTCGTTAACAGAACTTAAACGATAAGCTAAGATCGAGAATCAATCGCAATAGATCTGTGGATGTACTCTTGGTATCGCTAATTCTTTGTGTAATCAAAAACTCAAGCCTGCATGTGATTAGGAAATTAAGTGTGACCAAGAAATATTTCCAGTTTCTTTGAGAGAGTTCAAGATCGAGACAATTAATTCAGCTAAAAATATCCAGGTTAACGCTAACAGACCGTAAGCTTTGCAATAAAAATATACCCATTTAGAAGCTTTGAGAATATACTTTCGTACAAATCGTAGCGACATTTTGAAAACGTGCGTAATTTACCTTTAATTCTCTTCTGTCTTCCGCAGAATCAATAACGACACGTTCCCTTATCCATCGTTTACGCCGACAAAAATGAAATTTTTTCTCCGTGGCCTCGTAATCCGTAGATCCGTACGAAGCATCAACTGTGTATTCCCAACCTTTAAAAAAGTACTATACATTGCAGATGTGCAAATTTGTCAACTCCAAAGATCATTGGTCCGATCCAGTCATCCAGCCATTGGACGCTGGGATGATTTCACTTCAAATCAAAGCTTTGGAAATGACCAGAATATTTCTTTTCTTTCTTTTTTACACCGTAATCCAGGGGTCAGCAGCTCAAAGCTAGTTTAACCTTGGGTTCAATTTTAATTCAATTTTTAAGTTTATGTGCTTCGGAATCACTGTTTGTTTTAAAACTTTAAGAAAATATGACTTCTATCGGTCCAGAAAATATTATGAAAAAAATAGTATCAACTTAGGTTGTAAACAAGCGATTAAAAAAATAATGTAAATATTTGCTTTAATCCAGGGTTATGCTAACCGGATTTTGAACAGCCGGCCCCAGGAGTATTATATATGAGATGATTATGACACGGCAGAAGAGTTCAGAATTTTCCATATTCCTTTATAATTGCGAGTTTAGAAAACTTCAAGCCAAATAAGGAAACGTATTATTTCATGTTTGCTGAATGCTCACCATAATCAAAGTGAATGGTAAGCCATGCAGACTGTAAGCTTGTGCATGGTGTGATTGTAAATTTATCTACAAACCATTGCTGTCGACAGCGCGATCCTCATCAGTCATCCATTTTCTCTGCACCCATTTCCATCCCTTTTTGGGCTGAATCTGATCTTTGTCTTTTATTGGGTCCTTGTGGTTATCCAATTTCAGGTTTCCGAACTATTTTTATTAATAAAAAGGAAGCAAAGGCATTGTTACTTAGAGAGATAAGTATATTGCCACCCCCTTCTACTTCAGAAAATCGATAATTTACAACGAATAGTATTAACCTGACTACATTTTCTGTGTAGAAGTCTATTCCACCAGGAAGAAATAGATATATTCAAAAAAGGGTTTTGACTTATAACTGTAACTATGAGTTATGATTTCACTCATGGTGGTGAACATCTATGACATCATACAATGACGTCACACATTTCATCCTGTTCTCATAAACCAGGAACAAGTTGTGGGTTTTGAGCTGCGTACACAGCCAATAAACAAATTCACATAATAATTTCATACAAATCCAAGATAAGGTAATGTCTGTTAATGTGAGAAACCTTAAAGCAAAGGTATAGGATCATCGAAATTCCGTAATTTATTTTTATGTACTCACTCTATCCGTCCATTTTTTGGAAGTGTTTTCCTGCCACACACCCCCGGGAACATATCGATATTCGTTTTCGAACACGTCTTCAACGAATGTTTTGCAACCACTATCCTTGAATTGAGTGCTGAAATATTTGGGATAATTAACATACAATAACAGCCACATATTAAGCATGTTTTTACGAAACAATAGCATACTCCACGAGTCCATGTAGGGAAGCTTAGACGTTTAGTCAAGTCGGCTGCGAGGTCGCAACATTTAAGGTCTCTTCTTTAAATAAAGGTCGTAAATTCAGAAGTTATTTAAATTACTGGTGCATAAGAAATGTACATACGGGGAATTCATTTTTAGGTTTTATATTTTAATCCACTACTCGGTCCTTTTTACGAGATTTTAGCCAGTTAAAGAGAAAACAGTACATGCAGTCTGTCGAATGCTATTTTGGGTATATTCTCTTCTCTTTGAAACTGTTGATAATAATTGGTATCAGCCTTAAGAAGTGGCATTTACTGAATTGAACATACTCAATGGAAGTGGATTGTTAACAGCTATATATATATATATATATATATATATATATATATATATATATATATATATATATATATATATATATTTTTGTCATACAATACATAATATTTCACCAGACCTTAACTCGGAATAAGTTTCCCAGTCGCCTTTAAATTGCCATCCTTCAGGCGCCGTAAACCTTTCTTTGGGTAAGGAAAGCTACATAAATGGAGAAGCAACTTATCTCAATGATGTCAATATAGTATCTCTCAAACAAAAAGAAAATGCAGGTGAAGAAGGATTAGAATAAATGAATAATTTTATACGATGTTTACGTGCACTAACACGACGTATTTCGTGTGGATGCATGTGCAACTCCCGATGCACTATTTTCGAAATAGAAAGTTTGCAAAGTTGCAATGACATGTGAGATGGGCAAACAGCCTGGATAAACCATCATCTTGACTGAATGCTGCCTAGGGCCTTTTGGTTTATATCGTGATCATTTAAAATCAATGCGAGACAGGTTAAAGTTGGAAATGTTATGACACTGCAACTTGTCTCGATGCACTTGCAACTGCAATTTGAAAAGCGGGGACGTTATACTATACGATACTACAGAAAATAAGGAAGGTGGGTAACCTTCGTAACGTACCGTTCCGTTTGAATTGGAAAATGCAGGACGACTTAGGTTGCTGCTGCTCCATTTTAGCCCATAACAGGTCTGATTTTCATACTAAAATCACGTAAAATAATCATTTTCAATGTCAACTAGATCGATCAGCGATCGTTTTTCTACTTTTTCCCTTAACCGGCGTACTTTAAAAGCAGCATAATTGTCGCTACATCGCATAAAATCTTCGCACTGTTGCTATATAAACTGAAACAAGTTTTCAATTGATCGTCTCTGGTCTATGTACGCCTGTATTAAAAAAGCTCACTCTGAGTGAAAATTAAGAAAAACGTCATGGATGGAAACGGTATGAGAAGATAATTATACTGAGATTTCCCCTCAATGAGTTTGAGTGCAGGAGTGAGATTTTGACAGCGATTTTGAAATTTGAAATACAGTCAAGCGAAATTTTTGTATACCTCACCTGTTTTTAAAAAAATAACTCGGTAAAAAATAAATGCATGTAAGAAATTCTAGGCTGGATTAGTCATTTCCTAAGCCTGTTCCTGCATGAGAACAAGAACGATAGCTACGTTGCTCGAGTTCAGAGAGAAAGACTTTTCGAGTTAAGAACACTAAAAGCTCCTTGTTACTACAATTCATGCCTAAAATGTAGCTATATGCTGTTACTACACATACCAAGCAGTTTTTATCGGCAACCCAAACAACGGCGATTCAATCGGCATATGAAGTTACGCTGTGTTACAATCAGCGCACGTTTAGTTTAATCCTGAAAACGTACTGAACAGAATCACATGACGTCGTGCTTACCGTTTCTGCAAACAACGACAGTTGACCGCCAGTTTTCTCCAGCTCTTTCCATTCTACCTGATGCACCTCGCGGCCAAACCATATCATAAGTCGTAGTATTGCGGCAAAATTTGATTTGTGATTGCTCTTTTCGTTGCCCGGAAACTATGAAAAAGTTGAAAAACATCAAACCATGTTGAAACAGTTTGTGACGCCATTGCGAAAGCTTTTATACCATTTACTACTTTCGTAGAAGAAAATTTAGCTATCCCCTTAAGGCCCTGTTACACGGTACAATTTTTCTTGCAACTTGCAATGCAATTCTACTTTTGAGAGATGTATATTTGGAACAACGAAACTTTTGTGTTTATTACACTTCGTGCACTTTTCTTCTGCAAGACTCTTTACATCTCTTAGACGTAGAATTACATTTCAAGTTGCAAGAAAAGTTGCACCACGTAACAGGACTTAAGGGGAAATTCTTTTTGGAAATGAAAATGGTGCGGTAATGGCAGATAGATTTGTTACATTTAGAAGGCGATGTTAGTGGCAGTCTGGTCGACACAAATCACACAATCAACATGATACAATTAATAAATTAAATTTTACATATTTGAAAATTCGTTGAACAAAGGTTCCATCATAATTCCCCGTCATGCATGTCGAACACGCTACCACAATTCAAAAAAGACCATGCAATAGATCATAAACCAAAATAGTCTTTTGAATATGTTTCACTGCCGTTTGACGAGCTTTTTCGAAAGGAAAGAAAATAGAAGTCTCACTTAAGTAAACCAATTACAATTTCGTAGCGCTTATCCTTTGTAATTGAAGTAATAATAATGGATTAGAAAAGCTGATGAAACTCAGCAATTCTCAGAATTCTTATCGTATTCTTTACACTCGATCGATTAATCGATCGATAGTAACGCAAGTAGATAAGTATCATCTTCCTCATTTGAAGATGGCCAACAATCGGCTAATCTTTTTCTTCGAGATGGATCCAATCCATGATTGTAAAAGAGTCAGTAATGCAGTAATGGGTCGTGATATGAGTGCATAAGAAACGTGGTGAAGTAACAGAAAAGGTACGTGACATTATAGAAAAGGACGGTCTCGGTGACAAAAGATAATGCTGATATCACAAACCTTTAGATTAACGTCAATTGTCTTCCCGCATTTCTCTCCACGTTCGCTTTCATCTTCACGGAACAGCAGTTCGTTGGCCGGGATGCGACAATACGCGACACGCTCTCTTTCTGCTTTTATCATCCAAATTATAATGTCGGGTATGCTGTTCTGGGGCTGAAAATTATGACAACACTGTCAACGAATGTCGTCAGCCTCTCTTTAACCATGAAATTTCTAATAAGCATGCCTCTGACTAGTCTGATAAACGTGAAACACAATGCCATCTTTCATTGTTTTATTGACTGCATGGTGAATTGATGAAAGAGAACCTGTTCTATAGCTACGATGTTAAAATCCTGCGTCGTCATCTCAGATTTTTTAATTCCGAAATGTTTAATTTAATAGCGCCTCTTTCTATCTTTTCAAAAGAAACCAGTTCAATTCAATACGGACATATCTCAGACACAAAAAAGGTAGGCATATCACAGACAAAAAAATAAACTACAAGCTAATGTGATATTTCCCTTCGATAAAGCGGTTGTTTCTTAATATCTTGTACCTCGACTGCAATCAGTTGAATTCTCTTTAGTAAACTTTCAAGGATTTCAATTGGACATGATTCGTCGAGGTTCGTTTTCAACTTTTCACACTCTGCCTCGACCGAGTCCTGAAATTAAAAAGGGAAAAGTCAAATTGCTTCGAAATATAGGGTACAAAATTGTAATTTCAAGCAGACACAAAACTGACTACCGCACCAGGACAGCCTTTCTTTTCTCAAACATCTGTTGATCTAGTCTGGTCAATTTAGACTTTTCTGGATCAAGTTTTGGCAAGGATCTACAATTAAGATTTAAAAAATATTTATCTAACCTTGGTAAAGTCACGACTACCAGTCTACCAAAAAAATCTGACGTAGCTACATTTTACCAGAATGCATACAGGCGAATATTTAAAGGCAAATTTTGATAGGCATGTAATATCAGGTATTTTTAATTTATTTAAAAGAATTCACAGAGCAGCTCTGATTGGCTGATAGCCACCGTGTTAACGTACCGACTTTGTAATTCACCTATTACGTCATGACATCGTTCTTAAAAAACAACCTATAATGGAAAGGTAAACAAGCTTACCCGCAGTCATCAATAAGAGCGTCAACTGTCTCTAAAATTTTCTGTTCTTTCTCTTGTGTGCTTGCACATGATTTCAGCTCGTTGATTCGCTGTTCCTGTGCCGATTAGATAAATCAAGATAATAAATCAACATTTTAGTCCGTTTACAGAAGACCGGAAGAATTTCGACGGGGCCCGAATTTGTTCATCATCTTTGGCAAGGGCTTTTGACTCATGAGTTATGACTCATGTTGATGCACTACTACTTAACTCTTCTTTTGTTTAATCTTACCAATTTCCTGGCCATTCTTAGTAATTTGTTCAATGCACCCAGACGGAAACAGACATCTTCCCACTCACAGTCAATCCTGACGTAAGGTTTTGAATTTCCCCATGGTAGATAATAGTACTTTCCTCCGTCGAACACTGGATTAGTAGGTGTAGTGCTTGATGGACGTGGACTCACCGAGTCGTCCAATTTGTTTCCGTAATTGCCTAGAAAGCATAATTCATATATTTCCTTATCTAAATTATCTTATGAAGGAACCTAAATTTGCTAGTTTATGGGTGATTTTAGTAATTATAGCTAAGGACACCCGTGCATGGAAAGTTTAGAATTTTATGGTGATTATTTATCATCATGGAGTTTTCTCGGCGCTATGTTAGGTTTAGAAAAAGAACAGACATTGTGATGTTTTCTTATGATTTGAGGAAGCAATAGTAATTCGTCTTATAAGAGTTATTTATTTTGTTTCGATTTTCCAAAATTTTTTTCTCCCACAGTGGAAACATCGTCTTATTAAATTTGAGACAACTGGTTTAGTTGTCACATGGAAATTGATTTATGTTTTATAATTGTTCTCCTTAAATCCCTAGGAGTTAATTTTATCTTACTATTTAGTGGATAAAAGGAGATTGAAAGACGGGCTTCCGGCTTTACGTTCTTGCCTAACATCAATTTTTTTCATAGTAGCATTCTGTCTCCTATGGGATACGGACCACGGTGTAGATCTGGATAAAGGTAATTTTGACGTGAATTCTCACCAATGCTCATTTCAAACTCCACTTGAGAGTCCTCCACCGCCAACATTGTCGCCTCGAGAAATACAGCAAGGAGACGGAATTTCTTTGTTCCCATATAAGGCTAAGAAAATCGAGAATAGCATAATGTGAAAATCTTTCTTAAGGCCCTGTTACACGGTCGAATTTTTCTTGCAACTTGCAATGCAATTCTTCTTTTGAGAGACGTAAATTTGGCAACTACCGAACTTTTGTCTTTATTACAATCCATGGCGTTTTTTACACTTACATTTTGAAGACTCTTCACTCATTTACATCCCTCAAAAGTACAATTGCATTGTAAGTTGCAAGAAAAATTGCACTGTGTAACATGGCCTTTAGTTGTAACTCGCAAAGTACATTTCCACTCAGAGAAATGTCCCGAGGAAATTTTTTTTGGTTGGAAACGTTCCTTTACAATTAATGCAAATCTTAGCAATCAACAACATAGGAAAGAGCAATTACAGCAGTACAGACTTTACCCCAAACGCAGCATTATAACACAGTGACCTTAGATGGAAATATTATGCCTATTTAAACGAGATATTCAAAGTGGGTTTTTCGCCTACCCGGGCACGAACCATGTCGAAACTACTAATTGGTTCGACTTTGAGACCATTGCTGACGTCTAGTTTAGTTTGTAATTCCACCAAAACCCGACCACGATATGCAGCACCTTCGCCCTGAATAAAATGTTGAAAAAATTGCGGTTAAAAGAGTTAGCTCTTATGGTTTTGGAGAACCCCAATGTAATGGCGTTTGGTTTTATTATATATATGCATGGGAAAAGTACATTAAATATCACTTCAACTCACAATGCCTTTATCCAAGTCTTCGTGTTTGTTTGGCCAATCTGAGTATTCCCTCGGCGAGCCATACATATTAACAAAACATGGTCCAAAAGTTGGCAAAAATTCTGTAACACATATTATTCTTTTTTTAAACAATGGCCATCAATTACGATGTTTCTACATATAGTCAAGTCATTGATTTTAGGAAGTCAGCAAGTTAAGTCCGATACATTGACACAAAGTATTAAGAGCAGTTGGCCTCAGTGGTTGATGGTGTCGTTCATGCATTCGTACGCTTGTTTCAAATGTTATACGAGGCGCATCCCCTACGGTCGCAAATGGATGCGTCAGGGACGTATGCGTAGCTTAGGCCTTGTCCACACTAATGCGTTTTGATATGTCTCGTTTTTCGCTTGTTCAAAAACGCATCGATTGCGTCCACACTAGCGTTTTCGTAGCGTTAATTAATAAGAGAATTAGCTGCAAACATGCAACTAAGTTGCCAAGCAATAGCATGTTTGGATCCGCCATGTTTGATTTTTGGGGAAATATTACGTATCGTTTTTATGACTCCGTTTTCGTAGCGTTTTTGACCGTCCACACTAAAACGATACGTATGCGTTTTCATTTGGCTCCACTTTTAAAAGCGTTTTCAAATCAATGCGTTTTTGATGAAAACGCTCATCGTTTTCGGTCGTTTTAGTGTGGACGGATTGCCAAAACGCATTAAAATGTCTCCGTTTTCAAACGAAAACGCATTAGTGTGGACGGGGCCTTAGTCAGCACGATCGCGATACCGCAGGCTTAGATAAAAGCATAGTAACACCACACCCCAATTAACTGATCGGGGCGTGCACAAAAAATATTTTTCCATGCATGCATGCATGCTGACATATTGCAGTTCAGTTCCAGAACTGAACGAGGAACTGAACGAACAAGGAACTGTTATGTGTATATATTCCGCATAATTTACCATTCCCTTCCATTCCTGATATATGTGATACAGGCAAGTAGATGGTGCCGATATAATCATCCGCGGTCCCAACATCACTAATAAAGAAAAATGTGTATGAGAAAATAGGTGGAATTTTGAAGGAAAATTCACTGAATAAGTTCAATGAAATCGTTTAAATGAAAAGAAGATATACAGGCCTGGCAAGCAAGTCATTATAAAACGATCAAATTGTGTGATGATGCATGGCTGTATACATAGGGAGTTATATTTCAGCATGTATGCCTAACTTTGGGTTTAATTTTTACAACCCTTAATTTTTAGTGGGTTTTACTCACCTGTCCAGAAGTTGGATTTTCAGTTTATCACAAACGGAGGGATACTAGATTATGGAAGAAACAATTACAGCAATTTGGTATGCTCTTATTAGCACTAATCTTCACAATGTCGGTTTGTATAAACTTACTTTGAAAGAAATATTTAATTGTTCGTTAAAGAGTGGACTTCTGGAATCATACTTGATACTACTTTTTGCCTTCAAAATAAGATTCGTCATGTTTATTAGAGAAAGCGATAAGCCATTTCATGCATCCGACACTGACTTCACATGTCGTTATATATACTTTAGATTACTAGAGCATATATATACCAAGGTATTCCGATCTTAATACGTGTAAGACATTGTCGAATTTGGAATAAATTGCAGGGTATTGAATATGAGTATTATGTGATTCATAGGAAGTTTAAGAAACGTCTCATGCACATGCAGCTGCACAAAGAAACTGGAGAAAAATTACCTGCATTCCTGCAAAGCTGAAAATGCAGTAAGGATCGGCACAATCTTTCTTCTTCTATAAGAGATGTACGGAGAGGTAAATCAGTACTGGTTTGGTTTTGTAATTTTTTGATATTTTTTTGCGGAAAGAGACCATAAAAGTTGCCTTATATATGTAGACCATGTATAATAATTGCCCGGAAGACAATGAGACCCAAAACGGTGCACGCTTTCTGTAACTGTTTTCTCTACATCTCCAAATCCATGCAGTAGTTGTCATTACTCAATCTGATTCGGAGAAACTCTAAACTAATAGTCCTCTGCATGAACTCGACCACGTACAAAGCTGTTTTGTGTGAATAAATTTAGTGAAGTAGTAAGTTTACTGAAAGCGGCTGTATGTAACAGACTGAGTGCTGTGTTTTCAGAAATGTCACATGCAATGCGGTACTCACTCTTCTGAGACGGTTCAATAAATTCTCATGATCCACTAAACAAACGGAATTTAAATTATAATATGCAGAAGAAGAGCTTATAACATTAATACCAATTCTATAATCCTTATCTTATGTTTATGACCTGGAAAAAAACTATTAACCAAGGTTTTAAAAATTAATCATCCAATAAAAAGAACTAGGATGTTTGTTACAAAATTAATTCATTTTTAAACACGTGTACCTATTCTCGATTCTAATTGAATTTTCATTTCTAACTTCAGAAAAACGTTTCAATCTCCAAAAAGCCATTTTGGTGAATTTTTTGTCTTACGTGAAGATGCATGCATTACAGCAATTTAAAAAAGGTTGAAGGTCTTACTCTGCGGTATGTCGACTGCTTTGTAAACTTTCAACGTAAAAACTGCAGGGGATAATGAAACTCCGGGAAATTGCAACAGGTTACTACAGGTATATGGAAAAAAAGAATGTTAAGAAATATTTGGGTTAGGATACCAGGAACTATATGATTGACATACGTTCGAACTATTCCATGGACGATCAACTTCTTATTTCAATTAACCTGGTTTGCTAATTACTGACAAAAATTTTAGAAAACTTCTGTATATATAGGCTGACCGACAAAAAGTTTACATTTGTGTGTATTGTTGGCATTTTCTACGGCACAAAATACATTTGCGAGTAGTGATCTTCTGGTTGTATTTATCAGAATGTGATGAAACATTTCCACCTGCATTAGCATACCTTTCGATGTCGTCCTGATCTGGTGAACCTTGTAGATTTTCCAGACTCTGATAATGAGAAAACGACTAATAATTAATCCATGACATAATATAAAAATACATGACATAACAAAGTGTTTTACAAATTCGCATCGTAACGTATTTTGAAATGTTCAGTTTAAAGTATTTTGCGCTGGACTTCTTGCACGGTTTGCCTATCGCCTCCACAAAGCGGGACTGTTGTGTAAGCTTATACTCTTTACACTTGTTAGGCAATCAATGGCGTTCTTTTCTAGATTAATTTTGCGTGCATGCAGAAGTAGATTATAGCATATCACGAATGCACGAGTTCACAAAGCGGCCGTTATATTAGTTCGATGGATAGTTTCATATGATCACCGCGTGCATGCAGGTGCGAGATAATGCTTCTTACATGAATATAAGGCCTGCATGTTCTCCACTTCAACCCTATCGTAACGTAACGTAGCGTATTTCTTTGTTTCCGAGGTATTCGACCAGAACTAATGACTTTAAAACAATGAGATACGCTACGTTTTGCTACGATACGGTTGAAGTGGAAAACGGTCTTAAGGTTCTTACCGGTGCAGACATGCCAGCTTCCAGAACACACATTGAAACCTTGAGGAAACCCTGAAACAAAAAGGGGCGTATTCAGTATTATAGAGAGGAGAGAGATTTGAAAAACTTTCATGGAGACAAGGCCGCAAATCTGTCTCGAAAAATGGGCAGGAGGGGGCGTTCGCTAGTGCTTGGTTCGACAAGTTAAGACGAAATACTTTATTTAAGCAAAACAGGGAGACCGAGGGAACCACAAAATGTTGGGTCTAGGTGCATATCTGAAATCATAAGAGAAATGACTATCAAAAAGTTAGGGGGTCACGAAATTCATCCCCTTGATCCAAAATAATCCGTCCCTCCAGGAATTGCCAGGTGAGTCCTCCCAGGATTCGCAATCTCATAGAGGCAAGTCAGGCAACAGTAAGTAATATACGCCTGATTAGCCTATTAATATTTTAATTTTTCTCTGAAGTAACGACAGTCTATATAATAACACAAAAAATGTCATTTCAACTCTTACAACTGCATGTCCATCGGTTCCTTGTGGCTGTACGTTCTTTTTCATCACGCTATCTCCCTAAATGATCAACCAAAATTTAAACTTTAATTGACACATAAAACAGGCTTATGCCAAAGCCAACGTGAGAGTTAGGCTTTGGAAAAAAAAGCTGAGTAAATGCGATTTCGTTTTATTCAGCATTTTAAATAGACGAACAGAACGCAATTTCGCGTATCGGATGGAGAAAACTTGTTATCATTAATTCTTCTTTCTCTTCTTTCTTTAATTTTTTCACAAAATTATTCCAAGCTTCAAGCAAGAGTGGTCGCATGGTGAATCCTGACGTATCTCTGTCGTTTAACGAAGGGAACGCTTATTCTGCCATATTCAATGTCTTTAGCCTCGATATGAGTGATTACAAAGATGTAAAAGATTAACCGCATTTATATCGAATGCATGCATGACGTTCGTCATCAGTGTGAAAACAAAAGTGCTGGAGATGAAATGTTTTTAGTTTTAAAAACTATCAAATATATATCAATATATTGAAAGGTTGCATGGTTAATCACTCTGCATATGATCATAATTTAGATGCGCGCACCGGAATGGACAAGATAGCGTTAGTATAACAAAACAATATATGGACCTGCATAATTCTTTCATTTTCTCGTGGTTCAGCCAATACAATCCATTTCCGGAGAACAATATGACCTGAAAATGATAAGTGTCTTATGTTCAAAACCGTACTGTGATGGAAACCCTTTTAAAAAGTAGGACTTGCTTGAATATTCCATACCCTCAAAATTGTACACTTCACGAACATCGCACTAGGGATGAATAGAAAACAGGTTACCAAATTATTCCGAGCAAATTCAAAATCATAACGATAGGTTGGTGACACCCATGCCCTGAGTATGGGCATGATACTTGGGTATTAATTACGCCGCACCTGCACACGTTACAAAAAAAAACAGAATAAATTGGAAGTACACAAATACCTTGTAATAACCGATCAAAGATTTACTGCGAAGACGTCGTGAGTCAAACACCTATAGATAAATGTGCGACTGTTGTCAAAGGTATCATAATAGGTCTACATTAATGCGGAATACTGAGAAACCCACAGTTTTCATTGAACTCATTTTTATGATCACTCGAATCTGACTATACAATGCACTAGATGAGATGGCGATTCATGCCTTCCTGAACTGATTAATATAAGCTAAATTGAACTTTACATTATTGGAAATCTTTCATCATGTCTATCATTTCTTGTGAAATAAAAACAATTTGTTACACAAAAAAGTGAAAAAAACTGAGATGTCTAGTATATATCATCGCGTACGTGAACTGATATATTACTGGAATGTCTGAGTTGGAATTCGTCTTCAAAACCAAATGAGCCGACACCGCAGAAATTGGTGTTGGAAGTCAAATATCTCATCAGTTGCTCACATTTGAATCCTAGTATTCAGAAACTGCTGTCAAAGAAAATACTATCAAATAAGTTGAGAACAAGTTCAATTTTTCTTCCAATATCGGTTTTGGAAACTTTTGAAGGCTCTTCGTATGCATCTGCCACCGTAAAATGGCCATTTTGAGACATTTTCAGATGATTTGTTTTTGCCGTGTGCAAGCTTCAAATCTTTTGTGCAAGAGATATTTTGTTGAGTATTTATAAATCTTTTAGCTTGCCGAATTTAAAGTCTAAGTATTGAGAATTACGGCTAAGTCTACCAATTTCCGCGGTGTCAAATGAGCCAGTAACGGGTAAATGTATAATATGTTTAAATCAGCAAAGTTTGACCTATTTTAGTGTACACTTAAGGCTCTCACAAGCTCATCGCAAAAATCAACCAACAAGAGTAGATCGGGCGATGAGTGGAGAACTACAGGATCGGAAAATATGGAAAATTTAAAAAGTTCTGCAGTTATATACATAACATAAGGTAAATACTCCTTTAGAAGCTCAATGCTGACACAAATTTGCTGGCGAAGATAATCTCGTGAGCTAAAACTTAATGAATGCGGTACTTACCTCAAATCTGATGCTTTGTTCGAATAATTCATGGAAATTGGTGTGAAAGTTGAACGAAAACGTCTACAAATGAAAAACATGTAAATTAAGAATAGATGAGGTAATTCTGTCGAAACTGCTGCTCGAATACGTCAAATGACAGTGAATAATGTGTGCACATCTCGTTAAAGAGAAATCAAAGGTTGATCACACGACAATAAACAAAAGTGTACAAATAGTACTTTTATATTATTTTAACTAATATAATTGTACAATTTTAAAAACGATTTTATACTTATACCGAATACTCAATAATTCGTTGAAAAGTAAGTGAACGCATATACCTTTATGCGAATTATTGAGTTTCAGTATAAGTATCGATCGTTTTTCTGTGATAGAAAACTGAAACCACAATTAGTTGCCATATCCAATCGTTGCAATTCGCATTGAATAACCTATCTATCCAGCTTAAGTATATAGATTGATCCATTCATCGTAAATCATTACCTGATTGTAATAGGGCTGGTTGGTTGTGTGTTTAACTTTTGTTTGTTTCTTTACGCCACCCACTGTAACTCTTACTACAGGATTAATGTCGCGCCCGAATATATGGCGTCCTTCGTCGACTTTTATACGGATCTGAAGTTTAGTTTCATGAAAGATTAAAATTAAGGCATGAAGAAAAAATGTGGTAACAAAGGAAATCGCGTTTAAAAAAAAAAAAAAAAAATATATATATATATATATATATATATATATATATATATATATATATATATACACCCATTTGCAAAAACGTTGGCCGCAGATAGATAGATAGATAGATACTCGAAGTCTAATTAGAATTGCATATGAATACATTTGCATGGGATTTCAATCATATTACACAACATATGCAATTCTAATTAGATTTCGGGTATCTATCTATATATCTATCTGCGGCCAACGTTTTTGCAAACGGGTGTATATATATATATATATATACCACAGGGAAGTATTCTCCCATTCGCCGAATGTTGTGGATGCTATAGTAGTATACCAACCTGAAAATCGCGTTGTTTTTCAGGAAAAGAAATTTTTCTATGGATTCCCATTGCAGCAAATTGGGATCGCCTTTAAATGAAATGCAAGGCTGGTTAACAATTCAATGCATATGCTAAATTTACTACAAACGCAGGGGACTACTGAATTTCTGTAACGTTGTATGATAGAAAATAATGCATTTTAAAGAAGCCCCTCACTCAAACCGTGTTAGTTACAGTGTGAGTGCTGAAAGGATGATGGAGATAATCATAGTTTGCAATAGTTATATAATTATGCAAAACGCGTTGACAAGTCACAGTCACGAGAACTAAGTGTTTATGAACGTAACAAGTTGTAATTTTTAATTTGTAACCACATTTTGCAACACCTGTTCCATTATAGTCATTCGAAGTTTCATTAGATAACCAGTATAATAATTAGAATTACAATTACGTCTGAACTGTCACCATTCCACCACTGCAACATCGAAAATACGAATTCGTATGAATTTTATATGAAGTGTACTTATTTTACCCTGTAGCCTGAGGTAAAGGCTGTTCGCCGTATACCACATTGCTTGTTTCAACTGTTGCGCTGATCTGGTTGGTATCGTCTTTCACAACTGCTCCAGGACAGATATTCTCCATAGTGCACTTGCATATAGCCTAACAACGAGCATTGTCAATCAAAAATTATGCTTGAAATCTGTCATATGTCGGCGTAACAGTGGATAAATTCACTCAATCTGGCTGTTAGGCTATCCAGATAGCGGGTTTTTTGTTACTTTTTGAATTTGCAGCGTTTTCAACAATTTGCAGATAGCTTCATCTGATGCCAATTTAAACTTTAGAATTCTTTATTATATTAGAATAATATTATAACATTAGAATTCTTATCCTGATTGTTGCAACTTAATCGACAATGATCGCTAACAGTGCGCATGTTCGATCCTTTGTCGCTTTCTCGAGTAACTTTTTTTATACAGTCATGAATGCTAAACAATGCTTTTAGAACAATACTAAAAGCGATGCCGAGTTATATATAGAGGTACACTGCTGGTCAAAAACTTTAGTTACCTCTGTTGGATGGTTGTCTCCATCGCGCAGATTCACTTTATAAGGTATTTTCGTCCTTTTTTTGTTGATCAAATCTTCTACTGGAAGCTCAGCTTTTCCAAGGAGACTTATAAAAGAAAATATTGTCTAGTTATACATAGTACATGCATGAATGCAAGGAATCAGGATTTGACACTTGGCATCGTGACGTTGAAGGTATACTGCTCCGGCATATACTTTATCGCCTCGCCTGAAATTCGTGTGAGTATTTTGTTGAAAAAACAAAGTCAGCGCTAGTCATCATTTCGCATGCTTCCTGAAATAAGATCAATAGGCCAATTTAACCTATCGTTAACTTGTGAAAATTAAGTTCTATCTCCTTGCCCTGACTGAACTTCGTGTGATTTATATTTTTAGTTCTTGCGCTTTGCCCGCTTTGGAGTTGAAAGTGTGCAGAAACAAGTATAGAATTACAAGAAACGCTTTCCGAAAGTCGAGCAACATCCCAACTCTGTTTCAATATTTCCTCTTTGGACGCAAGCTATTTAGTCTCCTCATATATTATTATTATTATATTATTATTATTAATAATTCAAATAATATATCGCGTACCTGTCACGCGACCATCTTCCTGTTTGTTGGTAGATCTTAACCTTGATGACATCTCCACGCTGAAGCTCTTCTTTGCCAAGAGAGATCTTTAATGGCTAAACCAAAAAAATCCGCATTTTTTTTCTTGCAAAATTCATATAATTATTTCATTGCATGCAGGGATAAGAATACTTTCAACTTACACTCATGCATTCATTAATTAAAAATTGATAGGTTATATACGTTATAAATTATGGGAATTAAGGTTAATTAAGCCAGATGAGAAGAAAGATTGTGAAATATCTTCCATGCATACCTTTTCCCATTTTGTGCACAACATTGCTTCATCACCGTCAACAGAACTTGGAGTACCCGGATCGTCCGTTTTCTCTTTTCTACCTATTTATATTAATTAATAATCATGCTATCACACAGACTGTGTGTATGAGGATGGTTTGGCGACTGAACACCACTAGGGGCTGTCTACATGATCTACCTTTCAGGGTGTATCAAAAAAGGCAATCGCTTAGCTAATATTCAAAATATTCACTTTGTGAGTTACACAATTAGAAGTAAAGTTTTATTCACTTCAAAATATTCACTTTGTGAGTTACACAATTAGAAGTAAAGTTTTATTCACTTCAAAATATTCACTTTTTGAGTTACACAATTTAATAGAAGCCTTCGTAAAACGCCAACATCACCGACGAAGCCGACATCACCGACGAAGCCGACAACACCGACAACACCGACGAAGCCGACATCACCGACTAAATTGCAATGTAATCAAACAAACGTTAAATGTTTCATCGAAATACACAATTCCATTGGGAGATTTTATAATCATATAATGGAGATATGAAAATTATAAGTTCTATATATCTTCTTGCCTCGACTGAAAGTTAGTCTTAAACAATAATTCGCTTCAGACTCGTATATTAAACATTATTTAATCGCTCCAATACGACTAGGACGCAGCGTCTTCAAACACCTTCGCATAAAAAACTCAACATCATCGGCGATGTCCATTGTGCCGGTGGTTATTAATGCATAAAATGCTTTGTCTATCGAAAAAAAATATTTACTCTAACTCTCATTATCAATTTTTGAATTCGTTCAATGCGAACAAAATGAGACGTATAGTAAACTAGGCCTTCTTTCTTTTCGATACCCATTTTATTCACGGGGACGGTGTCATTGTATGTACATATATTTAAAGATTTTATTGGATTTTTTTCTTGCTGCGCGCTTACAACGTACAAAAAAAATGTATACTCATGCGTGGGGACAAAACTCCGGTTATTTGTGTCAAACCACCCGTCCATGCATATGCCAATTGTTCCGCTATAAAATATTTGCATGCATTCAGTCAGCTGTGTCTTTCACCGTGTAGTTAAAATTTTCCTCCTTATTTAGTACTCAGCCTACTATATACCTATTAATAATCTTGCTATTCGTAAACCTTCTATATATATATACTAGCCCTATATTCTAACCTAAATCCCTGCCAATCTACTTACGCTAATCCCTCTTATAGGTATTTTGAAACGCGTAACTGAAATACATAATACTGCATGTAGAAGTGATAAGTGCAAAAAACAATCTATTTCTAGAGTGCATTATAATTGAAACTTTTGACTGAAATAATTAACTGTATGGGGTTCTCTTCGCGGATTCAAAAACCTTTCTTTCTAACCCAAAATAAACTTCCGCTTGTCAATATAATATATTATATGGGCATGTACATGTATAATGCCCATTGTTATGAGCTTATATAGCTTTTTATTTACGAGATGATCTGCGTATATACCATTATACTGTGCATATAATTAATAAACATGCTCCAATTGACGTTTGGCGATCCAGAATACCTTGATTTGAGATATAATTTTGTAGATATTAAGGAATAATATTGTATAATTATAAGACTTGGGAATTTCTTTGACAGCTAGAATAATCCAGAAATACCCCAGTATACAGTATATGAACCTAGCATATGTACTCAAAATTATACTGAATGTTTTTTCGAAACCGAATCGCTTTGAATTTTTTATGATTGGTTTCCTTCAACATATATGGCATGTTTAACCCTACCAAATACGAACAGAAAATGAGCAACTTGCATGTGGGTATACGTTCAAAATATACACAAACCTTTTAAGTTGACAACCACATAATGCCCTTTGTGCTTGCGCTCTGAACTGGTCCCCTCTGGTTTACGTGCCTCTATAAGTTCGATTTCACTTACGACCAGGCAGGATTCTTCAGCCATGGTTTTACTGATGTGTGCAGCGCTATATACACTCAATTTAAAATTTGTTGCTTCTAATCAGAAAATAAAGTGTCCTTGTTCATGTTCCGACGTTACACACCGTTGAACCTGTAATAAATATATGCAAATAACTGCATGCAGACCCACTCAAAACTCGCGTGCAGTATAAGCTGAATGAGAATTAACTATGTCTATGATCAAACAAAATTTCAAATTTCAAACCAAATTTATTCTTGTTCAATGTTTATCCAATTCAGTATGAAAAATATATTACGTATTTTATTCTGAATAACCTTAAAACTGCGTTTTAAAGAATGTATTTCTGAATTATATAAACGCCTCTGTAGCACTTAAAGAGAAGCTTCGCGGAGTACTTTATGCATGGGTCATTAATTCGGTCGACTAGAAGTTATAAAGAATGTTTATGCATGTACGTTGGAAACAATGATGCGCCATATTAAATACAATACAAAATATAACATGATCGACTCGGCATTTAAGCTGCTGCATAAAAGGCTGCTTTTCACATAACATAATTCGTCACAATTCGTGGTGATTCACTGATACATGTCGTAATTTTTTGTAATGCGGTTTTCAGGTACTGTCGTGATATTACGCGCACGAAATATTTTGTATTTGAACCCAGTCTTCAACCGCCACCCCTTACCTAACGCAAATCACGAAATCCGTAACATAATGGTATAACCGGTTTTCGTATGTCGGATTTCGCATAACAACGAACTAAGAGGAATTATGACGTGTGAATTACGACGAATTTTGTTCATATATAACAAGACGCCCGGTAGGCGTTAATTCGCGCTATGTAGCTGGTAAATACACTGCACTGAAACTGAGCTATATTGATACACTGTAAATATGCGACTGTCCGCGCGGAAGACTAAGCCTGCGACACGAAAAAAATATATAATCGCGAAACCTAAACTTGGGTACCACAGGTAGCCCGAGTAAAAACCAGGGACCGGTTTTACGAAGGCTGGATAGCGCATCACCGGGGTGGATAACTTAAACGGTGGATAAATCAAAATCACTCTCTTAAGGCCTTGTTACACGGTGCAATTTTTCTTGTAACCGTTTGCAATGCAATTCTACTTCTAAGAGATATAAATTAGTGAAGATTCTTGCAGAAGAAAAGTGCATGAAGTGTAACAATGTGTTTCAAAAGAATTGCATTGCAAGACAGGTTGCAGGAAAAATTGCACCGTGTATAACAGGACCTTTAGTCAGTTCCGTCCTAACTGCGTTAGGTATATAACACAATTGAAAAAGTTCCAGAGAAGTAGTGAACACCGGTAGTTAACTATAGATCGACTTTACTGCGTGTGAAAAGAGACGAAGTAAACGGATTAATCACTACTCTGTCGAAAATAGATCAACAGCAGACACATTACTAATTTCGCAAAATGCGAGGCAGTTACAACTTACGACATCCGACATCGCACTATGACCAGCAAAACAAGTGTTTTTACCATAGGCAGCCCAATGGCGACTCGCGTGTTCAGGCAATCTAAGCATTATATAGTATATATATATATATATATATATATATATATATATATATATATATATATATATATATATATATATATATAGGATATATATATATATATATATATATATATATATATATATATATATATATATATATATATATATACCCGTTTGCAAAAACGTTGGCCGCAGATAGATATATATAGATAGATACTCGAAATCTAATTAGAATTGCATATGTTGTGTAATATAATTGAAATCCCATGCAAAGGTAATCATATGCAATTCTAATTAGACTTCGAGTATCTATCTATCTATCTATTTGCGGCCAACGTTTTTGCAAACGGGTGTGTGTATATATATATATATATTTATTGAAAGACTAGCTTAGCTACTCGGAGTTTCACGCTATAAAGCGATCATCAGGCTAATGGCAGGTCTGGTTGTTTTACATCGTGATATAAGGTGTCGAATTACGTGTCTACATTTCGTAAAGAGTTCAGAGCGTTTGTTCAGCAGTGTTCTAGTTTTGTCTTTCATGATATGGAGTTTCTCCTCAAGGCAGAGGTTGCATCTTCTTGAACCGGCTTTGTAGGCTGGGACAGTTTTCAGTAGGGACCATGAAATCGAAAAATCTTTCTTAGCTTCCTTCAGCTTCCATATGTGTTTCGACAGTTCCGTCTCCTTGGCATACTTCTTATTCGCGAAAGATTTTGCGTGATTTCGGTAGCGTGTTTTGAAAACGTCCGCAGTGACTCCGATGTACCTGGCTGGTGGATCGTTGTTGCGCGTGGACACTTCGGCTTGGTAGACTACGTTTGATGTGAGGCATTTACCTTCAGCTGGGCATTTTTCCGGTAGTCTGCAGTTGCATTGTCGTTGTTTGCTTGTGTCGTTTGTGTTTGCGTTTCTCTGTTTTGTGTGTTTGTTCAGTATTTTCTTGTTGTGTTTGTTTATGAATGAGCGCATGTTGTCAAGACAGCCGTAGCTGATTCGTACGTTATGTCGATTGAAAATTTTATGGAGTTGATTGGAAGGTGGGAAGTGTTTGTCTAACAGATGTAGGAATTGTTGTCCGATGTTCGTTTTTACGTTTTTCGAATAAGGGGGTTATACCAGATTATATGGCGATGCCGTTTACGTTTTTGCGTTGTGTTGCTGCTGTCGATGTCTACGTTGTTGGTTGGTTGCTCGTACGTAAGTGTTGCGTCGTAGTTGCTTTGTCTCAGTGCGTTGTTGTACAATTGAGACGCAGCGTCAAAAGTTGTTTTGTCGCATGATAATTTGTTGATTCGCTTGTTGATGGATGATGGAAGTTGTCGTGTGATAGCGGGTGGGTGATTGGAAAGGCGGTTGATGTATAGTGGGTCGTCGTTGGGTTTTCTGTAGGGTTTGTATGTTCCGTTAGCCAAGTCAAGTGTGACGTCAAGAAAATTTACCCGCTTCAAGTTGGCCGTGGCGGTGATTTTCAGCCCGAAATTCGAGAAAGTTTTAGTCAACTGTTTTCTGGCTTTGTCACATAATCTGCCTGATGTAGTGCGTATAACGGCGAGGCCGTCATCGCGGTACAGTCCGACGTTCTCCAGTTGCCCTTCAAGTTTATTCAAGATGAATAGACCGACGAGTTCGCAGATTTCGGCCCCATCAAAACTTCCCATCGTGACATCAAAAGCGTTTGCGGCATTCGACTTTGTCCACGTTTGGTTGTTGTTGAATAATAGTGATTGTCTGGCGTGCTTGATTATTTTGATATCCTGATCGCTAATTTTGGAAAACTGTTTAGCCCATTCAATTGCTTTGTCGAGTAGTTGCTCAGTAATTGATGGGTAGAATTCACATATGTCAAAGTTCAGGAAAGTGTGTTTGTCCTTGTTTTTGATATCCTTGAACCACGCGATCGTGTCATCGGTGTTGCGCCATTGGTTGCTGTTTGTCTGCTTGCGGATGTTGTTGTTAATACTGTCGAGGATTGTCTTACTAACCATTCCGAGGTTGCTCTTGGCAGGATTAATAAGACGGCATTGCGGGTTATTTTCGAAGTTTTCTTTGTGGTCCTTAAGTGAGATAAACGCTGGTGTTTGGGCCATAGGTTCGATGCGATTATCGATTTCGAGTTTGGAGGCAATGGTTTTCAGTTCGTTATTGATGTCCTTCGCGGTGTTGACGTTGGCTATCTTGTATGCCTTGGTCACATTTTCTGATAGTATTTTGGTGTAGGCGGTCGCGCTCATCTCGTACATGTTGCGTGTCTTGTCGGCTGGGATGAAAACATTGGGAGATGTGCGGATTCTTTGTTTGTCGTCTTCTATATATATATATATATACACCCGTTTGCAAAAACGTTGGCCGCAGATATATATATATATATATATATATATATATATATATATATATATATTTATATATACTATATAATGCCTACATCGGCCTGAAAACGCGAGTCGCCATTGGGCTGCCTATGTTTTTACACGCTAATTTTCACTACATGCGGCATATGTATGATTACATCAGGAGTACGGTCAAGCAAGTACACACTGGAACCTGAGTGAAACTAATAATTGTTCTTGAATCGGATATACAGGGTGTGTAATTCATGAAAATTGGTTGGATATAAACCTCATTAATTATTCTCATGATAAATGCAAATTAGTTTGAATAGATATGCAAATCAGTTATAAAAACATGCACTGGTGGTTGTATCGGAAAAATACAACGTTAGTTTATGTATACGTACTAAATCTGGCGGAAAATTCGTGGTCATGGTAATTCCAAACAGCTCAAAACTGATAGGTCACTGCGAAAATAAATGCCTTCATTTCAGCCACGCTTGTCATGTCAGGATTCGTTCAGTTTTTGCCCAGTCCTTTACGTTTTTCAGACACCGGGGAAAACCTGCCCTAGTTACCTTGACCGTTCCGGTACAAGGGGTACCATGCAAGAATAAGTCCCTGACTAATTTGTGTGAAGTATAAAAGTTATCGAAGTATACATGGTAACCCTGATTAAAATTCTTATCTATCAGTCGAATCACCACATCATATCCCAGCACATGCTGTGCCGAATCTCTGGACTTCTTCCCTGTATATATAGAATCCACATCAACCCACAGCTTTATTCCCCATTTTGTAGGCTTGTTTTTCATTAACTGCTTGATTCCTGACCGATTCCTCGATTTGACAATGCGTTCGTCAACAGCAATATTCTGTGACGGCTGGTACAATTGTTGACATCGTTCTCTAAAAATGCAACAAAAGACTCCACCGTATATGCAGCTTATTGCTGCGGTCTTCAGTGGCAGGGTCCACCACGTCTAGAAATGCCATAACAGACTTATACCTACACCTTGAAATTATCGTCCTTGCCCAAAGACCGTGGTATAGGGTCTTTACACTCCAGTAATTTTCAACGAAACTGTCGACCTTTACCAAACCCGCGTACACCATAAATGCAATCAACCTCTCAATTTCGTCAAGCTTGGTGGGCGTCCAGGCTCCTTTATTCATTAGTGTACGAGGATGGTTTCTGGGCCACTTTGATGTAGGCATATCTGGTATTTGTATGTTCAACCACCTTCTAGAGGATTTCCTTTCTGAGAAACAGTCGAAAAAACTCAATCTCACAGTTCATGCTTCTGGTGAAAGCGTGATCAAAATGGATCCAGGCAGAACGACAAGGTGGAAAATTTGGGAGGATGTTTCTGATGTCGGGATCACCAAATCCGTCGTGCTCTATGGGCTCTAGTCAGTGCAATACAAAGAGCTTTCACCTTGACTGCTCTTAGGTTTATCACTTCCTTTACGCTTAGGTCTTTTTCTGATGGGGAAGTGGGATTCTGATGATCCGTCGTCAGAACTAGTACTACCCTCACGCTCAGGGTCACGCCAGGTACCGGATCAATACTTTCGTCACTAAAAAAGAAAATATTTTTAAAAGCATTATTTCGCGATGAAATGCCTTTTAAGCTTTGGGTATAATGGGGCAAAATAATAGTTAAAAGTATGTCTCGTTTTGAAGATATGATTTCATCTTTTGAAATTGACTGTGTTTGACATAAAACTTGTGTTCTCAGATATTTTTTGCATTTAAACTGCTATCTTTGTAAATCAAATTATTATAAGAATTTTAAAATAGTATAATACTCCTGTAGCTAAAATAATCGCCTAGCAAGCTTCTCAGTTGTTCTTGTGTTTTTTAGTTTCGGCTCGGATAAGAAAGATGTGAAATATTATAAGAAATAGTTTGAATAGTTTGAAAATACCTGCCTCGAAGCTTCAGAAACAACCCCTAGCGCTAAGTTAAGATACTCTTCTTCGTCCGAAAACATTCCATCGCTACTAGCACTGTCGATTTCCTATCCATTAACGTCTTCATTATCGAATGGACTTGCAGAAGCCATGTTTACAGTGTGACAACACAACTGAAAAATTATACACAGCCTACACAGTTAAATGTGGAACGTTGCCGTTGCCATATGTTTGTTTTTCTCTCTAAACCAATGAAAATCCGTTTCCAAGGTAAGAACAACCAAACGGAAGTGATTATTAAATGGTTGCCATTTTTACCTTGGAAACGGATTTTTATTGGGCTAACGGTAAAATTGACTTAATATAAACGCATAAACGCGTTGATATTACAAAACAGCCGCAAAAATTCAAATTTTAAATTTCGATAAATACGACTGTGATTGTGATTGGTTGTTGTTACCACATCACAAATAGAAATAAAGATTTTTACTGGTTAAGAAATAGTTCCAAATCTCTTAATTGTTCCATCCAAGAAGATTAGAAAATCGTCTACACTGGGAAATATATATGCAAGGACGGCAATAATATTTTTAATAACAAAATACTGAAATGGAATTTTCTCGGCATTCTGACTCGTCGTATTGGTGAACAACGCGCGCGGCTCATCTGCATTATTTATCGGATGCGTATATATTAGTATAATTACAATACATAGCTCTCACTGTATAATTATATGAGTTATTCTACAATCTTATTGGTCGAGATATTGGTCGTATATCAGCTCATATACGGTGAGTAGCAAAAACAAAATGGCCAAATGGCCCAAATCAAATGCAGCGCCAATTTCCTCCTTGTTCATTAAACCAGCACTTTCTGATGAACTGTTTGTAACTTTGAATTGTTAAATGCTGTATTGGATATATCGAATATTGGGATTGGGAGAAATTCAAATGCAGCACCCCAAATAAAATACTGCGAATTTGCACTCTCCATGGAGTTGCAAGGAATATACATACTAGTGAGTTTGGGAAATACAACGGCAACGGCAACCGCAACGTCCTTATCAACAATGGCATGGATCCTTTAAGACAAAAGAAAATGTAAATTACGTGGCCTTTAACGTTGCACACTACCGTAGTTGCTGAAATGGCATCGTGACTTATACCAATTTCACGGTGCATGACAACGCGGCAACAGTTAATGTGTTCGATGTTATTTGGAGTGTTAGATGTAATTTTGCTGATCGACCATATTTATAATAGTTAATGACTGTTTCAGAGAAAGAGGAAACTTGAAGAGGCAAATCAAGTCGATCCTAACTCGTATTTTCTTTGAATACCACAATATTAGGTGAATATATTTTGCCGTTGCGGTTGCCGTTGTATTTCCCAAACTCACTATTGCCATCAGGGGGAGACGGTGTCAGCACTCAGCAGTAAGAGGTGCTGATTGCTGCAGATTGCCTAATATAGAGGGGAAGCAAGAAATGGAAAGCACGGTATTATAAGATTGAAGACCAGGGCGCTTATAATCATATTATATTATTATAAGCATTCTGTTAAAGACTACAGAGACCAGAGGATCGTATTTTAAAATTTAAAGCAAATCATCATACAAACACCAACACGAACATGTTACGGTATGTTTCGATCTTTATTTACTGTGAAAAAACGTTACCCAAATATATGATCATGCTAAACTCCCTATTGCCGGCCTATAGCCAAATGACTTTCGTCCTACATATCATGTCTTAAATGTAATTTTATATGATGTTAAGAAACGGCATGTCATGTTCAAGTTACTAGATAAGGTCTGCTTTCTTCCGGGCGATAATTTGATAAACAGAAGAAGAAAAAACTTCCACTTTTCCATCAACATTCACAAATTTGTTTTCGAAATCTTTTCTCTTGTCACTAGATATCTTTGTTGCATCATAATAATCCGAGGCAAACAAGAAGGCTAGGAATTCATCTGCACTGGAAAATATGTGCGTACGGTGATAATAATCACTGGAAATAATATCAAAACCTGATTTCTGAAGCAGCTTTTCAATCACGTATTTCGTAACAAAATGCTGGAATGGAACCTTCTCGGCCTTATCACTCGTCGTATTAGCCAACAGCGATCCAGCTGCGTTGTCGTCTATTCGGATGAGACTTTTCGCTGCTTTAAATACTTCGGGTTCGTCCTCGAAGCTTTGAATTGCAATTGTGCCTCCTGGTTTCAGACATTTAAACGCAGTTTGGACGAACATCTCCTTTTCCTCAGCATCGAGCCATTGAATGACAAAGTTACTGAAATGTATATCGTATTGTTTATCTAAACCAATAAATTGGCTTGAACTGTCGCCATGTCTAAATGTAAGATTCTTCACGGAATGATTTTGAATGGCAGTCTTGATTCTTTCCACGTCTGGATCCACACCGACTACGAGACCTTCTTCGCCAACGCTCGCTGCAAGAAATGATGTGAGTTCACCTGTTCCACATCCCATGTCTAGGATTTCCTTCCCGTGTTTTATGCCAGCTGCCTTGGCAAGGTTTTTACCGTATTGCAGTTGCCAATCATTTACCTTGGAATACGTCTCTGCGTTATATTTTGTACCACGTTGATTACTGAATGTTGTGGACATGATGAGTTATAAAGTAAAACCAAGCTTTATCGTCATATAACTATATATAGCTTGTTATGTGTCTATATATTATGCAAATTCTATGCTTTTTATGCTGTCGACGTGTTCATGAAATAATTGGAATCTTTCACTCGGAAATCAAAACAATGGGAAGCGACCGGATGGTCGATAATGAAGACGATAATTACTTTGGTAAGTAATACTTTTATTGAAAGTCTGGTATTGAACACTGTCTAGTATTTCGTAAGGCAAAATTTATATATTTAACTGCGCAAAATGCAAAGGAAACAGACTGACGTAGGCATTCCAATTAACCTAGTTGAAATTCGCTAGTGGAAAACCGGCTTTACGGATTCAAAATTCTACGTCTCTACACGTGAGCAATATTCTCTTCAACACTCGAAATAAATTCCATATTTCCGCGCAACCATATAATACTCTCTATATATTTACTATATATAATGCATGTCATACGTATAAACAGGATAAAAGGTTGATGTAACAGGAAAAATGATTCCTCACGGTAATTTTTTGTGGGGAATGGTCCCAGAGACACTTAAGAATTCACACCTGATCACTTCGCTTTGTTAAAAAGATCTAAATATAATAATATACAAAGGGTTCTCTTTCACGGCTCGCTCGCTCCGTGTTCAAAAAGCACATGTTATTATTTATGCCATAAATTAACCTAATCAACTAGAATGTCAATCCCAGTTCTCGCGCTGTCTCACAGTTTCTAACACCCTCCTCCCATTAAAGTGTCCTGTCTGACAGCTTTAATGTCACTTATCAACTTTCGTTTCATTCCTCTTCTTCTTCGTTCATTGCAATTCCGACTGTACGATTTCTTGCCGTTACTTTCGCAGCTCTCGAAGGTCTCTCAGAAGCGTCTGGCTTATCGTTATTTCCCTCATAAGGAGTTGCTTCTTTCGGAGTTGTTTGTTTCATCACGCGCGTCTGTGTTTTCCCTTCTTTTTCCTTGCTTGCCATTTCGTCTGTCGACCCGCCAATCTCCAGGTCACATACTAGTTGAAGTGGTCTCTCAACAATCTAACCATTTCGGGCATTTCCTGTCTTTAACTTCTATCCTCTCAAACCATTATCTCAACCTCGAATAACGTCAACAATTCGTCCGATTCGCCAATTCTTTATTTTGCTATCATCGGTTATAAGTACGATTGATTGATCCTTTCGACGGTAATCCTTCCTCGGTATTGAAAACCTTGCGGTGCCTCTCCTGCAGAGCGTGGACGTACTCGTGACTAGTGAGCCAACGCTATTTAATGTGTTCTCGACAAACTTAATTGGAGAAATCTAATTCGCTTGGTCGCCTTCCCTCTGTTGTCCATTTTTTCTTCATCCTCTTCCAAGAAGTTTTCTGGCTGACCACGAAGAAGTAAATTTGGCGTGATAACTGGTTGTTCAAATTCTTCACCTTCCACTACAGGGAACGTTAGCATCGCTAGACCAATTACTTTAGTCCAACTGAATTTTAATTATCCCGACAAGCCTCTCGAAGCCATCCCACCAGAGAAATCTAGACAAATTAAATTGCCAAGGTATCCGCTGCGTCGTTAGACAGTTAAACAAGTCCGTATCCTTAGTAAGACCGTCTAGCCACTGCTTGGCCGCTTTGCCGGTTAACGCATTATCACTCGCGATTTTTTTCGGTGCACCGCGTCTAGCAACGAACTCTTTAAATCCTTTCTTGAATTCCTCAGCGTCCATGCTCTTCTTCAACTTCAGATCAACCGCTTTTGTCGTAGAACAGTTGTAAAGAGCAACGTAAGCCTTGCGTTACATTTCGGTTATCTCTGTAGAGAATGGGACCAGCAAAGTCCACTCCTGTCACTGCGAAGGGTTCTGTCATCACGGTCTGAAACGTTGGTAGAGACGCCGTTGTCGGATGCTTTAGCGCTTTTGGTCCGACTTGCTTGCAAGTGTTGCAGCTATTCACGATAACCTTCACCAATCTTCGCAACCTTTGTACCCAAAATCGTTCCCTTGTTTTTGCTATTGTTGAGCTTACTCCTCAGTGACAGGTGAATAAGGATGGATAGCAGAAGTGTTCTGGATGGCTGTTCTCATACCTTTTTCTTCAATCTGATTTTCACGGATACTCTCCCTTGACGATTGTTCTGGTTGTTGAGATGTCATGAACCCCACTTGTTCTCCAACATTTCCGTTTTCCTTTTGACTGTTCCTTGTGTTACCCATTGATGATCTTTCTCGTTGCAGGCATATGGAGGTATGGTGTTTTTGCCCGCAGTTGTGGCACCCTCGAGCTCTGCATGCTGATGCTGTATGTCCCACAGATTATTATTATTTATCATTAACATTTATTTAAAGACGCTAGCCCCGACAGCAACTACAGCTGATTTCCACGGGGGGCGTCTATATAATAAAGTTATACAAATGGTAAAATAAACACTATATACAATATAAACAAGAGAGGTAAAAGATACAGAAGTTTCTGGTGGAGTGACCCAGGGGCAAAGGAAGTGCGAATAATAATTCAGATTCTAATTGCTAACATCTAATATTTCGTTTTATAAGATTTTTGAACGCAAATATTGAGTTAGCTAGCTTGGCTTCAGACGGAAGATTGTTCCAAAGGCTGGCGGCACTATACTTAAAACTTCTTCTAAGAAACTCTCTTTTTGGTTTTGGAAGAGCTAAATCAGATCGAGAATTTCCGAGGTTGAAGCTGCTTTGTATGGTATTCCTACTTATGAATGAAGTTTTCAAGACCGGAGCGGCAGTATTGTTCAGTATTTTATAGAGGAATATTGCCTTGGATAAGAGCGGTCTAGTTTCCAGATTTTCCCTACCAAGGGATCGAAGAACGTCAGCAGATCTAGTCTCAAAACTGGCGGCAGCAATAATTCTAGCAGCGCGATTTTGCAGTTTCTGTAAATCGTCACTAAGTGTTTTATTACAAACTCCCCAAAGGGGAGAACAGTAATCAAAGTAAGGCTGTATCAAAGCGTTGTTAATGGAAATCAGAATATTAACAGGAACATAGTGTTTGATTCGCTTTAAAATTCCAAGACCCATTCCAACTTTATTGCAAATCAGTTCGATGAGTTTCATCCCACTTCATTTTTCATCAAGTTTGACTCCCAAGCACGATATTGAGTGTACTCTAGGAATCGGTTGATCGGTAATCATGACGGGAGGCTCATTAATAATTTTGGCGAGGATATGATTAGATCCAACATGCTGTGTATCGTCAGCAAATAAGCATGCGGTTGATTTCTCAACGCAATCAGGCAAATCATTAATGTAGAGTAGAAACAATAGGGGGCCTATATAGAATCTTGGAGGACCCCACAAACAATTCTTTTAGGTGTTGACATTGCACCATCGATAATCGTCACTTGTGACCTATCAGAAAGATATGATTCAAACAATTTTAGTTCTAGATTAGAAATTCCAAATTGCACTTTCATTTTTCTCAAAAGAATTTCCTGGTTAATCGAATCAAAGGCTTTTCGGATATCAGCAACAACAATTAACCCCATTTAATTCACCATTATCCATGTTCTCGTATAGTGCATCACACATTTGAATTAGTGCAGCTAGGGTTGAATTTTTAGGATTAAACCCGAATTGATGTCTGGAAAGTAAAGAATTAGAATTCAAGTATTCGTACAATTGATCATAGTTTATGGAGGGGGGATTGATTTAAAATCGACCTCTCAAAAATTTTACTAATAACCGGTGGGATTGAAATAGGGCGACAATTTTCACATCTTTTTCTATCCTCAGATTTATAAATATAGGAACGACCCAAGCCTTCTTCTAGTCATCAATAAAAATCCCCGTTTGGAAACAAGGGACTAATAATTTCAGCAGATATTTTAAGTGTATTCGTCCTTTGATCCAAGCGGCAGACGAGTGCTTGCACGTAGCCTGCCGTTAGTATGTGTTTGAATGCGTAAGTCACAGGAAAAGGAAAATGACTTTCCTTCGGATGAGCAAGGCGAGGTAGAAGGAAAGTTGTTTTTACCAAAAGGGATTGTGAAAAGGGTATGCATGTTTGCCATAGTATTTTGGTTGTGCCAAATTAGTGGTTTTCAGGTAGCTAAATGGAAGTGCGTCAGAACGGTTTCCGAACCGAGGGTCGGTTGAATCAAGCCCGTTTTGCTTAAACGTTAAGTTCAAAATAGGAAGCAAGTCTATGGCTTTATTCAACAAGCAAACTTACTGTTTTTAACCCTAATACGAAGCTACTGTTCACAACTACATATTCAGTGTATATAATATTAAAGTTGACTCATTCAAGAGAGATGTAAGAGTTATTTAATTTTGACTTATCCGCCGTTTAGGTTAACGGGCTTGATACAATCCCATGCAGCCCCAGGACTATAAGTAATTGTGTTATAAGTAACTGTCTTATAGTTAGATTGTTAGTTGAGTTGGAGTGGGTTAGATTTTACGTATATAATTCGAGTGTGAACGGGTGTGAAATCAGTAAATTAAAGATAAAAGTAAAACCAGCATGTGCACGTCAATTTGCTGAATGAAGCCAGTGAATTCTGCGACAAATGCAATTGATTTATTTGATTGGGTGCGAATACGGCGCAATTCCAACCGTAAATAACAATGCGTCACACAAGAATTCTTACTTGATTGGTCATATACCGTTTATTCTTTATACTATACGGTTCAAACAAGCTCGCTCGATGTCATTGCATGGACTCGATGTTGCAAACTTGCCTCGTTTTCCATTTGTGATCAAATTACTTGGGGTTGTTTGTGCCAGAGAACAGCTAGGGAATGGATGTCTGCTTTTGTTTTTCAATTATACGAAAGCTAAAAAGGCTACATGCATTATATCAAATGCTCAAGATAGAATTTGAGAAAAAACTACCCTTTATATTGAAATAACACAATTTGTTTGAATCATCGAATTATGTAAATCATTTTGTTTTGAACATTTGTGTTTTGAACTTTTGTGTTTTGAACCGTTGTGACACCTTAATCGAGTTAATGGCGGAATTATTGTCGGAATAACTTTCCGATAAGCCAAATATTATACACTTAATGTATGCTCTCGAGGGAAATAGTGAATTTTGTTTTCCCAAGAGTTTGTTATATAGGGAACAATGTTACCCAACAATTTCATTTCAAAAAAAACACTTTGTTATGACAATACGCGGCACACGAGTAACCAAACAATAAACAAAGAAGAATGATATCTAAGTTAACCATCTTTCAGAAATCCCATGCATATCTTCGGAATGTTATATATATACGCATTGATGAAATTTTAATAAGAAATTGTATTTATAGTGCATGCCTAAAGAAATATACAGAAATGTATGAATTACAAAATTCTCGCAAAAAATTCTAAATGCTAGGATAAACTCACAGTTAATCAAAACTGCGTGAAGGATAACCCCCATGCAAAGACGAATATATACGAGACCTAATATATATACACATACTTGTACAACGCATTTGATAATGATGTTAATAATGTGCAGTGGTTTGGAGCATTTCAGTGTTATAGTGCCCATTTCAAAAAAACCGCCTTATTTTAAACGCTAGCAACCGAAAAACCACGGCACAATTCAAGATTTGCTCACTTTGATGGATGAAAAATTAAAACCAATTAATAAATTCGCTATAGCCAGCAACTTCGCAAGAAAAGTTAACAAGTATTATGACAGGATTCATCGTTAGGCCTTCGTTGTAGAACAAAGCGTTCGGAACAGTTTTTGCAGGTCAACTTCGGAGTACGAATTGTTTTGGATAAGATTTGTCACAAAGCTATGTATGGCAGAGAACCATTCTCTGTAATCTTGTCTTTTTTCGCCGACTGAAAAAAAAAGTTACTTGCATTGGCAGGAGTGTAGCGAAAATGCAATTGGGTTGGGGTAAAAGGCCCTGGGATCGGCCAACCGCTTCTGACTTCTGTGTGTTTATATGATTTTTCCTAATTCATGTGTAATTAGCGGAATATTTTGTAATCATTCCGAAATAGAACAATTCCAATATGCTTTAATGCGACAATATTATCCGTTCTACGTGACGCCGGCATTTTGAAAATATTAGGGAAAACTTTATGATAAATTCTACTTATTCAAAATACCCATGAAATGTGGGTATCCCAGGGCCTTTTGGGACTTAATAGGGGGGTTGGGGCTGGGGCTAGGGCTGGGGGCGAGAGAAGAGAAGAGGAAAGGCCCTGGAGACGAGGTTGGCGAAAATGGGGAAATGGAGATCAAGGCAAGACCATGCAGGTAGTTTGCTACACTATTATACGTTTCAACAAAATACTTTAGCACCATTTTATAAGAGTTGGAAATTATCGATACAAACAACTTGCAGTTACCAAGGCTATGGACTCTTCAAACGGGATTTCAAAACCTCGATTGGTACAAAATGAAGAACGAATATGTATATTCGGAAAAATAATTCGGACATAATTTTTATTATCATTTTTAGGTGATTCTTTTATTAACCATGAAGGTGAGAGATGCATGTATACTGAACGCGTTGAGAGGCAAGATCCCGTAATGGATAAATAAACGGGTATAATATTTTCAGCGTGCGATGGCGAAAGAAAACTAACATATAGAATCACAAAATCAAAAACTGGTCTTCATCTAATAACTGTTTTGCACGTTTGGCAATAATACAGCTCAAAATTTCGGCGAAAGAATAAATAAGTATTACTCGGACCCTTATTCCAATCAAGCAAATATTTTAAGAACTAAATACTGAAAAAGGCGTCCCAGATTTTCATTATAGCTACCAATTTAGTCTTCAATTAATGGTTTGAATGCAGAAAATATAGCGAAAAAAAAAAGGATTAGATAAACAAGCGTATACAAAAGATGAACTCTTACCTGGAAGATCTTTGTTCTCAATTTCGAAAAGACGTTGATAATACAACAGCTGTGTATATAACGTTGTGTCATTATACTGAAAGAGAAGAAAACTGTTAGAGCTAGATCATGAATAACAGACCAGGACTACCAAGAATGCAAACGAGTTTAAAAAACTTTAATTATGATCCATTTACTTTGGTCCAGGCCTCAGAACTACGTCGTACCAATTAAGTTTATACGAAATGTTGACGATATCTTACCTCGGGAAAAAGATGACCACGCTCACAAGCACAAAGAAGGGCTCCGCGCTGATTGGCAGAAGAGATATCTCTCGTAAGCTGACCACACGATGAATCATCACAAATCATCCAGGCCTTAAACGCATTGTCACAATATGGCAAAACAGGTCAGATATTAAAGTATATACAAGCAGTGTCTTTGGAAGGATAATTAAAAAATGTGAAAAACTTATTCCTTGGGGTTGTTTCAGTGGCAAATTTTCCTCCCTTCCTGACCCAGAAGTGAGACTGTGTTACAATTAAGCATCAAAATTGCAAAACTTACAGCATAGTATTTCTTCACATGTTTTCTGATCAACAGCGTAAGTTTGTTTATTACAACTTCCTTTTTAAACCTTTTGTTGCAATGTGAGCATTGAGAATAATCAAGAGCCTAAAAGCATAATAGTATTTAGAATCATGAGAAAAACCCTCATGCAGCGACACTTGTATTCAAGCTAGCTCACAACTTTCTTAAACTTTCTCTATACTAAATGTTGGCCGTATCCCTAAAAAATGTATCTACCTATAACGCCTTAAACGGGGGCTATGGGGGTATGAAAGCAATGAGCTACACTCTAAATATTTCATCTTGTCTAATATCGTGTATACCCTAATTATTATAGATAGCTTTTTCTTCATTTTCGATTTCAAGGGCTTAAAGTATATTATATAGCTAATGACTTTAGCTAAGATCTACCAATTGCCCAACAATTCCTTAATGATTAGAAATATTTCAGTGATTATTTCCTTCTTGTTACCTAGATCACAAGTTGGTCTATTGTCCTCAATTTTTATAGAGAAACGTTTCATAAAGATATACACAGCGGCTATACAAAAAGTCTTTCAATCTTTGTAATAAAACATATATAATTATATACATGTATATACCTTCTTTGTAGAAGAAAGATCATATACATATTGCTCCCCACAACCATCCTTACAACGCATTGAAAATGGATCACAATCCTATAGCGAAATATTATAACAACAATATATAAAGGACTGACCAATCTTGTAAATAATGAATGATTCCAGGCAACGACTTTCGGGGTCATAATAATCAATAGTTGTCCTGAGAATCTCAGAAGTAATTTTTTGTATGTATGTCGAGGACCAGGGAAGATATGAAAATAAGCTTAGTATTTTTTTTCTTTTACACACTTTTACAAATTTTTTTCTTTTTTTTAATACTGTTATTGCCAGTGACTGCTTAGCTCGATGATGCATTTGCCATTGCCCATACTAATTGTGGGCATATATCTGTCATATGAAGCAATATTTTATTTAACCTTAAACCGTTCCTCGTCACTCATTTGTGCCTCACCACCAAGTAGAGCGTCATTTTCGTCTTTATGCGCAATGGAAGAACGATATCCGGACGGATCCAGCCCTTAATAAATTAGTCCACATTTTAGTAGCAGTAGCGAAAGTAGTCGTTATTTAACGATGTTCCCAGGCGCGCTGTTTTCAGGGCAAAATGTTGTTTTACCATTATTACCATTGAAAGGGCCTAACATGTTGCTGGTTTGGAAAAACATTAACTTTTGCTCAACATTTCAAATGACGTACAAGTTGATTTAAACCATTTTTCTTTCCCCAAAAGGAATTACAGTGCAATAGTCAGTTGGTTTAAATGTCAAGTGTACGACTGACTGGAAATTTGTACAAACAATATCAACACATTACATGCACGATCAAAAAATTAGATATCTCCATATTACATTGAATATTTAATTTGAATTTGTTTTGTCATATTTCTCGCCCCTCTTAGGGAATGGCTAATAATCAAACATAAATTAGAAACGTTCGAAAACAAAAAATACTGCCGATCTTTGTTATGGTAAAAACGGAAGATGCCAAAATCAACTACTTCACCATGCACCCTTGCAAGAAACATAATTTCATTCAGACACGTGCAATATTTTTACTCTAAATGGTCTGACTAATAATCTGGCTTGCTCAGTTCTTCCTACAAAGAGAAACCAAACATACGTCGAACGAACACTGTGCATGCGTGCGAGTAAATCATACAGTTTTTTGAAAAAAGGAAACAGGAAATGGTAAATATACCAAGACAGCTCGCGATGTGGGCCGAGTCAGTTCCATCAATCGGGTCACATAACCGAGACACGACAGGATGAACTTGGTTGGCCAAGTAATATTTGCTGTCTGAAAAGGTGGTCAAGGAGATATATTTTTATTAATAACTTTTGAAATGGTTAAGAATACAGTGGAATTCTAACCACAGTTTAGTGAACAATATTTCGGAAACATTGTATATGTTGCAGTTTATCGAGTTTCATTAAATAAGAAAGGATACCGAGTATAAGTGTTTCAGATCGTTGAAATTCTTCAGGATGATAAGCTCGCTGAGCCATGGATAACGTTGAACCATCCTGAATCAGAATCAAGAGAATAGCTTCACAATGTAATACCAACCAGTTGAATATGTTTTCATCCAGGATTAGGATAAGAAATAGGTGTTTAATACAATAGATAAGCAATGAAGAACAATAAATTATTTACTTGACATCTGTATAGTTGCAAGGAAGTTTTTTTCAACAGTGTTACTGTGTTCCCACTTCCTACATTGCGTTAATTTAGTCACGAAAGGGAGTGAAAGGTTGGTATATAATTGAATAGCATCAACTTACATCGCATATGACGTAGGGAATGGTGTCACCAACATTGACCTTCTTGTTCTTACTCTTCATCCACAATGCAACATGAACATGCGGTAGTGATTTCTTGTCTGGATACTCGTTAGGAGCCTTTGTTAGTTGCTAGAAATCAAGTACAACACTCCCACAATTTAATCTCTATACTTTTTTATACATGCATTGTATGATATTAAAAAAGTCTTTGAATTATACGAGAGGTCAAGCAAAGTACATGCTAAGTCTATCGTGCGCGTTTTTTGCCGTCTTCCAGGTACGGGATTCTCGTAATATATACATCTGCAGTTCTTTTCATGAACATAATGATTGTCCTCGACAGCACTTTTCGAATGACGATATACTATGCAGCACATGCTTGCATGCAGGTGCGAGGCATTGATAAAAAAAGCACACTCAATAGAACGAACCAAGTCACTTCGATTCGGTTTATAATTTAATTTGTCAATTTGTCCCCTTCATTATTTTACTCGTTTGATCTTAATATTCTTATTTCATTATTCCTTTTTGACTTACATCAAATAATTTCACAAAGTTTACTTCAACAGTATCCCGCCTCTAAAAAGACTTACTTTGTTGATGACAAACTTCTCCAACGATAAACTTCCGCCTTGGACATCTTTCCCAACTATGGAGAAAAAACTTTAATAAAATACATTTTAACCAATTCGAACATGCACAGTTGGCTGAGGTAAGTGCAGTATTTACGACCATTCAAAAAAATTAATATTCCTTTGAATATTCGGAATTCTCGCAACAACATATTTTTACCTTTCCCTAAATAATCAGCAATATTTTCCACGATTGTGTCCCTTACTTCAGCGGAGAGAATTTGATCGAGAACATAACTAAAAAGATTTATACCCGAATTGATATGATACGGGGGAATATACTTTACATTGTCCACGATAAGCGTTCATTGTGGCTATCTGAGTAAATAATTTCTTAATCTTATTGACCTTTGTATAATTGCCAGCTGACATGCATTACTGAACCGAACTTAACCTTTTTTGTAATTTCATTTTGGGGCGCTTTATGTGCATCACTGCATAATCATTACTATCAGGAGGGAAATTTTTAAGAGGAGAAGAAGGGGTATATTAGGGGAATTAAATCAATTCTTGTATTCTTGTAAGATTGAGAACACGAAAAAAGAAAAAAATGCTGCTGCTGCCCTCGCTAATATCTTTGCCAATTGACATCATAACAGGAAGATTATATGAAATTCTACCAAAATTATTCAAGAAAATTAATAAAATAGCTTTTCATGCAAACTTACTTGCCAGCATCCTTGGCTAGTTGACACCAGTCTCTTCGGACAATATCCAGACCTTTAGTCTCTTTTGCCTCATGAAACTTTCCTATAATGAAGTCAATAACATGATTTCCTTTAGGACTTCGATGGTACCTTGATTGATCTTGGAACGTTGGAACGAACGTTGGTAACATTGCGGAAAATGCGACATTCTCTAGTGCTGTCATCACTAAACTACAGAAACTGTTGCTGGAATAGGCAAATAGATCTCCGCAGATTAGTGGTAAAAACACTTTTTCGGAACCGAAGAGGCGTACGTAGATCTATTCCTGCGGGAGAATGCATCTAAAGTGATTTTTCACGTCGAAACCTCAATACTTAATTTAGTTGAAAAACAAGGGGAGCGCACAATCAAAGCCCCGAAAATCTGCTGTGCACGGTGCAAGCACTTGGTAGATTCACTCTTACACTTCTAGTTGCCAACATTTATTGCTTGCAGAAATCGTAAAATTACAATGCACGAGACAAAGATACGTTAAAAAAACACCCACCATTCTCGAGAGCTTGAACAGAGATTGCTGCATACCTGTGAAATATAAAACGTGACAGTTATTGAAGTCAATCGATCCTAATGACATTATTACAGCTCTCAATTTAAGAGCGGCGTCGAGCAACATTACAATTAACATAATTCGAATTCTCCTTTCTGTAATGATGTTAACACAATTTTGAAGAAGGACAAAAGTTAGAGTAAAAGCGAGGAAAAGAACCAGTATTTATATAGATTAAATAAATATATTAATAAATAAATTACTGAACTTACTTTTTTTTCTTCAGTAATAACATCGATTTATAGACGCCATCAATGTCAATTTCGAGAAGCTTGTACAATTTATTTACTTCATTTTTTACCTACAAATTGCGAGATAAGGGTACATAAAAACTTGCCACGAAAAAGCTGCTTGTTTTGCAACTGAAGACGTCAAAAATCAGGGGTTATTTTTGCATGTTATACATAAGGCATACGCATAATTATTGAATCAGCTTCGAATCGAAATTTCACACAGTGCCATAGTTGAAAATGAAATACCTACATATATTCACATCCAGGAAAGTGCATGCGAACCGCGTGGCGCAAAAGATATTGCCGAACTCAAAACAGCAGAAACTATATAGCTATTAAAACAATTTCAAATGCATACCTTGTTCCCTAATTTTAAAACATCCTTGAAGTCTGTTGTATTCGTGTTGATCATGATAGAATCCGTATCGCCATAAATCACATCCAGATTCATACCTTGAACCAGATCCTTGGTTTTCAATAAAATCTAAAATTGAAAACGTTATGGTATGACCTCTTGAAAACAGCATGCGTTGACAATTCCTGATGAAAAACGTTCATATATATGTAGTTGTTTCCTGAGATTCCGATACAGCGCTCTAAAGAATTATGTGAAGGGGTGCACCGTGATAAAAAACCTGAAAACATGGTAGATTCTCGTGGAATACGCAAGCACGAGGATAACGCGAATGTAAAACGTTCGTAGGGACACTCAATTATCACTACTACAATATAGATAGAAGTCTTTACTCGTCGGCGATGACAATTCTATACTCAAAACATACGTTTGAGTTTGTATCGACTTCACAAAAAAACTGTTCCTTCAAAAAATGGATCAAGGGGTTCTATATATCACTGCATGGGTGCATATCAGTGCGCATGAGAGCATTTGGCATGAAGAATGCGCAATTAATATGAATGAACAAAATTTACACATTTTTATTAACCAATCAAGTGCCATGCAAGTTTAGAAAGCTGTTTGCTTTTGAACTTCGGAATGAACTTTGGCAAAAGTAATGCGAAATCGAGGGATAAAATCTTCCGCGCGTGCGTGTATGAAATGCGTATCTGAAAAACCTCGTATAACCTTGGGACAAAAAATTCTGCGGACGGAAAGTTATGTAAATTATCATAGACCGACAGAACTAAACAAATAACACTCAAATAACGCTAATCTGCATTACAGTAAACACGAAAATCCTACTTTTGCCGACGTTTGCTCAGCGAATTAAACGACTATTGTAGGGGATGGTAAACAAGAAGTCGACATTCTCTCGTTTCTATGATGAATAGTCACAAACACGGTGTCGAGACAACTGAAGGTTAGTTCAAACAGAAACGCAACTTAATCTCTGTGTAAAATTAACGCAACGAAATGTATAGAATATAAATGTGATGCAATCCATCGACGACGAGAAGGTATCAGTTTTGGCAAACAGTCCCGCATAACAATTAACATGCAGGATGGGTGATATTACTAAACAGCGTTGTATTTTTGATACACTTCAGATCTCACTGAAGTGTTGTCATGTTTTTTATATATAAGATTGTTTGGCATCAATCAATTATGAATCAAAAACCCTCCTTTTATATATTATATATAGGGGGAAAGGCACATTGACGGTAGAACAAAGAACATGGTTTATCAATCCAATCAGAGAAGTTAAGCCATATGGCTGTATAAGAAAGCCATGATGCTGGTTCAGTGAAGGCGGTTGGCAGAGGCATTTCCTCATTTCAAATATATTTTAAGCCCAGCCAAGTAGTCTGTCTCATTGTTTATGCAATTCGTTAAGCCTCGCACACATCAGAACTCATTAAACGTTTAAATCGATTAGGAAATCACTCCATATATGATATTGTGTACATTCAGAAAGAGAGATTTATCGCCGCGAACACTGTTAACACAGTAAACACGCAATTTAACAACATAAAGTGTGTCGCCTCCTTCAACTTCAAACACATTTAGAGGAATGGAAGCTCAAAATGGCGAAGACACAAATCACATCAACGAAAAAGACAATCCCGGCAACGAAGGAGGAATGCCGGCGGAGAAGAGCGAAAATATAGCAGACAAACCATTGGAAGAGAGCATATCGAAGGTACACGAAAAACAATATGCATGACTATACTGTCAACACTAAGATTGCAAAAAGATTATCATAGGGACCCACTAATGCGATCTCTTGTTCCTTCAGGAAAGTTTATCCGAAATCCGCGAAGCGTTCAACATATTCGACAAGGATGGGAATGGTTACATCACCGCTTCGGAGCTCAGACACTTTTTATCTTCCCTGGGTTACAACATGACCGAAGCAGAACTCATGGACATGATGAATAAGATAGGTAAAATCCATATATAGGTAGCCCAAATTTGCGTGGTCATTTTAACGCGAGAAATTTTTCGGCAATTTATCAACATAGTAAAAACTGAAGATACAATAGAAACAATGATAAAATATGTATGTTCATTGTATATCCTCAAACATTTAAAGTAAAACCTGCAGTATTTTTGCATGCAAAAATATACAATCTCGTGACCAGCGCCGTATCCGATGCAGCCGTATATCTGCCGCTCGAGGCTTTAAACTTACTAAATAACTCAGTTTCAAACATTTCTGTTATATTAATCATAAACAGACGCTGATGGTAACGGTGCGATAGATTTCCCCGAATTCCTGGAACTGTCTACCAAAAAGCTCCACGTGCTATCAGAAGAAGAGCTGGCACAGCAGACATTTAACGTGTTCGACAGGTCACAGAAGGGGCACATCTCTACGAACGACTTGAGACACATCTTCACGACATTAGAGCAAACATTCGGTGAGCCAGAAATGCAAGAAATGTTGCTTCAAGCTGATTTTGACCAAGATGGTAGGGTGGAGTTTAAAGACTTTTTAAAGATGATGAAGAAAGAAACATCGGAAAGATGATCGCTTCAACTCTAGTGTATGGGTTGTGGACGTTGCACAAAAGGACCTTCAAGATTCCGCTAAGAATGCAGGGTGTATAAGAAACTTCTTGTCACTTTTTCCTTAAAACACGAAAGATTTTGGTCGCAGAAAAATTGCATTTAATTCGCACTTCAGCGTGGAGTAATTGGACAACCTTGAATGTTTTAGAAACACGGCAGACCTCATGCACCCATTATTACGCTTCATAGCACTATTTTGACTATGATGCTTTGTCAAAATAACAGCTATAATTGGAAACCAATGCTTGTAGAATACATATATATACGCAAAATTATGTCAAAATGTTTTCTATAACAAATACATTTGTTGCAGAGTTTGACTACTACAGCTAGGTTACTAGCTTTTAACTAACAAGTGCTATTATAATAGAAAGAATGACAAATGATTACGTGAAGACGAGGACATAAAGCTTGCATGAGTGGTAATTCTGTCCTGTGAACACCTACTTTTGCTCCTGCAAATATAACATGCACTTGTGTAAAATATTAACAACCCACCTCTCTGCCTTTGCTTGTAACCAACGCCGCCAGCGGCTTCGCGTAAAACCGTGAGTGAGAAAAACCAAGGCAACCGTACATACTACAAAGCGATAATATGTATTTAACATGTGAACATTTCAAGATCTTTTATTCGCCGCAGAGCGGTATAGGAATAGTGAACTAGACTATACTTGAAGAATACGGCCGGGAGAAAAAATATACTGGGGCCGTCTGATGAAACCGCCCATCTCTCGCATAAATAAGCAGCAAAGGTAATATTAAATCTTAGGGATTTGAGAACAGTTTTGAGGTACACAATGAAACTGAACCTAGTTGAGTTTAAAAAATAGCATAACATTACCTGTTAGCAGTTAGTTTAAGAGCTTTCTGTCGAATGTCATACTAAATTAAAAATATAAAACGTATATGCTGTCTAAAATCCAAACGTCCGAATTTTTCTGCCTAATTTTGAATAACGTCGACAGAATCTACAAAATTCTCAAATTTTACCGACCTGCAAATATTCATCGGAATCTCCCTTTAACCCTTTCATCAATTTCTTTACCTTATTTGAGGGAAAAAAGAAAACAAAAAACCTTCAATTTGGAATTTAAGGAATACAAAAGGAATACAATGCGATGAAGTATGTTCCAGTGTGTCAGTGGAAACCATGCACACCAGGAAAGTGTACGTGCAATTTAACAATTGAATTAAAGTGAAATAAGAGCGGTGCTGCAAACGTGCTTGTCAGACTGCAGTCAGGTAAGCTGATCTGAAACTAGCCTGTAGTTAATCTAGTGAATTCTTCATCATCGAACACTTCGTTAAAACGTTGTTATACAAGACGTTTGGCGGTCCCGACATGTAGTTACATACTTTATAAATATGCCAGTCAAATTGCGGGAAACGTCTTACACTAGCCTTCGAGGAATCGCAAAAATATTTATTTCCTAATAGTCTTTGGTAACTCAACGTGACACGAGTTTCCAACAATATCAGGAGTTGCAAGCCAACAATTAACCGTTAAACGTCCCCAATGTATAGTTTCCGTCCGATAAGGCAAATTAACCCTCTTATATATAAAGATCACGTTGAAATAGGGGGAGAAAGAATAAACTCCATGCATGCCAACCGCAATGAAACCTGAAATTACCTCCCTTCGCCTTTCAACGAGTTTGCGGATTTCGACAGGCAACACGCCTGCTTCCAAATCGGAGTCAGGAAGCTCCACCCAGGATTCCACATCTTCTTTGTTCTAAATTCATCGTAACAATTACGTTATATACGACCTAAAACGAGCCCTATCCGCCTTAAATGCATTATTGTAAGTAATGTACTCTTTTCTAAAGGCATGTATAGAGTGAAAACGAGAAATTAAGTTCCAATAAGGTTTCTGAGGTTAGTCCTTGCTTTTCACAACATCTGTGACTACGAGACGGCACAAAATTAATCAACTTCAAAATCAATCGACAGATCGGACCCAAAGGCCCAACGAACTATACGAGTTCAGGGCGATGGCGCAAAAGCTATCTGCTAAAGCTCCCTATTGCAACATAACATACCACGCCTTCTGGTGGTGATCTGTTCACTGTTGTGTAACAAATATTGTATTCCTGGATGATGGAAGGATATAAACTGTTGAAATCCAACAATAAGATAAACTTGTCGTAAAAACCTGAAAGAGAATCAAAATTCGACTTTGGACTATAGTTTAAAAGAGTTAGTGTCAATTGTCATGCTTTGCAAACCTATGTTTTTGCGCCCATTGTGCCGTGAAAATACGATTTCTTTCTGAATCGATATAAATTCGCGACAATCCTATGAGATCACTTCCCTATGCATTTTAACCTGTATACTGAAGATGCATAAAAGAAACATTTTTATCTCTATTTTTTCCACAGTACCAAATTATATAACAGAAATAACAGTGCAAATCATGAAGATTTCAGCAGACATGCAACAATTGTTTCTATTAGTGACTGAGGTGTGAGAATCCATACCTCTCTTTGGTTCGAGTACAAGGCCACCTGAATAAGCGGGCTTTTTCCTTCCTTTCTTTGTGGTCTGGGCGTTTGCCTCATCACCTTCATTCGACGTTGCAGTCTGTGCAGGATGTGCATAGGTTAATGAAGACGGTTGCATAGATACACACATATTCCATCATAAACTTCACTATTTAACTTAATTCTACGATTCGAAGATGGAAGAATCATGAAGAGTTTATATAAAACAATAAACTATACTATCGACGGTCCAGATTACAATTATATCATACTGGCCAGTTTTACATTGCACAGATGGAATGAAAAGGATTCTTAGGAATACAATAGTGCATATATAAGACATTTAAACACAGTTTTGGAAGTATTAGGGGAAACAAAGTAAATTGACATTTATTTGTAATCATGTTTCAAGATATCTTGAATACAATTAAGCAACCGACAAATAAGATATCTTGAATACAAGCAACTGACAAACAAACAATTAAAGTAAATATAGAGTCAATTTCCAAGAAAAAGACAAGAATTACCTTTTGTTTCTTCTCAAAAGACTTGTCAGGACAAATATAACTTCTGCGAGAACAAGCAAGCAAAATTTTTTAATGTTACGAATTATTTTTTCTTCTCATGCATTGAGAACTCCATGCATGTATGCAGGAATATTAAGAATCTCGATATTTGTAACACAATCACATTTATTTTATATGTAAGTATATGTAAAATAGTTAAATTGTGTAGCACCGAAATAATTATAGGGTAAAACATGTCAGCTTATTAGATAAATTAAAATTGAGCATATAACTGAGAATTTTTGTTCCACATGTGCTAATTTTTTTAGAATGACAATCGTTTGTTGTTTCTGTGCATGTCATGGGTTAAGCAATTTTTTCCATAAACAATCAGATATACATACTTTTCATCGAAAGCATGAAGCAACAAGTACTCGTTTCTTTCCGACCGACCACCGAGTAAAGTTCTGGCCTAAGACAGAAGAGAATATGCTCTCGATGCTTTTCTTTCTTTCTTTCTAGAAGTCAGCCAAAGTAACTGGGCTGATTTATACGATACAAATCGATGCTTTTTGTACCATTTCAACTTCAGCTTCCAGTGAATGTTTTCATGAAATTCTTACATAATTTGGTATAATTAATAGTTAAAGTATTGGTTGTTGGCCTAGTGCATGTATAAAGCATATATAGAGAAAAATACAATCCCTAGTTGGGTTTTTATTGAAAACCCGTATACAATCAATTATACTTCAGGACAGGGTTCGAGGACTTCCGTATAAGATACGAAAATGGCGGGAAAATTGGCCATTTCAATGTGCAAATGGCTTCTTCACCGCTTATTTTTTATAAGTGAAGTGTAAACAATAGATACTCGAACATCACCAAAGGAATAATTTACCTTAGCTGTTCGTTCGTATACACATTAAAACAAATACCGTATAACCTTACCATCAAGTTGCCTGCAATATTCGTGATTTGTAATGCGAGTGGCATTACCTGAATGAAATGAGAAAAATATATATTTTTACATATGATGTTGTTCCAACCGCATTGTTTCACAAATGTTACACTTTTCTTTCAAACAAACATGTATTTCAAAGCAGTATATGTTCTTCATCGTCGTATACACTACATTTATGTACATAATGATAAACATGTGTGAATATTTCCACATATGGCCACGTCCAAACTTGGCACTAATTAATTGTATATATATATATATTATATACTGAGATATATTATGTACTGTATATACCAAATTAAGTATAGAAAAAAGCTACCACTTCAGTGAGGCAAATAGTTAACAAGTGCCAGGGCTATACTAGATACGCGTGGTACAATATGAAATTTCAATACGACAATTCATTAAAAATTTTAAACTTACATTGAGTTCATACATAATCCTTAGAGCGTGAAGACTGTCAGTCTGCAAAAAGATTCATTTGTGGTGACGGACACCATAACGTACACTGGCACAACGTTTCAATAAAGACAAAGAAGAAGTATTGTAACTAGTATATATATAGTCTTCATTTAGCCTGTAAGAGCTTGAGATAGGGGGAAGAAAATAAGCACACGAACATTAAACCTCGGAGAAACTTACAAGCGTCATATTCAACATCGAAACAAGTGCGTTGGATGTGCTACAATAGACATAAAAGAGTCTTCATGAAACGTATCACAAAAAAATAGCACGATCGAGATAAATGTTCAATTCAAAGCTATTCATATTTTGTCTGCTACTGACCTAAACATTTCTAGCGTGTCTTCGTCCGCTATCGTAGTGCGATCACTTTTTAGAATAACTTTACACAGTTCTGAAAATTGCAAAGAAGAAAAGAACATGATTAGGTCAAAGGTAACCAACGTGAGTATCTTTTTCAAATCGATGAACTACAGCGTATAATAGACCTTTTCGGTAATTAAGTCACAACATTTTAACGTCACAACGCTTTAAATTTAGATCCACCTTAAGATGCAAAGATGCAAAACATCCTTCTTCAACACAAGAATGAAAAATATTTTTTGCTTTGATCAATAAATGTGGAAATAAGCCATAACACGAGAACGAGGCTGAGGGGCCAAGACTCGTTCCTGCGTTATGGCTTATTTCCATACTTATGAGTCAAAATGAAAAATTATTTTTCATGCACGGGTTATAGAGTTTTGCATCTTTGCACATAGCTTGTGAGAGTAAAACTTGAAATCCATCTCATTTAAGGTGTTTCTAAATTCAAAATGATAGTGTTGTGACGTAATTACCGAAAAGGACTATTGAGATGCACAACTAGTTATAAAGCCGGTTTTCCACTAGCGATATTTTTCGCGCGAAGCGACTTTATTCCTTTGTATTTGAGCAATTTGTTCCGGATGGTTGCAGTTGAGAGCTCTGGAACAAAAGTATAATGTCGATTCGCGCGAAAAATATCGCTAGTGGAAAACCGGCTTAAGTCGGCAAACAACAAAAAGCCTGAAATTTTAGACTCAATCCAACCTGTGAGATCGTAACTTTTGCTGCGTATCAATTCTTGAGCAGAACATTTCACATCACAAATCAGTCGACCACACGTGGCTGTGCGCTCAGCAAAGCCGCCTTTGGAGCCGACCTATGAAAGGAGTCGCCGATTTCAATGGAGAACTGGACAAGTTTGCATTTGATGTCATTTTGACATGCGAGAGTCGCGTCAATAGTTTTTTCAAAAGGGATTGAGAGACATATTGGCATAAAAAAGTCGATTTGACTTGGCTGCTCTCATTGCAAAATTCTGTCTAGTGGGATTTTTTCTGTTGAAAAAAACGTTATTTTTTTCTATTGCAAAAACGTTTTTTTAAACTCTATTATCGATTAATCATCTATAGTGTAAAATTTTGATGAAAAAAATTTGCTGGTTACCGAACTCGTAAGCAATATAGGCCATTTTAGATATAAATTTTAGTCTTCTAGTCAACCATTTAGATGCTTAATATCCCTGTTTAAAATGTGCCTCTAAAAATTTCGAGAAACTGTAGGGAGCCATGCACCTTATCTTTAGGAACTCAGAAGAGTTACATACCGTAAGCTTCGGCATAACCTGCCTTCTCAATCGTCCCATGCGAGACCAGTTTGGTATCTGGAGCAAAAAAGATTAAATTGCGGAGGATTATCGTTAAGGAGAGTTAGCCTCATCGTACGCATTGTAAAAGGCTAGATTTCTCTGTGAAAATACATAGAGACAACGAAAAAGAAACGAAAATATATGGGGAAGCGGGAAGCATTATGCACCCAATTTTCGTACACCAGAGCCATGCAATGCAAATACAGAACCTGAAGAAGAAGGAAAATCAAAAAAGACGAAGGAAAATCAAGTTGATCTAAACTTTCACAAATTACACCAAATCTGATAGCTTTGAAAGTTAAGGCATTTTGTTTTGAAGTCAATACAAATACTACAATGACCAAAGATAGTGGTTATCACATTGTTAACACCAAATAAAGGGCATGCATTATTTAAATGCTATGATATTCGAAAAAGATAATCCGTAAAAAGGCCGGCTTTACCTTGCAAGCACTGATTCTGTGCAGCAAAATATTTAAATCAAAGGAACTAATATCATGACCCTGCAAAAGAAAAATCTGTGTAATATAAAGGTTTAGTAAAAATATCTCTAGCAAGCGTGGACAGAGGATACTATCTGAAATCTGTGTTATTAGAAAGTTATTATCGAAAATTGCGTGAATTGTTTTTTCAAATGTATTCCGTCTTCGTCAGGGTTTTTATCAAGCTATATTCATCTCGCCTCGGACCTCTCTAAAACTTGTATGATTCTCACGAGCCGAGTTAAATAAGCTCGGCACAGTTTAAAACAAAACAATAAGAAAACAATAAGGAATAAGGAAACATGTAGCTACTGACCACAATTACATCCGGATCGAGCTTAAGAAGACTGGCCATAAAAAATCCAAGAAGTGATCTTTCGGTAGGACAAATTTCAACATTCATTTCCTACAAGAACCAGCAGAAATGTAGCCATATGCTTCATACATAATTGAATAAGTAACTAAAACAGCTTGGTGTGTGGGGGTAGGGATACCGGGGAGCTGGGGCCGCCCTCTATATTAACTCTTTGTTATTAACCTCTCTATTATTTTTCTTATTTCCTTTGACTGGCAAGTTGAATGGCGCTTTCAAAACTCGGACAGATTAAAAATTTCCAAGGTGGAAAATGGGGGTACCAAATCGATCGTACTACTCGTCACTTACTTGCTTTTTTAGCACATTCTTAAAGTCGTAGGGGAACATGCTATCTTGAGGCTTGGTAACCGCTAGAAGAAAAACAGGCGTGAGCCATTACGTAAAATAATGGCGAATGTATTCCATCTCTTCGATTTATGGACAATTTTTCATATGAGCTAAAATTCAATATAGAACGTACCACAGAAGTAGTGCTGAAAATATTTGTCTTTGGGAGCAACTTTGTCCACCCGAAAGCTTTGATGCACAAGACCAGTAACTGCCAACACCTAAAAAGTAACAAAAAATATAGTATTTCCAATGCAAACAATCCTTGCCTGTTTCTAGAACACTGCAATGTGTAATAGCACTGAAAAGTACTGTGACAATTAATAGTTACATGTGTGTGGTTATTTATGTTCAATACACAGCAAGCTTGTGATGTACAGTTTGCGAGGGAAAACATGCAGCCTTAAAATCATGTCGTACCTCGTGCAAGTGTGTTCTTGGATTCAGAATCGTCCGAAGTGATACACTCAGCACAACCTGAAAAAACAGAGCCTGTTTAAGATGTACGCATTTTGAACAATTTGTGCTTTTAAATGACATTGGCCAGGCATCTTATCCAGGCAGCGTTCGATTGTCAATCGAAAATCGAACAAGGTTATAACAATGGGTTATACACAGCGATTCCAGAGCAGCGTTCTAAATAACGGCGACTAATGGCCAATTTGAATACTAGAACCTCGCAACATACCAGTGGAGGGGGCTCAAGATTTCCTTCTGTTAACGGAGTGATGTGGTCAGGTTTACTGACGATTGCCTGTTGAATAAAGTAAAGTATGATCAATTGATATTGAAAATGTATATATCAAATCAACAGTAATACAATTCATATAGAATGGATACGGGGAAAAGGCGAACAATGTTACAACTAGCCGATACCTCTAATTTGCACCAACTCATTGCCTGATTTGGAATTTCTGAAAAATAGATGAACCAATATTAAATCACAAGCCTTGGTAACAAGTGATTGTGCAAGATATGTGAGCATTGTCAACTATGTAACTCAAATAATTAGTAAACGTGCATGGATTGTAAACAATCGATATTCAGCATCACAAGTAAGAAATGCATTTAATCTTCGCCAAATGAAGCGAAGAACAAACAATGGACACCATTTTGGGGAAAAAATGATTGAAGAAAATTTTTGAAATGAATTTGAAATTAATCACCTTTTAATTCTTTCATGTATTCATATATGTATAATATAATTAATAAGATATATTGTAACATATATTTAAGGAGTGCCATTATTGTGTAACTGTATAATGAAATATTCTGTATATTAGGAAATTTGAGTATTCGATTTCTATTCCTGAAACATGAACGGCAAACGACTTTATCACAAGATTTTTGAACGATAAAGTGCATGCTTTATTCAACTCAAAGGCCTTTCATGGACGGATGTTTCTAGCAATTTCATTTCTAGGTCTCGTCTCTATAATACTTTACAAAATAATTATAATTTTTGCAAATACGAGTGGGAAAGAATGAAATTAAAACCTGCAATCAATTTATTTGGCGGGGATAACGTTAAACCAATCACGTTACACGCTTAAATAACATTATTGCATACAAACTGGCATTAAGATAAATTTCGCCAGACTGGTGTTTACGTCTTATGCGTTTCTCTTTTCAATATTATGTACAGTAATTAAAATATCCTTGCTGAGTAAATAAGATTCAAATGACTGCAACATAGCGTTTATGCGAAGATGAAGCGAGAAATCCTTATACAGTTGGTTTTTCTCTGCGTTTTAAACGTGCTCTGTACTCTCGTTGGGGGAATTCTAAATTCGCTCGTCATACTAAGTTTTTGGAAATCTTCACAGCTTAAGAAAAAGTTATGCCACTTCATGATCATGTTGCTCTCGTGTTTCGACCTGTTGGCAGTATTGATCAATCATCCATTGCAGGTGGTATACTTGGTCGTCTGGATTCGGGAAGAATACGACTTGTTATCGACAATTGCTGTATACTTCCGTCCGTTCAATATATTGATCGGCTTCTCCTGGTTCACGCTCGTGATCATGAGCGTGGAACGATATCTGGCCGCCGCTTATCCGGTTTTCCATCGAACGTCCGTGACCAAAACAAAACTTCTAGTTCTTCTTTCGGCTTTGATTTTCCTAAATATCATCTTGCATGTTATGACTTTTAACGACTTCATCATTCCATTTCACATGCATCTGCTCATCTTCTTTTCCGTCGGCACTCCGCCTTTAATCTACGCCAACTACAAGTTGTATCGAATTACAGCAGGTATACGAAGGGAACGCGCGATAGCGCCGGCATCGCTGAAATCGATAGTCAATTCAAAAAACATCTCTTCGTGTTTACTGGCCGTGGCATGTTACGTGATATTCTCCATTCCAGCTTTCGTATACATTTTTTCTGGCTTTGTAGAAAAAAAGTCAATTGACATTCCTCTGTCGCTGGCTTGGGGATGCACTCTCGGCACAATGAATTCGACATTTAATTGTCTAATATTCTTCTGGAAGAATAAGATCTTACGCAAGGAAGGAATGAAAGTGTTGAAGCTACTAAAAGAGCGTTGAAAAACATAAATTCTAAACTAACACTTTCGAAAATGTATTGCAGTTTTTTCTTTTGCGAAGAAAAAGTCGTGATGCTAACTGTGCATTTGTTACGTGATGCTAACTGTGCATTTGTTAATAAAATAATAAAATAGAGAGGACACGTTTAATCAAGACATATAGACCTAAAATTATATAGTTTCAAGAAAACTGAATGGCTTGCAAAAGCTTATACAGTTAAATTCTATAAACGTAGAAAGAACAATGCATGTATAGCTAAATTTCAATAAAAAATTACACTACTTAAGATTAAATTTTAAAACTTTGTTCAAATTTTACAATGACGTGGAAACTAATAGTATACGGTAATTCAAAAAGAAACAATAGATTTGGGTAATACCCGTAATCTTAATTGCTTGCATGAAAGATCACGGGTATAACCATTAAGTTTTTTGTTCAACCAATTTCTCCTGGATGCAGTACCAGAAGTGTGAAAAAGGGGAGGGGAGTCTTTGACGTCGATACGCCAATTGTCTATATTTTGTATATTTTTAAGTGAGAAAAAATGTACATACGAGGCATTTTGACTTTCAACCAACCAGGGCCTTTGAGTTTCCTTTGTAACAACAACTGCTCCAAACTAGAAGGTAGAAATGGACAAATGCAATCCGATGTTATCAATAACTCTATTAAGACAGCCCGTCAACCGAAACAACCAATTGCGTACCTTGACGTGTTCGTTCCAAACACGCGACTGAACGTCTTCCCGACCATGTTCGACGGCAACTTAGGAAAGTTTGCCTGAGAATCGCAATATCAGCATAAGAGTTAAAAAAGGGGATGCAATGTAATTCAAGAATGGTTTGTGTAAAACTGATGTTCCATGCATGGCTATGTTATAGTAAAACATTTTCAAGCATATGTATTGCATGAGAGAAGAGAAACTACGGCATCCCGGGACATTCTTGGCAATAGCTAGTTTCCAACAAACATTTCTACTACTATTTTTGAAATTTCTAACTTTTGCAAGTTGCTGTCTGGCGGTAGCAATGGGGAGACAAAGGGTAACAGCGGCGAATGGGGCGCGACGGGGTAAAAGGTGGGTAGGACGGATGAAAGTGGGTACCCTAGAAATAAAAAAATGAAAGCGCGGCAACGATGGAGTTGTTACAGCGGTTAAAATGTTTAAGAAATATTTCATGACTCACAGAATATTTGACCTCCAAATACTCAGACTCTGGTGGAACTCCTTCGACTTCGAACGCATACTTCTTCAATGTTCTCTGTAAAATATTTACATCAAAATAGAACTTTGTAAGTACATAACTGGGGCGGACTATACAAACAAATGCAAACCCGCCCGGGCAAACACATCCATCCAGAAGTGAATGGTGAGAGGAGGAACAAAAATAATACCCGCAGACCAGCCTGGTGGGACTAGTGCAGGCCATATAATCAAGCCTTACCCTTGCGGAAAACTTCATGATCTTGTACCTATCGGCAATATCGTCGTTAAATTCCTAAAGTGAGAATGGTTATTTATGATTAATTGAATCATGCCTCAATCCTATTTTCTATTCACAAGAATTTAGTAACCTGGTATACGTCAGTGAATCCAACCGTTTCTTCTGTCTCTGTTCCATCTGGGGCAAGTTTCTATAAGAATGATACTTTTTGAGTATTTCAATACTGATACTGTATAGTACGCTCAACGTATAGCGTACTACATAAACATTTATAAAGGCACGATTTTTCTAACTGTAACAAAACGATGCAATAAAAATACCATGCACAGAAACGATTATACTAAAAATATTTCGTGATAAATTACAGTCTCGTACAATGAAAAGATAGCAAGTTTGCAATTGCCGCTATCTTGGTTGTTTTTTGAAAACATAGGCAGAAATCAAACGGTCAATTTTAAAGTTGGACTTGGTAAACAGCGGTTTTAAAACGGTAAAGGTATAAATAATTATTTATTTATTTCCAGTGATTAATTGTATTGATAAACGTCGTCTTATAGTGATGACGTTCACGTGATTACTAGGGTCACGGACGGATAGAATAGGGATGATATATTAATGTACTGTGGGACGATAAATGAATACCTTATTTCGAGGCAGGAAAAAGAGTGTTCTCTCGATGTTCTTGACGACAACACAACAGCTACGTTATACAGAAAACAGTACAACTTCTTAAAAAGCATATACTTTCATCCAACAACATGCATGTCTATCATATAATACTATTCTATTCTGTGCTTCCTAAAACGTTGTATGAGAAGGTGACATTGTAGAGGGTCAAGTAATATTTTTTAAAAAATCTTTGAAACACTCGAAAGCAAAGATTACCTGACATAACTTTTCGCTTTATCAATCCATACTTTCCCAAACATGAAAATAGTTCCTAAGAAAAGTCATGAAAACGTTGTTTGTGAACATGCACAGTATTTATAGCACACAGTAAGTATTTTTGGTTCCCACATTCCAAAATGTTATTTCTCATGTATACTTCAGGCTGTGTTGTGCTGTGTTCAGACACAAATGTTTCCAACATGTTTGGCAGAGTGTGCATGGTTGTTGAATATTATTGAACTTAAGATTTACAACTGGAATGTCAACGATGACGATCAATAATAAAATGAAATTCGCAATAGCAAAGTAAGGAACGACTATATTATAGACACAATGTTTACGAAAAACATGCACCCAATTTCCTTGTTTTTCACAACAGATTTATGAAAAAGACCCTACCGACATGTCTATACTGGAATTTAGTCAAACGACAATAGCTGGATCAAGTGTTTAGTAAATAGTAGGCCTACCTGGCTGTGCATAACTATCTTCGTAGGCATCGAACCAATAAAATTTGAACACATTCTCGCCTGCAAAATATCAATCCAAATCTCACTGTATTATACTGCTAATAGGCTATCGTATAATGGCGTATGTACAACCATTTGAGGATTATACTGAAATGTCATAAAGGATCGAGAAACCGAATGATGATTAAGAAAATCTTCCTTTACCTTGTTCATTCTTAACGATGTTTAAAGACGACGAGTCCACACTGATCTCTTTGAATTGCTGTAAAGCGGAGTGCGAATTTAACTTATGTTTTCGGCTCTCCCTCGTTCAATACTTCTATTCATTTCAGGGCAACTGGCAAGAGGTCCATGCACTATTCGGGGTGTTTGGAAGAATTCTTTTCGACCTCTCCCAAATATTTCATCGGCAAAAAAATACTAATCATTCTCAAAGAATCAATTTTCCACGAATCATTTTCGTGGATGCGAAATTATAATTTTTCTTTCTTTAAGGAAATATAATATATACTCTCCTTTTATTTCCTATAACATTCACACCGACAAGATAGAGATGATTACCGCCTTCCTTTTATCATAGCGGATTACAAATACATAATAGTGGTATGTTACCTCATTTGGATTTGCGTGAATCTGTCCTCTGATCGTTTCAAATGCTTCTCCGGGTTGAATATTGTCGAACTGAATTCTAAAATGTTAAAATGCTGCATGTTCAATCCTCAATCATGCATGTGCTTTCAACATCAAGGAATATTTCATATATTTTCACACCATATACAAGAATATAAATTGCGTACTTAGGTTTAGCCAGATCTGAAGCGCCTCTATTTTTACTCACAGAATTCTCCTCTTTCTAGAAAAAATACATATAAATAATCTAGGCTGATTCAAATCAATCTTAATTCATGTCTGCCACATTGAACTTCAAACAACTGAAAAATATGTCCAAATAATGCCATGCATCCATACATACTAACATACAGCAAATGACAAACAAGTAAAAAAACAAATTCCTTGTCAAAATTACTTGTTTTATATGCGTTGCTAAAGCTAACCTTAATCTCAGTTTCAATGGCTTTCTCCTCTACAGCATCTAATGCCTCCATATCTTCAGTATTAAAATCATCGTCCGCAAAGTCTTCCATAGCTTCCGCACCGTTGTCCGTTTCGACGTTTTCCTTTACTTCTTCCTCGACATTTTGTGTAATGTCATCGCCTAAGAAAATACAACAAGATTTACAATACCTGTTTCGAAGTTGCATGGTAGTGCAAATTTCCGCAGTTCTTGGTACTAGACCATCCATGTGATCATTAGAAATTTGAGTATTCCATATTCCACTGGCAAACGTTTTATCAGATTGCAAAATATTGGCACATACAAACACCTGCATCTCACTCACGCTCAAGGCGATTCACTTCAATCATAACAACACATTACTGTTGTGAAAATGGTAGTACAACTTTGTCGGCTACAACGTTAAGGTTCCGGGGAGTTATTTGCAAGATGCACTACTACATAATCACGCGATGTTAGTTAGCTACACACCAATGTAATCCGCAGTCCCATCATCGCCATTGAAACAGGGAGTTTCCATTGAATTATCTTCATCTTTTGGCTCGTGTTTAAAAACGTTCGATGGCTGAGACTTGGCCGCATTCCTTTGCTTGGTAGCCCTGGACACAAATGGCGGCGTGGTCGTAATCTTTGAGGCACGTCGTACTGGTTCTCTGTACGCGTTCTTGTAATATGACGACGCAGCAGGTGGCTATAGACATATGCAACATGATAATGTTACTTTAGTCACGCCAAGCGAAACGCGAATAAAACTTTTGAAATGAACAACTTGTGTAGGACAGCATTTATGAAATATTGGAAAGGGTTTGCTTTTTTGCCTGGTCAGAGAGGTCCTGGACATATTTTTTATTAAAATAAAAAAGGTACGCCATGTGTACAGATGGCCAAGCGGTGTTCAACAGAATAAGTATAGAGCGATTACATCGATTTGCATTAAGTCATGCATGTATATACAGAAAAGGAACCTATTTAGATAAATGTAAAGATCTGAGATGACATATGTAAAACTCCTGAAGTTTCATTTTATATAAAGTACTTTTAAAACCTTTGAAGCAACCTATTCGACAACAAAAGCATTCCCTTTATCTTAGAATAGTTCGCCACCCGAATTCATTCAAGAGTTATAGAAAAAACTTTTTTCGGCGTAAATATGTAACTACACATGCGTCAGAAAATAAAGATGGATAATCACCTGCAAACGACGTGGCATTGCTTTCCTTGGTCCAGCGCTAGTCGGAGTTCTAGGATAGAATAGGGAGGGACAAGGTGATAAACATAAGCGAATATATATACTGTCTCGTGTAGCTAAGCAGACATTTTTCAGCTTAGAGCGCTTACAGCAGCAAAACAACAGAAAGATATTTAAGTTTGTCTTTAATTACATGTAGCTACTTCAGCAATGGGGCTTTAAGGTAATGTGAACAACAAAATGTTTACCTTCCCCCCTGTCTAGTAGATCGATTGGCTGCAGTTGTGATTTCGGGTTTCTAAAGAAAATAAAAACCCCAGTTTGCTGGCCGCCAGTCCATTTCATAATAGGCTCCGTTATCCAGTTTAATTATAAGATCAGTTTTTTGTTTGATAGCATGAAATGAACAAGCCTACCGGACTATTCATATCTTGAAGGATACCGTTAAGAAATTCATCTTCTTCAATGTTCACGTTTTTATTCTACATGATAAAAACATTTCCACAAATCGACTTGATTATTCAGTGCGATTTTCGTCTTTTGATAGATTTCGTCTTCTAATACTTGCCTTTATTTGACCATCTATAACTTATCCACTTGTTCGTAATTATCATAAGAAGAAAATCGCAAGGGACTTGGTTCAAGTATATAAACTAGTACAGTACATGTTTTATATTAAGCTACAATTTCAGCGGTGTACAACTGATGGGAATAAATATTTATTTTCATCATCTTAACGTTCTGCCCTTAGTCAATGTTGCTTAGAACGAAAGAATTGTTCAGCTACACACTTGTAAACGAGTTAAAATTCGGCCAATAGGAATGAAAAGATGTTGAGATGAAAAAATTTAAATTAAAAGTGCAGAGTGTCATCGAGTCCTCACTCCTAACAAATACTTCCTTGTAGAAATTTGAATGGAAGAGAACTTGCCTGATCAGGCTTTTTTGATTTCGAGCCCATGAGGAACATACTTTCGATTGTTTTCGGTTTAACCGCTGGTTTCTTGACATTCTATACGAAATAAGATATAGAGGCCGTGAAAATACTTCTTAAAACGCCCTAGTCACTTTTCGAGACAGAGGGTTGGGACATCAGCGCAACAAAACCTAATTAGGTAGTAAAATAATAGCATGAGATTCGGGGGGGGGTGATTGTTTATTTCTTTCCGCAATTCTGCGATACCACAGCAGTACAAACTTTTGGGTGCGTATAATATTTCGGCATTAATTACTTACAATTTTCTTTTTTTGTCCTTTCTTCGGGGCTACAAAACAACAATGTTAATCATATATACAGTTAGACGAAAAATACAGGAAATACGAGTTTCCAAAACGAAAACGGTTTCACTAGCCTAGGTTAAAACAGTGCCATTCATGAAATATATTGCCTGTCATACTACAGTACCTGCTGCAGACGGTTTTTCATCCAAATCTTCGTCGAATATTTCGCGTCCGTCGTCAACATAACCACCATCTAATGAAATTTTAAAAATGTTATCAGCGAATTCCCGTGCAATACTGATTTGGAAAATACGGATTTGAACACTAAATCGCGAACACACTCGATTTTTTTGGCAGACCTTTTTTCAATTAGCAATTCCACTTGCTTTGCATTTCGTATGGGAACGTATCTGATCATATAATATATGCATGCAGGATGACAAAAAACTTGTCAGTGTAAAGCGTGAGTAAGATTATGTGAACAATCATGTACATCGTGTGTATTTTTGGAAATTTGTGATATACAAACTCGAAACAAGAATGCAGAAAATATTGTAAATATTATTATTTTTTTATTTCGTGGCATAACATAACTGAACAGATCAAAGCGTCGCCATGTAAGCAGTGTTTTTGTTCGTTGAGCTAATGGAACGTCATTGGTCAAAATCTTATCTCATAACGAAATATATTCAGTTGTACTTTATTGCTTTAGTGAGTCTTCGCATACCAACTTCTTCAATAGTCCGTATATACCAACTTCTGTTCCAACTGACAAAAACTCGTATGGTTACGAGGCTATAGCGCAAACCCAGCTGAACCCAGGTAATGATACGCTTATGTATATGTAAGACCTACATATTAGCTTTTAAATCTTTCCAGCATCAACATTTTTCAAATCGCCTGGCTGTTTGCAATCGCAAACTTATATGAGAATGATATACTGTATTTCGCGTTGGTCATCATGATCGATCTGACATACAGGAAACAGAGGAAAATTTGCAGCCTCTTTTGAAAATCTGTTAAAGTTTCAACGCCGAACTTAGGGAATTCGTTCTTAATTTCAATAGTGTACTTTACAGTGACGTATTCCCTTAGGAACATAGTTTTGAGAATTTCATAAAGCGGAATCGAGCGTATACAAGCTAGATTAACCAATGGGATCGCCTGTTTCGCTGTAGTTAGCTAGTATATAATTTGTATCCCACACTTTTGCATACCATCATCAACAATCCAATCATCCTGAAGCTGGCGTTTTCTGACAACCTTACTGTATTCCGCCTCGTCAACTTCATCGTATACGTTGTCTATTTCATCAACCTGAATATCAAGAAATTACCCAACATTGCATACACATTTTACAGTCTTTCATGGCGTATAGATTGTTCGAAGGCTATATAAGGTAGGTGGAAAATTTTAAATAATATTACATATTATCAGTGCCTGAACATAGTGCTCCTGTTTTTTGTACACAATTTAGTAGTTGCAATTAATGGTTATATTATTGGGTTGAAGATGAATGAGAACTAATCCATGTAATGTTGGAAAATAGGAAGCTGGGAAAATATCTATTGAAAAATAACGAATGGCGGATTGGCGGTAATTTTGTTCATGTGGAGGCCGGCGAAGCTTGCCACGTCTCGAAGTGTAAACATGCCTTTTACATCCAATATTTTTTGTTGCCGTAGCAATTTTTATAAGTAGAGTTTTTTTTATAGCAAAGCTTGACACAAATCTCGAGTTGAAAAAGGTGTGTATTTCAACATTGGAAATTTTCTGGAAAAGTGCTAATAAGGCGGGGAGACTCTCGGCGCTAATCCCACTCCACAGAGGATTTCCCGCCAACGACAATAAGTGTGACATGCACCTGCCATCGTTTAATTAGTGTCTCACCGTGAACAGTTTCTCTAAGACAAACTTACCTCGTATTTTACTTTTTCGCCGCTTTCACGAGATTGTCTAATAGAAAAAGTGACGCGACTTTAAATAATTAAAAGAGGCCAATGGTTTCATATAAATCGTGGTATTTCGTATGCGCGCTTGCACGGAAATTGTTCCCAGATTCGGTAAAAATGTTAAAACCCAATACAAAAACGTGCAAAAGCTGAACATTTTTCAAGTCTATACTTTTATATTTTTAAATTTTTATAAGCTCTCTGTCTACAGCAGTCCAACTGTGGTCAACCTGCACTGTACCACCTTGCCTGGATCGAAAAATGGTTCATTCACTTGTACATGCGCCAGTTTGAGATTAAAAACACTATTAATTTACACTTTTTTCGCATAATTTCAAGCACAGGTTTCATGACATGGTTTTCCTAGAATTTAAGCGTACTTTTTTGCCTTTAGTTTTTCATCTGTCGCCAGTGTCATTATAGGGTATATTCATTTATACTCATTAGCATTACTTTTGTTTTCACACTTTTCACTAAAACTTTATCCACTCCAGAACTGTTGCTGAGCAGGGGCGGACTGGTCTATACCTGATTTACCTGCAGGAAAACTCAAAAAGGGGCGCCATTTGTACGTATCTCTAAGATGAGAAACAGTTATTGAAGATGCGTGTGCTTTCATGTTGAGTTTCAAAATACATGATTTAGATCAGGTTATCTTTCCTGTGTTTTACTTCAATGGTTTTATCATTTCCTCCATAATGTTCTCCAAAACGCCAAACGACATGTTAATCAGGAGCACACTGGTGAAATTTCCCCGGCATCCTTGTGGGCCAGTCTGCCCCTGCTGCTGAGTTTATACATATATTATATTTTGCCATAGATGGCCAGTAAACTTTATTCTAAAATGACATTGTGAATGTACTATTATAAATACACACTGCCATTTGTATTTGAATTTACAATTTTGAAATGCCTAGGCTAGGGCCCACAATTGAAAATGAAATTCAGTTGTTCCATAAAACCTACAGTATAATCCTTATATGGATAATATATTAAATTTTTATACTTTTTTAATTCTCATAAAAAAGAGAAAATCAGGCAACAAAAATTTATATGAGAAATGATATAGCTCACAAAATAAGAGTTATCAGCATATAAAGAATTACTAAATGTTTTGGGACTAACTTCCTCTGGTAAGTGAACTTTATTTTTCAAATAAGCTAAGCTAAAACTAAGCTAAAACTACTATTAAGTTTATACATATATTATTATTTCAAATAACCTTTGGTTGTCATGTTTGACAGCTTTTGACAATGGTTATTTGCTTGCTGTTTTACTTGGTTCTCGCTGTGATGGTAAAACTGATATACCTCAGTGTAACATGCTCATAATATTACAATTACAATATTGACAAGGTTAAAAAATTCTCACTTAATTTTCTTCAAAGCAGCACTGGCTCCTGTCTCCTTTTTTGATCTTCTACCACGCCGTGTAGCCACAGATTCTATGTGGGGAAAAAATGCAATGTGCTTACGTTCTAGGGCAGAAATAAGCCTTGTGGAAAGGTAATTTTGAGAGATACCATGCCTAGTGAGCATGAATAGTGAGTTCCATACTATATTAAAATGGTGGCATCATTATTAAGGTTGTCATGTCATGTTGTATAAAATTAGGTTTTGCTATAGGCTATACAGTCAAAAATTGTTTAAAAATATCATTCACAGTTCTCAAAAAACCACCATTACACCGATTATATACATAAACCACTCGGGCATGCAATCAGTTTTCCAGATCACCAACACCTTGTGATGCCAAGTTTGTACTTTGTAGCAATGTTGTTATCCAGGGGCACAACTTAAAGATGGTTGGGGGATGTCTATTCATATATTCAGTTCTTCCGGCCCAACAGACTTCTATTGTACAAGCCATCCGGTAGAACTGAATATACTAGTAAACAATCCACAATTATAATTTTAGCTTCAACACTGGTTATATGATAGCTATCAGAACAATCTTGAAGCAAGCAGTGTGAACAAATCTTGTTGCAAGCTTGTCAACAGACGTGTACAAACCTCATGATGGTATGAGGTACCAACATTGACACATTGTGGCATGTTTTGAAAAGAAGTAATGAGCGAAATATACGTCATTGATAACATGTAAATTCCCACTACAGTAGGGTCAACATTGTTGTGATCTATCATAACCACCCCAGATAACAGATTGACTTCTTCTGCCTGGATTAAATGACATTAGCTTCCTTAACTTCGTCGGAAAACTGTTCAGAAACTAAGCAACACACGTCTATGACGCTCACAGTATTTAAAAAATAGTTAAAATACGGTGTCTCATCATTAGTATAGATATAAACATGCTAATCTGTATATATATAGTTCTGTAATGAATATGTACGTATTCCAATACACCTAAAGCATGTTCTAGGTATCAAGCAGAAGTTAATAACACCACCAGTAACCTACCAACATCCAGTGAGCTGTCGTCGACACTTTCGTCTTTCGTTGGCGCCATATTTAGTTCTTTAATTGAAATTTTGGCGCGAAGCCGCGAACGTCGCGAAACTTAAAGCTTTGGTACACATGGCGTCATACGGGGAAAATTGGGGACATCGGTTAATATCTCGTAAGTGCGGATTATTGTTTGCGGAAAGCGGAAATAGTGGCATGCATTTAAGAGTATGCGTTTTAGGACTTGCTCGTTAATTTTACTTTTTGTAGTCGACTCATTCAAGTTTTAAACGTAACCCTTACAACCACATACCTTCCTGTATATAGTTGACCTTTTCACCTGATGACTGTGCCAGGCTTTAGGCGCAATCCTATAAGGTACTGTAATAGGTAAGAATAATTGTTGTGAAATAAGGTCAAGAGAAAGCCATGCAATATTAAGATGCGTTGTTAGTAGAATATCCTTTTTTAACGGGGATTTAATTTTAGTTCAAGTCGGAACGAGACTAAGATCATGGTGTGTCAATTATCTTCGCAGTAAAAAATGTTTATCGGAAAGATCATCACTGGTAAGATCTTTTGAAATCCTAACTTCATCAGTGTCACTTTCAGTTTCTTCAACCATTTGATTTAATCTCCTTAACGCCACTCACTTTCGCAGGGGTTCTCAACGATATTCGGGACGGGATCTGTCTTACTCTAACCAGGGCAAAGTAAAGTACACAGGTATTGTAAATAATAGCTCTTGTTGAAAAGAACCGACACCGGCCTTTCTAATCATGTTTATTTTTTAGAGCTATAATAAGCTAAATGTGCTTCGAATAACCACTGATCCCGTAAATACATTTATTTTTTATTCTTATAGCTATTAAATAGTCATTAAAATAATCTTTATAGTTATTGTTTTATTAATCTAGTAATTTAAAAATACGCTTAATTTTGTTCCATTATTCTCTACCTTCGTACTCAGGCGTTTTTGTTTTGAGCCATCAAGCCCTTTTCACATGCAAGAGGATTTGTCAGCATGCAGAAATCGACTTCAGTGTTCTACGCCCTTGAGCGATAACGAGCTTAACGGCTGTCTGAAAATTTACGCCTAGGTACAAGGGAGTTCAAAATGTAGTTTAGTTTGAGAACTAATTATACATGATCAACGCTATGCGTGACGGTAGTTGATTATTTGAGAGTTGTGGTGGTGCTATGTTCAGGAGCGATTGCCACGAACTGCTTACAAAATAAATCGCTCCTGAACACAACCATATCGCAACCCAAAGTAACTCAACTACCTTCACGCTCGAAAGGTAGTGGTAAGGTAAGGTCTACTTGGAATATTCGAAACGAATCCGTCCAAGCTGAACCAAAATACAGACGGCAAAACTGACCTATCTTGTACTAGAAAGCATTTGTCAAAGTTCTTAATAAGTTAAAGGAGCGAAATTAAATTTCCGATATTCGATAACTGCCTAGAAAAAGAAAGCCTAAGTTTTACCAAGTAGGTTGAAAGAAATGAAGGTAATGATAACTCAGTTTTGCCGAGGATCTGTCCTCTCATTGGCTAATATTCTTTCTCAGTTTGCATGGTTGATCTTCATAGTTGGTTTTACGTACGTAAACATAAGCGTGGTTATCAGTAGCGTAACCAGTCTGACAATTTGTCCCACTATGCTAATATTATGGTACTCATTGAATGTGAAAACAATAAATTTCTGAAGACATAAATAATTATAAAAATTATAATAACTCGAAATTTACATAGTGGGGCAAAATCGTCGACTGGCTACGCCACTGGTGGTTATCCTATTAGGCAGCGTTCCACCTGTTTCGATTAAAAAATCTCAACAATCTAGATTGCTAGATCCAGCAATATTTCTAGGTCAGTTGACATACAAGTGGTAGCTGTGGTTGTGGCCAGGATTCGAGTGCCCACAGAATCATTAACATATTTACTCATTGGTGTAATCTGCACTGTGAATCGTGATAAAATTAAAACGGAGCTCATGCAACTTCTCGCTAGGTACGACTAGTTTTGGCACTGGGTATTTCAACACTACCCTCGTCCTCCATCTGAACATCTGATTTAGGACTGGACGATTCCTCATTGTCAGACTCGTCCCCACTGATCTCCGCGGTATAACTGAATTCATCAACCGATCCAGAATGCGTAGGTGATGGCGAAAGCGCACGAGAGATGGCAGTCTGCATGTTCATAGATTTATCTTCCAGCCATGTTTTCTAATGGTTAAAAAATGGAAAATCAATTCAATATCTTCGTCTTTAAATACTCCATTAAATATGCCATTGCATTATAAACTTAACTTACACCCCCTTTCATTTTATTCCGAAATCTATATCTTGGGGCGAGGGGTATTGGAAAGAAGGTGGTATGGAGAGAGGGCCTTGGAATTTTTTTCGTTTTATTTGCGTACGTTTTGATAAAATTTGAGAAATTTTGAAAAAAATTGCTTAAACTTTCTCAAGTTGCAAGGAATAACTTTACGATTGAAACACATGCCGTACAAGTGACCATGCGATCGATCATGTGGGGGGATGATGGATAATGTAACCAGTGTGGTAGGGTATGTGTGGTAATTTTCGAATGTTGAAGACTGTTTTAACGCCTTTCGGTTTGTCTTACTTCAGACTATATGCAACTATGTATATTCCTTAAACAAAACTAATAGCTTCAACATTTTTATGTATAATATTCTTGAAATGGTGTTTCAATTTTAGACATTTATAAGTTAATTGCATTGATGAAGGCCTGGGTTAGCGGACCGAAAGCTCTGCATGTAACAAATACACGTGGTTTAATATTGTGATGGTGCTACTATAGGAGTTACAAACCGGGTAAGATGAAAAGTTAACTTGACCACGGTGGGAATTGAACCCGCAGCCTTTGGTTTGCTAGTCCAATGCTCTTCCAACTGAGTACTAACTAGGTAAAGTCGGTTCGAATAGGAGCTCAAACTAGTCCCTTTCATATCTGTGTCTTAAAGTGTTAATGATAATGCATATGACCCAGGTACACCACTCAAATGATTGATGATCCCTGTTTCGCCCTTTTTAATTGATTATTTCCCTTATTGTGGTGTTACCTATATACTGGACTGCGAGGATTGAGGGGTAAAGAGGTACCTCCTAATGCGCCTCTTTTTGGCTGGATGATGACCATTGAAATGCCCGATTTGTTGACAACTATATCATCATCTGCTGACGCATGAGATGCAAGAGTTTATACGTCAATCGTACCAAAAATAACAAGTTACATTACCTGGCTTCTAACAAATGAAATCACTCTCGTGACCTGTATATATTATATATATATATATATATATATATATATATATATATATATATATATATATATAAATATATATATATATATATATATATATATATATATATATATATATTTATAACCCACAGCACTAACTGTAGAATGCATGAAAGTCCCTCATTAAAATGTATTTAAAATTTTTGTTAAAATTTTATTTTAAATTATAATTTATTACCGCAAGCTTTGCATTATTGCGTTATTACTATTTTTTTCTGTTAATTTTATATTAATATCGATATTACTGTTATATTCTATGAATTTTACATTAATATCATTATTACTGTTTTATTCTATGAATTTTATATTAATATCGTTACTACTGTTTTATTCTATGAATTTCACATTAATATCGTTATTACTGTTTCATTCTATAAATTTTATATTAATATCGTTATTACTGTTTTATTCTATGAATTATAATATATTAATATCGTTATTACTGTTTTATTCTACGAATTTTATATTAATATCATTATTACATTTTACATATTGATATCGTTATTACGGTTTATTATGCTCATTCAATTTTATAAGTTTGTAAAACATCAAATGACTTTACGACAGTATTTTAGTTTTTTTAAAAGTTTAATGTATTTCAATTTCATTTAATTTTAGTTTGGAATATATTTTATTAATTTCTACTACAATTACTTTACAATTACTTCAATAAATTTTATTTAAAGATACATATCATTATTTAAATGAATGATTTTAAAAAAGCTATTTACCTATTTATGATAGATTTATCCTCAATTTGAGACTAACGTTAAATTTAGAATTTTCTTCACCGTCGTTGCAATTTCAACGACGCATGCTTATAGTATTACAAGTGAAACTGCTGAACGCTGATGTTTGCGGTTTGGTGGAAACAGGATGAACAATGTTCTGCATTCTCAAACATGGGTGTCAATATTGTTTTTCCAAACACACTGTATATATGAAACGGGCGAAAAACTGCAGGAGAAACCTATCAAGGACACTGGTCTATTTGGTGCCTTGAAATCATTTGGGATTATGCCTTGAAATCATTTGGGATTAAAACGCTTAAATTTTCTCTAATTCATCATTACTATCCTCACTGCTATTATCATTGTCATCAGCGGGAAAATATGATCTGTAAAGGCCTACCAGTGTCCCATCGCGGCCAAACATGTCCAGAAATCCACCAATAATGTCGCGCGATTTCTCCTCCCACTTGCTGATGATGTTATCTTTAATTTCGCCCCACTTCGCCTTTGCCCTCAGCTCCTTCTCCTGCAGCGGGAAATTATATTTTCGATCCAAAATTTGTTTATGAAATATGTTTTTGAAATCTTAGCATTTAAGTTAGTATATAGTAAAACAAAACGCTATCATTTAATTGCTGATAAATTCAGTTATATAGAGAATTGCTCTCTTTGTTTTAGTAATCAGCAAGACTGCATGATCTTGAATTCAGAAATTGAAGCGAGATTACATAGAGGGTTGCTAAAAAACATAGTCCATATTTGACTTTAATTATGGAAGAATGCGTTTCAGTATGGGAGACATAATCCCTTACCCGCGTAGACAATTTCAAAAATATAATTTATGAAAGTCTTTGGAAAACAATAGAGACATCTTGCAATTGCAATCTTAAAATTTCAAACATGTTAAACAGGGCACTATACCACTTAACTGGTGATATTTCTGTTAGAAACTTATAACTTCCTGTTAGAGCGGGTTGTTTAAAAGAAATACTTCGATGTAAGTTTTCAAAGGAAGTACATTAATGCTTAAGATGTAACTTAGGCTTTCGAACGCATTTCGAACAAGCAGTCCCCTGGCGCTTAAAACAAACCGATATTGACAACAAATGCTATACCTTGATGAGGCTGACATTCATTTCCTCCCGCGTGTAACCCCTCTTCAAATTTCTCCTCACGTAGTTATCATAGTCGCGTATGACACGGGCGATGAGATCCGATGTTGAGATGCCCTCGGTTCGCTGGGTCGGCAGAAACCTGCCCATATCTTTAATGCCTTTATACACATCATCGTGATCAACGGACTTGTAAGGCACGTCATCGTGGGCCACGAAATCTATCTGTAAATATAGCATTCTTTACTTGAGGTCATGTTCAAGAGGCAGGCCTCGCATGCTGCTGTACCTTGCAAACGGTGTTATAGTAAACCTAGTTTCCATTTATAAACTATGTGCACACGGTAACGCTTTCGGGCGTTTTCACATTCACTTTCATGCCAAAACGGTTTCAATTTTCAAACACCGTCAATTTACAATAGAAGTTGAAGCTAATTTAACATATTAAGCATATTTTTCCTTGACTTGTGTGAACAGGGCATGGGTAAACAGTAAAACAGACAAAAACGATTTTGAAAACGCTCGAAAACGACGCTCGTGTGCACATAGCTATAGTCACAACTGTGGTGAACAAGTCATTTTCACCGATGAGAAATTTGTAAATGATGAGATGAGAAATGTAAATTTTTCTTTATTTCTGTATTCAAATCGGCCATTGTTCAATCAATCACTGCACACACATAGAAATATTCTATCAGATTAGCCACCTTGACACGTTCACAATCCTTACGCCTACTGAAATGGAAACCATGCAGGCATAATAGTGAGTAAGATATCTGCATGGGAATGTTCGTAAAAATAGGAGGTCGTGTAAAATAGTACAGTAATACACTTCAATTAATGTACTAGTTGTTATGTACTGCAATGTGTTATGTACTGTTATGTACTGTAATGTACACTGAAATGTATTAAATAGAAAACGAATCAGTAGTGTTGATGACATATGCATTAAAATGCATAGTAAACAGGCATAAAACGCGTCTGCAATGCATGAACACTGTTTCTTCTGACTGGTGTGTCTATTGCTAACTTCAATAGGTCTGGCTTATCGCTGAATAAATAAGATATATTTATCTAAAACGGATGACATATACCTTATATCGCTTTAAATGTTCTGGAGTAACAACCCAGGGCGCATCTGGTACGATCTCATCGACATACCGGCAATGACTGACGGCATCGTATCTTTCTTCATCAGTAAGTACTGTAAATCCTTTATACTTGTGGGTCATTTTGTCGCTGCACACTGAAACATTTTCAGAAGATATAAGGTCCTAGCCTTATATGGCCTCAACAAATGGAGCTTACCATATATTCAGGCTACTTAAACCAGTATTCAAACCCACTATTTGAACCACTCATAGACCAGAATGATTCTAATTGTTACAGTTTAGTTCAGTGTATAAGTTACTCAGAGATGAATCACGATTTATGTCTAATATTATATATACTTACATCCAACAATTAAATGAACATTTTCAAACATATTCTTCGCCTGTAGAAATGCTCTAGAATGTCCGCTATGGAAGAGATCGCATATTCCATCCATATATATCCTAATTGGTCGTTTCACTGGAACAAAAGTAATAAGGTTGTGGTCAGAGAAAATTTACTACAACTCGACTCATATCTATTTTTGTCGCTCCAGCTCAATATCGGAACGAAAAAGTGCATCCTCGATATACTGACTGGTTTTCTCATATTGAGAAAAAATTCACATGGTAAAATCTTAGGTACAGCATACAATGTAAATGTATATGTATACACTGTAAATGCATGCGCTGTGAAAGGCTAAAAGCAGTACCAAATTTATTGGAACAATTTTCATTGGTTAAAATAACTAAAAATTTAGTTAAAACAACCAATTTTTATAAAAAAGGCCAATTTTTATAAAAAAGGTATGAATCTGAGACAACCAAATTAGTTGTTTCAACAATTTTTACGGATTTTTATAGACTTCTGGCAGTATAGCCGGAAATGCGATCCGCGAATTCCCAACGTGAATACAAATAATCAACGCCGAGTAATGGTTTACAGTTCAACGAAAAACCTAAATCTAAAACTCCCCGCTGACAAGCATGTCCTCAGCTACGAGGAAAAATTACAAAAGAGATGGAAAGAAAATCGTCATACAAAATATACTCAACCTTTTCCAGCTTTGATGTCTTCCACCAAAAGTGGTTTATCGAGGTCATAGTCGTCGTCATCGTCGTCACAGGGTACAGCAAAAGGCGCTGGCCTCACATACTGCAAATATACAATAAGACATACTGACATATCTTTCATAGGTACGACCTTAACATCTATGGCTGGAGTGTAAACATCGACGGTCACAACCAAACGACTGCGCGCATATTTTATCACTGCATGTAATCGATCCAATATAATAAACGTTTCCTTCCCTATCATCATGTCCTGGTTTTCACCAAATCAAACTGTATTTGCGACCAGTGGGGTAGCCAGCCTAACGATTTTGTCCCGCTATGTAAATTTCGAGTTATTATGTAATTTTTCATGTCTTTAGAAATTTATTGTTTTCACAATCAATAAACACCAAAATATTAGGATAGCGGGAAAAATTGTCAGGCTGGCTACGCTACTGTTTACGACTGACAATAGACTAGCTGCAAGTTAGCCATTGACAGCCCGGTCAGCCCTTGTATTTCCCTCTTATAAATATAGCCCTCGTTTTAAATAACCTGCGCTGTTTTGTAGCGCCTGCCAATCTTCTGCTTTTATTTATAAACTTTCTCCGGCTAAAAGCACAAGCAAAAACACTCCTCTACCTCAATGAAGCACCCGCATGCATGGACCTATGGTTTGTTGCCATTCTCCGTGCTGACCTGCCTGTTTTAGACTGCGCTGGATTTTGCATATTATATATATATATATATATTATATATTATATATATTATATTATATATATATATATATATTATATATATATATATATATATATATATATTACTATGTAATTGCTTTTTAAAAAAATACATTGACTTTTACGCACTGAATATAACTATGGTGATTATTTTTGTCACGCTAAATATTTGTTACACGCGCACTCTAACATTCCTCTTTTGCGCATTTTTTTCCCTGGTAACAGCTGACGAGCCATAAAATCCGAGAATACAGCCATGGCAACTATTAATAGCAATTTCAACTAAGGTTGGCTTAAACATATATAGGGAACTGTATATTCCCATCATTCTTTTAGCGCATTGTACCATCGGCGCCGATGTCGACCTAACGGGGACCGCGGATCCCGCGGAACAGGGTGGCTCGCTGGGCTTTAGCCCCAACAATAATTTCAAGCTAAACATATATCAACAAACGGCCTATATTTCAAACTAAACTTATATCAACCATCAAGAGAATTACAATCTCCTAACAGCATACGCAAATAAAACACTACAGAATTGTGCTGCTAAACGTTTTTATTTCAATAGAATTTGTTTCAATTCGGAAATCAAATACATATATATGTCTTTCAACTAAACCAAAATTCTTTCTCTGGAAATTCTATAAACTGAAATTTCTTCAACCCAGGGCCTGTGTTTTAAGGATATAAGGAAATCATTACATAGATAGTGGATAATATATATATATATATATATATATATATATATATATATATATATATATATATATATATATATACCCATTTGGAAAAACGTTGGCTGCAGATAGATAGATAGATAGATACTCAAAATCTAATTAAAATTGCATATGATTACATTTGCATGGGATTACATTCATATTACACAACAGAAGTCACCATTGCGCTCTGGTGATAGCCGAGAGGCTACATTGAAATGAAGAAATGAAATGTGTATATATTGTATATATTTTATTATAATTATACCTTTCCCTCTTTTGCACTCATCATCATGATTCAGAACTTTCCAATAGCCACAGGTATCAATAAAAAGCCTAGTATTAGTCTAGTATTTACCTAAAACTGATTAGCCACATATGACATAATTCATACAGTATTGCAAAAAACAATAAGGTGTTATTGCACTTGACAAATATGAATATCAAATAATTTAAAATTAGTTTACCAGGGGTACCAATTCACATATCACAAAATGCACAACACTCCCCAGTTAAGATGTTTGTTGTTGTCAGAAAAAAATTGTCTTAATTCATGTAGGTCGCATTGATTGATGGTATAGGTTTGAGTAGCATTTACTTAGTATTTTCACAATGTTTTATGCTTTCATAACTGTCTAGAGTATGAATGTTTAAAGCTTAAATTGAAGACAGAGATAGCTATACCAGAATCAACAACTTTGTAGATTTGCTAGCTATCAAATGAAACATTGAAATCATTACTCTGCAACGTACGTAGTATTTAAGGATGAAATGTGTTCTGTAGCAGAGAGCAGATGCATGCTTTTATTTACAGCAGATTTTGTGTCATTGGACTGGTATGGATACTAATTATGATTTTTAATGAATATAATTTAGGGAACATTTTCAAATATAAATTTTAATTCAGATTGATAAAATCTTTGAGAAATGGATTCAAAGGTGCCGGATTCAATCCAAATGTATACCTAAGCTGCAATGGGGCATTTATTAGCTGAGGATATTTAACAGTTATTCTCCGAACTCGAGTCGTATATGAGCTGATAGCCGACGAGGTGCGTAGCAACGAGAGTGAGCAGAATAACTGTTTTATTATATACACAAACTTTGTCGCCCTTTCGGTGCATTTTGGTTTGCTATTATCATCTAGGCTTGGATTTCTATTTCACTCAACTCCCCAAATCTTTCCACCATTTTGTTTACTTTCTCTACTAGACAGATATGAGCTAATATTTGTCTAGTAGCCAACCAATGAAATTGCAGCATACCTCATATCTGACGCTTGTGTATAAAATAAAGCAAGATATATCTATTACATTAGAATGTTCACAATAAAAAATATTAGCCATGAAGTGTTTCACTATAATAATACTTAAACTCTTAAAATAATCATTAATGGTATAGTTACATTAAATGTCAAACTAAATACAAATTTCTATATGATTCTCGAAAAACGTGGCTTTCTCCTGCTTTCAAACAAAGTTGTTTTAAATATAAGTGTTACAAAGTAGTTAATAATTAACTTGTGTACATGGAACATTGGGGAAAGGTTTGAAAAATAAACAATGGTTTTGTTCTGTTGAAATAGAAAGATTTTGAAACCACGTTCTAATCAAGTTTCCAATCGGGGCAATATTAATATTCATTTAATGTTACAATTGCAAACATTTAATACACCGGTATTGGTAGTATGGTTGATATATATACTATATAGCAGGTACGCACGCAGTCTAGGCTAGCTGTGAATGTGCTGTTATTAATCCTACGGCAATTGTTCCACACAGAAACATTCAAATTCTCAGTACTACAGCTAAAAGTGATATGGAGTATGCATGTTATGGCGTTTTAAGATAACAATACAGAAAGCAGCACAGCCACAGCATAAGTGGAATAAAAAGTTGAATAGTCTCAATAGACAATAGGGATAGGAACACGAGGGATAGTAGTTAACACACGTCAACAATGTGGGTTGCTTACCGAGTTTCGCCCATCTACTTCGTCTTCCGTACGCTTTCTTTTCCTAGTTTGACTATGTTCAGTCATCATCGACTGATGTGGACTTCGATCACTTGCCGAGGCCATTTTCAAGTCTTCCTCTTTCCAGTTGTCATCGCCAATCAACCATGCCGGCTTTCAAGGTGCAAACCGGCACGGACACCTGCGTCGCGGGTTAAGCTCACGCTTTCAAGCTGGGCGCTTATGTCCTGCTTTCAAGAGGAGGGTTCTGGTCCCCCCCCCCCCCTCAAGCGCCATCACTGATTAACTGAACAGATTACCCCAAAAATATATGGTCGAACCTAGATCATAAAAGTTAGAGATGGATAAGCAACTCATCAGTTGTATGCCTTTTGTCTCAATGAAGCTCATCTGTATTTTTATGCGTGACCCAAATTTGGGTTTTACCGCCAAGAAATTAAGCAACGGGTAAAGCAGGTCAAGAAATTGAAATGTTCAACTGCTGGATATGGAACACTCTGAACTCTGAGTTCGATGGTCAGTTTATAGACTATAGTCGCACCAATTCTTTAAAATTTACGCATGCAGTACGCACGATTCAAGACACACTATTAGCACAGAATACCTAACAGAAGTAGAACTCCTGTACTTTTTTCGTAAGTGTGATTCGTCATGATTCGTCACTTAGCAAGTGCATTTTTTGGAGGCAGTCACCCTCCTGCCAATGTTTAAAATCAGACCATTTTCAGTATTGGCAGGGGGGTGACTACCTCAAAAAAATGCACTTGCTAAGTGACAAATCATGACGAATCACACTTACGAAAAAATAGTATAGAGTTCTACTTCTGTTAGGTATTCTGTGCTATTAGCCTGAATTGGCTGGCGGGGGAAACCCGAGGACAATAAGGGATACAGGGGCTGTAAATTGATACCATATTTGGAAATAGCAAATTCGTAAGAAATATTTTTTACTTTAAAAAAACAATAGTTTCATGATATGTAAAAGGTGATCTTTTTCGCTGGCTGGTTTCTTTTTGTAAAAAAAGCAGTGGACAATGTCATCTTCTGATGAAAGTGGTTCTGACGTTATTGAAGATTTGGGCGTAAGTACAACCAGATAGGAATCGGTCATAATATAAAAAATATTCATTACTTCATAAAAATAATTCCTATTTAGTTTGGTCTAGGTTTTTGGGATACTTTTTGAAATGTGCCTTTTGAAATTGTACTTTCTTTTTGCACCGTTAGAGAAAATTTCTATAAATTCGGATAGAATTTTCATTCATCAACAATTCAGTTTTTTGTTAGTTAATATGATAATAGAATGGGTTAACTGGGTTAACTTATTATCCCAATTCCCAACGAGCTAATCTCAAGATCTCCGAGAGCAACCGCTATGAAATTCCTCAGACTTTAAGTTACGGAAAATATGGTATTCATTTTTAATGCCACTGGCACTACGCACTTGCCTAAAACCGATTTGTTAAAAAAACGCTTTCAAAAAAAAGTATGAATATGACACCCTCTCCTGATTAAGCGTCTAGGCTGACTAGCGACGGCCTGTGAAGAACTAAAAAGTCCAATGTTATCATTGTAGGAATATGTGGGCGAGAGAAACGAAGCGGGAGAGAGGCACGGTGTTGGTAAGGCTCAATTAAAGAATGGTGACATATATGATGGTAGTTACAAGTATGGAAGAAGAGATGGTCCGGTATGTGTTATTGCCTTTGGAGGAAAAAGGTTGTAGTAAACAGCAGTGCTAGACAATTATTTCGTAACATGACAAGGTCACAAGGATAACGATTGGTAAGAGGAGACATGCGCAGAATTAAGTCATCGAATTACGCGGTGAAATCATGTCAATTCAGTCAATTTTGTTCATCCACTACGCGTGGATAGACGGTAGGACCATTGCCATCATAACCGTGTTCAAGTTTAACACTGTCATTGATAACAGAATTCATAAACAGAACAGAAAGACTTCAAACGACTGCAGCATATACTGCACATATCTTCAATCATCATTATCATAGAGTCAATCATAAGACATAAAGTTTATGAAACACTAATGCTTGTTTAAAATATTTAATGCATCCTCTGCAAATACTGTATACCTAGGGTATGTATTTCTTCATCGCAAACAATGCAAAATACGACGGCACTTACAAGGAGGGTGAAAGGCATGGTCATGGCACGATGATATATCCTGATGGCAGTAAATACGAAGGTATTATTACTGTGATGGTGTAATTGGTGTTACTCTGAAATACCAACCGGGCGAACTGAAAAATTAGCTTGACTACGGTGGAGATCGAACCCGCGATTTGGTAGTCCAATGCTCTTCCAACTGAGCTGCCAAGTCAAGACGATTCGAAAAGGCCGCGGGTTGGATTCTTACCATGGACTTGGTCAAGCTAATCAGCTTGCTCGGTTGGTAACTCAAGAGTAGCACCATCACAATATCAATTCATACACCAGAGTCATATGCACTGGCACTAAATACGATAGTTGCCATATTACCAACCGCGTGGGCCGTGGAGCGTAGATTGGGTAGAAAATCTTGGCTTGCGAGGTTGCCGTATTACTACAATATATAGGAAACACAGACAACAGAATACGTTTACTCTGTACACAATGTCAATTTGAATTTTGAAGGGGTGGTGGGAGATGGCTTTTCCGTCAGGATTCGTCAGAAGATGACAATGATACTTAAAAAATATATTGCATTTGTTATCTGCTATTAGCATTCTATATAACCATAGTATAACATTGAAGTACAACATTGAAGCTCTTACAAGTAATTTGGGGATATTCCAATACAAATTGCATTTGTGCTACATATATTACCAACAAAAAAATTACAAATTAGTAAATTGGTAGTTTAAAATCTCAAAGACAAAGGGGTTGAAATGTTGGCAACAAGCACGGGGAGCAGTGAGCATCTATACAAGTTCACTAATCATTCAGCATAGGTTCACGGGTAAGTTAGTTCAGGCTAAAATGCTCTGAGGACATCATCTACATTAGCATTTGAAAAAAGCAAATATCAAACTGGGCATATTCAAGCTTATGAAGAGCAAAGTATCAACATAATGACTTTTCCAAGGCCTTTATACAGTATATACAGTATATATATATATATGTGATCTCACAAAGAAAACAGAAATGCAAATTTGATAGTATTAATCATGATTGTAAAAAGTCAGGAAGATGTCCAATTACAACATTTAGTTTGTACGTGTAACTAATCAACAAAACTCTGCCAGATAGGTGGACCAGTCAAGGCCATACATTTTTGATCTAATGTAAAAGTCATATGGTCCCAATTCATTGCATTTATAGGGTTCTAGGTATTACAATGCTAGAGGAAATCTTAAACAAGCCAGCTGGGTTTCAATATAAATGGACTTAGGGCCTGTTTATATGATCCTGTCCAGCTGGAAATATACGGTTTCCAAGATCTTGGTTGTAGTGCAAACACTATTAATGAGTGTTTATATGATCACTCCTCCACCCCGTATATCCACTCCATATATAAAACATACAAAATATCCTGCCTAGGCAGGTTTCCTGGTCAAACGGGATGTTAAAATGTCTCAGCTAGACGGGATCATATAAACAGAACAGAAAGATTCAGAAAAGTCACAGTAACTGGACTGGTCTAGACTGGCTCATCTAATAAATAGAATGTTATTCTTGAATACATTTTCTGATCTTAAACATTTAAAAAACACCCATTGTTGAAAATCTTACACTTACTGTATGGTACATCAATTTCTGTATTCTGGCGAGTAAGACCGACTGCGGCTGTATCTATACCCTTTATGTTCTTTCCATCGCATTGACACTTCCTTTAAATCGTCATCTCTCTCCTGTTTTTCTTGTTCTTTCACTTCTTTTTTCTTTCTTTCTTCCTTCTTGTCTATTTTCAATTGCTTATTCAAAGCTAGCTGCATTCTTTTCTTTAGTTTTTCCTGGGGAGTAAGCTTCGCCTTGTCTCCTGCCGAAGACAACTTAGTCTTGTCAGACTTCATCTTCTCATAATCTGTTGTTTTTGTTCTTTTGTTACTTGAATAACTATCTCTTGAGTGCCGCTCACCAGATGATGAACGAGATCTGCTTCTACGATAGGATCTCCGTTTGTATAGAGGTGAACGAGAACGTGATCGAGAACTGGATAGATATTTTGTCCGATGTTCACGTGATTTCGACCTAGATCTTCTTTCAGAATTATATTTCCTGCAATTTTCTGATCTTTTTTTAGTTATGTTGTCCATAATCATCATCATCGTATGTTTTATGTTTGCTTTTCACTTTCTTTTGATCAGAACTTTTTTTCCTATCACTGTATGTAGAGTTGCTATCCTTGCCAGCTGGAGAGCCAAACTCAGTTATATACTCGACTTTCGTAGGCTCTCCATCTGATGAGGATGACCGTGACCTTGACCGACTTTCACGGTAAGCCTCGTAAGAGGGACTCGCCTTTCGTAGATAGCTTAATGGTGAGGTGGTCACAGTTCCCCTTTGTCGATCCTTCATTGACCGACGATCCCTCTTTGCACGCCTCCCACGTAGCTGACTCCTCGCTTCCTCTTCATCCTGAACTTTCTGCACATGTTCGGCCTCATCTTTATCTGCTTTTAACAGTGAACAATATCTATCTGCCTCCATTCCAAACTTTAGAGCTAAGTTGTCTAGTTGATCCCTCTGCTCATCATCCAACTCATCAACATCAACAGCAACATCAATGTCTAAATCCATGTCGCTATCGCTATCACTGTCTTCGGAATTAGATTCACCTTCGTTCATTACAAGATTACTGTTTTCATACGTATAGCCAATACTTGCCTTTGGGGCTGGTTTGTCTTTCTTTTCCACCAGGTCCGCCTGCACTCTAGGATTCTCTTCCTCCTGTCGGAGTTGCCTCAAATACACCTCTTCCGTCGCCCCAGATGCCTCTATCATAACCAGAGTACGGTAGCGCTCGTAATTCAACTTTTTCTCCTCTGAACTTGTCATTGAGCTAGCAGCATGAGCCAACGTGGGTTCTGGGATGTAATCCAGATGAGCTCTCACATCAAATCTATCAATCATAACATTTTTATCACCTTGCCAGGGCATCATATTTATATTGTCCGAGTTTTGATGTTCGATGTGGATCTTGCAATTCGATCCCTGAATCCGTAAAAACGTTGTCGGGTCGGTTTTCATTCGTTCGTAAAAGGCCCTTCTTCGTTCAGCGCGCTTTTTGTAATTCACCATTATACAACGAATCTTTCGCTCCTGCTTTCTCGCTTCGTGCCACATCTTTTGCACTTTAAACAACTAACCTCGCTATAGCAAGCCTTTCCAAAACAATACAAGCTCTACATCAACTCAGCTTTATCCAGAATAACCGAAAAACGCGTAAATTATTCGTTCAAAATATGTTATTAAACTCAACATGACCATGCATGGCCATGTTGATTCACTCGATTCTCTTCTGACCACTGACCACGCGCTAACTAATTTCAATACTTCACAAGTTGGGACAGTGGAGACATTTCTATGCGGGCGATGGATACACGGACATACGGATAAAAGATTACGGAGATGGCAGACGTACATCATACCAGAATATGCCACGTAATTTCCATGCATTGTTGAGCGATGTAAACTTATGGTGCTCTAAACTTAGAGTGTTACCATAGGCAGCCCAAAAATGTTTTTATTCTCGTGGCGCTCGCGCGTGTACACGAGAGCGCCACGAGAACGAAAACATCTATGGTGGTACATAGTTACAACAAATAGTTACAACAGTTTACTAGTTTTCGAAACTTGAAAGTTGTGCCGTAAAATATATATATTGGTCATTGGGTTTTCTCTAGCAATATAACTAGATTTTTAACTTCTCTGAGGAAAAAAGGGCTATTTTACGTACAGAACAACTTGAGTGAACATAATTAAATTCCTGCTTTTCTTAGGTACATGGGATCATAACAAACGCCAGGGGTATGGGATATATCACTACGCTAACGGCGATAAATATGAGGGAGAATGGTTAAACGATCAGAAACATGGTCAAGGAGTATATGACTACAGACATGCCCAGACGAAGGTACTGAATAGTACAATTCGGAAAATAGTCGCTTAGAGTACTATTGATTCTAACCAAACTTCTCTTACCGGGATACGTGACACCCAGGAAAGTACTCCACCGGATTAAATTAAATGCCGACTAATGCAGACTTCTAAAGCCAATCGTAAGGCTCTTTTCCGCCGTCAAATGAAACGTTGAAATATAACCAGGAGGCAGCGTGGCAGCGTCTTCAAACAACTTCGCTTCAAGTGTGGTATAACAATTGCCTGAAATGGACAAAAATATTTCTCGAAAGTTTCGACCTAGAGGCCTCCGTCACACGGGACCCGTCCGCTCTCGAGGACCGTCCGCTCTCAATCGTCCGGTTTTCCCGTGTGAACACGTTGAACCAGTCAAATTTTCATTCGTTTTTTCATTCGTTAATGTGAATGTCATCGATGGTGTTAGTCAATTTAGTCACGATGCCGATTTTCGCGTTTACTTTCAGTTCACGGGGATGTGGAATATGGGTAAACAAGAAGGCATGGGAACTGTCGAATACCCACAAATGAAATTTCGAGGATTTTTTCATATTGGATATGTATGTATTATCAAGCATGCAAAGTTAACATTCGAAAGCAATCCACTTGAAAGCCTAAACTATAGTCTCAAACTATTCTGTCTGTCTATAGCCAATTGGCATTGGAAAGTTCGTGTTTAATCGTGGTTATGAGCAAAAAGGCATCTACATCACAGAGGAACATGTAAGACTCAGTGGTTGTTTTTAATATTTAAATACATAAAGCTGCTTTTATTACTTATGCACCATTATACTTGTACATACATAATCGGTGATCAAAAACTGATCATATAATTCACTATATAATCCGCTAAAGGTGAATGTCAGGCATAGTGGAGCTACCTAAAGAAACAAGAGCGGCCTAGCTACTGTCTACCGCCTTCTGAAAAAAGCGTCTTTGATTTTGCTCGAAACCTCAAGATTGTCTTCATGCTTTTCCGAATAGTCAGAATAAGCTTTGCAAACCGTCTTAAAAACACAGCTTACAGCCTTACACGCCTTAAAAAACACGGCTTACAAATCTCAAATTTAAAGATCTAAAAGTAAAGAAACTGTCTCACTTCCCTGGATCATATGTTTTGTTTATACAGGAGAGGATCGTTGACAGCGATATCGTGACAGAGAAGACGTCACATTGGACATCCGATGGTGGTATCGTTGAGACTCAAACTGGACGAGAACCGTTTACTGCAGAGCCGGTAGTGCCGAATAAGCCTTCTTCACCGACATGACACTTGCCAAGGTCCACTGTTTTGTTTCGTGTTACGTTCGTTGACCTGGCCGATGCGTTTTTTAATACTTTATGTATTTTAGCAAAAACGAAGCAATAGGAAGATTTAGCAGTAGCTATAACTACCAGTTCGACAATGAGTTAGCGTTTTGTCATTTTTATGAAAACAGGAAGCAGAAGCAGATGAGAAACGTATAAGCACTCCAGAGACACTATAGCAGAAATCGAACCTCCACCTCTTTAATTACAGAGCGGTGCGCATACACTGACGAAGGGGGAGGGGGGGAGGGCGTGTGGGGCTCGTGCGATTCCTGTCGGAGTACGTCTTTTTTCAGAGGTCTTTTTTTCGGCACGTTCCCTGTCCGGTCTTAATAATCGCATGTTTCTTCCTTTCGACATTCGATTTATGTTCGAATATAACGAAGAAAATGTAATACCCAGTCCTGAACAACATCAAATGGTTTGGCAATAAAAATCGGTTTAAGGAAATCTTTGCGCATGGTTGTAAGGTCAGGCGGCGACATCCACCTGCGAATTTTATCGAATCTTTCTTCCACAAAAGCCTCACGACTGCGACCTCCATAGTTACTGCTAAAGCTTCCAACTAGTAGTACCCGTTGGCTACTACTTGGCTTGTACTGTTTATAATTATAAGCTAGTATGACAGTATTGCACTTGCAATTGGTCTTGCTTAACTGGAGTTTATTGCTTAATTATACAAAATTTGCGTTACAATCCTTGCGTTACAAACCTTTTCTTTAAAAATGGAAGTATAGTTTGCTGTCTAATCTAATTTACAGAATTGATAAAATTCATTTTATGTGTGGATCTCATATGGCTCATGTGCCTTTTCGCTTATTTTACAAAAATATTGATTTTCAGTTACTTTTTGGGAAAACAGGGATTGATTTTTCAAGACGTCTTTGACTTTGGTGTGTGTGTGTGTTTTATTCAGTCATGTCTAGGGAATGTATAGTTATAGGAGTTACAAATTTTTGCCAAATGTGGCGGCAATTCAAATCAAACTTATCCAATGACAAAAATTTGTTAAAAAACATTGGCCCGGCCGGTGAAATTTTTTCGTCAACGGGAAGCGAAAAAATAAAGTGGAAAACAAGCTCAATCATCCAATCAGTGACGCAAACAGTGCTCATTAGGCTGATTGGTTAATTAATTTCTTCATTATCTGCTTGACCTTCGTGACGTGCAGACCTAACTTGCTGACCTCTGACATAATTGTCTCAGAAGCTTACGAGAGCTATGGCACCCAAAGCTAGGAAGTCGAAGAAAGCTGTGAGGAGCGCTGGCGGCTCCAAAAAATCCGTAAGCATTGAAATGGTGAAGCAAGCAGTGGCTGCCCTTGGTGACAGAAATGGTTCGACGATCAACGCGATCTTCAACTACTTGGTACGAACGAAAAAAGTGTCTGCTGCCTCCCGAACGCTTGTCATCCTTGCGCTGGGACGTGCTTGTCGTGATGGAAGTATGGCCAAGAAAGCGCCCGGAACTTTTGTCCTTCAAGCTGGTGGAAAAAGAAAAGCCGCTTCTCCCAAACGACGCAAGCGCAAGGCCAAGCGCGCAAGGAAGAGCAGAGCGAAGAGCGCCAGCAAAAAACGTCGCCGACAACGCAAGCGCAAAAATCTTAAGAAGAAAGCCAAACGAAGCACGAAAAAGCGAAGCAGGAAGCCCGCACGAAAGTCAATGAAGAAATCAAGAAAAGCGCGAAGAAGCCGCAAGCCGGCACAAAAGGCCTTCAGGAGACCGGCAGCCAAGTCTGTGCGAAGACGGCCAGTGCGAAGGGCGGCAAGACGCATCAACTATCGCGAATAAAAAAAGAACTATGTCAATGAAAGAACTTTACAAGAACTGAGTTCAACTTAGGAAGAATTAAGACTTAAGATCTGAAAAGGACATCTTTAGTGATAGTTATTGTAGCGAAGCCAGCCTGTATTCATAATGTAACAGACCGTTTATAAAGAAGTGATCAAAGCACATTGTACTATCCTGAGCTTTTAGAATGAAATAAACAGTTTGAAAACAAATGCAATGCAATGCTTGGCTGATTTGTTACAAGCAAAGGAAAGCAAACTCTTTGCAATTATTTCTGAAGATACTTCGTTTCATCGCCATCGGCATCGGCTTTCCACCGATATTTCGAACAATCGTTTTGAAAGAAATTCGACTCAGTTACACGTTAAACACATAAACACTCGTAAAAAAGAGTCTCGCATGAGCATATCGCATAAATGTTGCGCTTTTATGCTATTTGAAGGGATTCTTGATGGATTTAGAGATAGGGAACAATCTCTGGTACGGCGCCATTTTGATCCTTCGACCTTCTTCTCCAAAATTTACAAATGCGTTATTTGTGACGTCACAATAGCTTGATTGGATAAGATTAATTGAAAATGCAGCATGTTTTGCAACTCAAATATAAAGTTAACCACGTAGTGATGTTCGGAAGACAGCGAACATTCTCTTGTTAACAAAAAAATACAATCCCCAACCAAAAACTTTACTGATTACCTATACATTGTCATTCGATCAGGAGTGCACTGTCCTGGTTAATTAAAACTGCCTATTGTTAGAACGAACTGCATGCATTACTGCATGCCAATTGTCAGAACGTGCATCCAGAGCGTGACTTTTTGTTATAGAGCTGTGGCCGGTTGTGTGAAAGCCGGATAGCACTATCTACCGGATAGTGTTTTTTTCAGTCGCTTTAAAATCGCCTGTTGTTTGCTATAATTTTGATTAAATCTTATTATTCCTAAATCAAGGATCCTCTTTAATAATTGCAGGTCCCAAATATGAAATTTTATCGCTTTTCGAGCATTTCTAGAACGGTTGAAAAAATCACTATCTGGTAGATAGCGCTATTCGGCTTTCATACAACCGGCCCTTGATTATTGTAAAAACTATACCTAGTAAGGTATAAAGTTATATTACATGGAACAACTTTCAACATCAACTCGCAACGCAAGTTTTTCTTTACACAGAAATTGTTTCGGAAACAAGTTGAAAGTTTATGAACTGTTTTCAACCCACACAAAATTGCGGGTTCACGGATGTTGAAAATTGTTACGTGTTACATCGCCTTCATCGTTACATCTTAATTCCCATTGTTAAACATGCATATTTTCAGAACTGCATACTACAGGGGGTGTCCCAAAAAAAACCTAAAACTATTGAAATCACTCATTGTTAAAATTTGAATGCCGTGTTCACGAATTTCAGTCCGTGGGGATTTAATGCAACTTATAAAATGCTAAATGTTTTGTATTGCTAGAGAAAGGGGACAGGTCGAAGGTCATGGTCCTTGAGATGCACATTTAAATAATGTTATCCATATTTGTAAATTGTAAATATTGTTAATAAATATCATTTTTGCGAACAAGCAAATTATACTGCATCATATGCATGCATAAAAATGAGTATGGTGAACATTTATACATCTGTGGGTCCCAACAGAGTGCTTAGGCATTCAAACTCTAACAATTACATTGTTATGGGTGATTTCAATAGTTTTCGGTTTTTTTGGGACACCCTGTAGTATTTTAAGTGTCCGCTGTTAGATTAATTAATTTTAGATGTAATTACGCCCCGAATCCAATTCATTGTTATAATTGATATTCGAATTTTATATGTATAAACTATAGTTAATCTATTTATATCCATTTGTAGAACAGCCCAACTTTAAACTTTTTAAAACTCAAGACATATTATATAATTATTATCTCATGATAACCAGGTCAGGTGTATGGCATGATTTCAGGGAGAACCAAGAACTCCTTCTCCAATATTTTAAATAAACGTTCGCTTCTCATCAATTGGAAAATCGTTTTCTACATCCGAATCAACAAGAGCAAAGACGTTCTCCTCAACATCTTCATTCTGCGGTGATCCAGCCGCGGTATTGAGTTGTTTATAATGTAAGTAATCTCCTAGTTCCTGATTTGGAAGATCGTCTTCCAGTGTTTCTGATAAAGGTCTGTTCAATGTTTCATCCAACATGAGACTAAAGAATGCCGCTGTGAATGCACCCATGCCAAATATCATCATTGGCAACGGACGTGTGTAGCTTCCCTTTAAGGTAAAACATATATACAAGGCTTTAATGTTTCGCGATTATTATGTTCAATCCTCTAAAGTCATAAGAGGAAAAAAGTCGCGGGAGTGCTCTGTAACCCTCATACATCACGGACAGCCCTCTTGCACATACTTGTTCTCGTGCACTAGAGAATGTGCATAGCACGAGTGACTTTTGGTCTCAGCTAGTACGTCTACTGAAAACGCTCAAGTTGTTTCCTGTTGATAAAAGCAGGAGTACACAACTGATAAACATTTTGCACTGGCACGGATCAGGAAAACCAGATAATCACCACAGCTGAAAATACTAAGATATGTTCTTCGTTTTACAACATATTTTGTTGTCTTATACTAATCCTAGTATAGGCCTATACGCTCTTTTCACTTGTTGGCAATACACCTTTTGTATTATAGGCTACTTTTTGATCTATCGCAAGAAAATGCAATCAAATCACAACAGGCTGTTTCATGCATGTGATTTGATTGCATATTCTTGCGTAGATCAAAAAGTAGTCTGATGCAAAATGTGTAGTGTCGTACAAGGGAAATATCAAGTACTAGAAAAGCTTGCTAACAGCTCACTTGACTTAAAAATTACATCAAACTTTGCATCGTGGTATATACAACCTGAAACGTTATCAATAATTTACTCAAACTTACTAGAAAAACAATCATCGGTGCAACAATCGCTCCGACCCGTGCTGCCATAGAACAAAGCCCCAGGCCAATATTCCTTAAAAAAGAATTGAATTGACATTGGACTGAGTATTTTACCCCAGTTCAATATAAACGTTTGCAGGGTAAATAAAACTACAGATATTTGCTTTCACATCTCGTGAAGCGTTGCTCGAAGACTCTTAAGACCCATGTATGCAAACCAGGCCATCAAACCTTACAGGGTTAAACGAATGATTGTGGCCGCAACAGACTATTTACGACGTCACTCACCTGACAACAGTTGGAAATAATTCCGCTGAGAATATATGCAGAATTGAAAACGAGGCGGCAATTCCAAACTTTCCTAGGACGGCGGTGGCTGTTACGAGCGGGCTGTATGAGGACAATCCACCTGGACAAAGAAACGTGATGTGAATGGATACTGGTTGATAAATATCGATGTTCTTCCAGATCTAGAAGAGGTGTGACAGATGTGGGGGTACGGCGGGCAGGGAAAGAAGAAAACTAGTCGTGCAAATCCAACTGTATGACAATGCGTGTGTAAACATTGTCAGTTAAGGCAGCTAGGTTTTAGGGAAGGGGAAAAAACCTGCATGTGTGGAGCAGGCTGCAAGACTGTGACTCGAAGTAGTTCGTAAAGAATATTCTGTGCAGGATACTGTTGCATAAATGATGGTAATTTTGTCACATCGCCTACTTTGCATTTTTGACGGCATAAAATTACATAGCAAGAATTTAGGCTTTCTGCCCCCAAATGTTTTATCAATGAAGGGGGGAGGGGAACGCCGTGGCTACGTCTTCGCAGGAGAAACCGGATTTGCAACAGTTCCTCGGTACTTTGTCCATACCGGCAAGATTGCATGTTGTGTCAAATTAAAAGTACTGTATAGTCAACGTAAACTCTTACAGGTAGGTGCTTAAGAACATGAAAGAAAGTAGAATTTCTTACGGTTAAGCTGTTATCGGGGAGTTTAACGCTGACTCGGACAAGAATTGAATTGTCACTTATGAGTTTAAGATATCATCATCGTTGTTTACAACGTAGCTAATCACAAATTCACGCATCTTATGCACACAAGAGCAACTTAAAATAATAAAGTTTATAGTAGTTCACTTCCCTAAAAAGCCGTCGATAATACACAGTCAACAAGTTTTCTTTTCGACGAATAATATGAAGGAGTTTATTTTTGCCATCATTCGTTGTTTTCAGAAAATACTCGAAGAATCCTTCGAGTCTTCTTTATATACAATGTAAAATACATAACACAATAAGATCGCAAACCTGTTTGAACGAAGAGACAGGCCAAGCATGCCGCACCGCTCAGGGTCATACAGTAAAATACACTCCTCTTTCTGCCAATCCTGAAAGAAAGTTAATACCATTAGGAATTTGTGGGAACAAGAGCAAATATTACTGAAGATGCAGGTGTAATTTTCCTGTAACTATATATGATTGCTTCAATTTCATGGATAACGTCGTTTTTCTTACCAGTTGATTATACTAAATGAAATGAAATACGCTGGCAGTTCGATGATACTTGAAAGAAAGAAGTTCAGGAAAATATTTCCATCGATGTTCTTTGTATTGAATGACAATCCGTAATACACCAAACTGTTTATAAACCTTTAAGGAAAAGTAAATACACTATTTATTAGTTTCAAAAACCATGCCCAGCAGTTTTCTATGAACTTGAACTTGATACACAAGCTGTCCGAAACGGGTATGTATGCGGATTCAAAAATTGGACCAATAGTCTCGTCCTGTGCTATATTATTGCAGTATTGCTACAATATAGGATAAAAGCTTGTTGGCGATGTATGATGCTTGCCGGGTCTCCTGTTGCATGATCCTAGTTCCAGTGACATTTTCTGTGACTTAAGGTGGCTCCCTACAGTTTTAAGAATATTGAAATCTTGTTGTTTTGATTTAAAATTTTAGCACGAGATTTCTTGGTAAGTATAAGAAATTTCCCATATATATTTACCAACATTCTAACAGTCAGAAATTGCCCATAAGCATGACGTCATCACCGTTGTTATGGTAACAATGGCGATTCAATATGGCCGACATTTTACCTATTCACGCATTTTACTCGAAAACAAGTTCGGTTACCCCAATTTTTTATTTTATAAAAAGTTTTCTTACAAAAAAATGGGAAATTTGAGCAAGTTTAAAAAAATTCTATGGAGCCAAAAAATTTCTATAACGAAAAATCACGTTTTTTCATTTTTAATAATTTTGGCTCCATAGAATTTTTTTTAACTGGTTCATATTTTCCATTTTTTTGTAAGAAAACGTTTTATAAAATAAAAAATTGGGGTAACCGAACTTGTTTTCGAGTGAAATGCATGAATAGGTAAAATGTCGGCCATATTGAATCGCCATTGTTACCATTACAACGGTAATGACGTCATGCTTATGGGTAATTTCTGACTGTTAGAATGTTGGTTAATATATCTGGGAAATTTCTTTTCCTTACGTTTCAATTTGCTCAATGGTCCTGCGCAAGCCTTTTCGGTTATTCCATGCATCGCTATCAGGCAAAGCCAAAATATTATACACTTAATGTATGCTCCCGGGAAACAGTAAGTTTTGTTCTCCCAAGAGTCTGAACATTGAGACTCGAGGGAAAACAAAACTCACTATTTCCCGAGGTGTAGCGAACATTAAGTGTTTTGTTATATAGGAACAAAAACATACATGTTACACGACAATTTCATTTCAAAAAACTTTGTTATGACAATATGCGGGCAACAATTTTTCACTTGTTTCCCTGGCGGGAAACATTGCATTTATTTAAAGTCATGTGACTACGAATGAACCAATCACATTTAAAGCCCCGTTTACACGATATTCAATTTATTGACACGGCATGGCTAAAATGGGTGTCCGTGCCCATTTCATTTGTGCTCGGCCTTTGTTTTGGTAGCCTGAACACTAATAAAATTGGGTACGGGACCAAGTTTTATCCGTGCCGTGCCAATAAATTGAGTGTGATGTAAACGGGGCTTAAAATACACAGCACCTATATAACAATTTAAATTATTTGGATTTGTAGAAACGCTATACTTGTACTTTCTATATACGGCTTAATAGGTTCGTTACTCCGAGCTTTCATCGCAGCGCAACTCTCTGCTTATAACAGAGAGTTACTGAAGTTTAAGGTAGAGTTTAAGTATTATTATATACCCATGCAAAATTTCAGGAATATTATCAGGCAGACGATTGCAATTGTTACAAACGATCTTTTTAAATAGCGAAATTTTTATAAAAGTCGCAATTGACTAATAAGAATTTAAAGACCTTTAACGAATTCTTTATGAATATTTCTCAAAGAATCTAAAAAGGCTTCAAGGATCTTTCAATGCCCAAAAAGATAAGATTTTCAAAGACTTTTATGATCAAATTCAAGGATTTTAGAGATGACATCTTCGATGAAACCTTATGATAACGAAGGCAATTTTTGCATCGTTTCTTCGCCTCCTTATTATCCCAACTGAAACTTGTCATGACCACAAAATATTAACTTACCATATTGAAGAGATAACAATAGTCTTTTTTGCAATATAGCAATTCCTAAATAATTCTAAACATCCATGATAACTACGTGAAAGCTGCATAGGTCTTCCTATTTGTAGTAACGTCTTAGGTAGAGCTAGTCCATTGTATAAGGCAGTTTCACTAAGAATGTCTTCAGCTTCGCTGACACGTCCCACAATCATCAACCAACGCGGAGACTCAGGGACACTCCTATATAAACAAGTATAATCATGAGTAACTCTTCTCTTCAAATCCCTGGAAAATGGTTGGCCATTGATCAGACTGATGACTGTTGGCCATCGCAAGCAAATGTGAGCGTTACAATCTTGCGTCGCTTGGTCCTTATTCAAAGGCATCACGATTCACGACCAGGCGTTATACCATGCATGCTCCCAAGGGAACGAGAATTTCACCCACCTTATAAAAAACGTAAAAATGACACCAACTAAAGACAAAATAAAAGACAGTTTCCTCCAGTCTTGCAAGAAATACGCAAAAGCGGGCAGCAACATCTGTCCGAAAGTGAAAAAACACGAGGAAAGCGCTCCAGTTATACCGCGATATGATGGTCCTATGAGTTCAGTGACCAAAACAAATCCAGTAAGAAGAGCCCCGCCCGTGCCAACTCCGGCAACGAGACGTGCGACGTAAAGTACGTTCAAAGATGTTGAAAACGCAGTTGCGACACCACCGAGCACCATTAGTATGTACGAAATGCACCAGGACGGTCTACGGCCGTATTTATCAGCAAGCATCCCCAATACCAGGCCGCCAAGCAGAGCACCCATCATAAATACAGACTGAGACAATTCCACTTTGTAAGCATCTTCGCATATCAGGTTCCACTAGATGGTATAATTAAATAATTCATTTGTTAGCTTCATTGCAAAACTAGAGCGAGTGCGTTGAATGTAAATATTAGCAAATTATTTTCTTCAGAAAGAAGTAATGATACTCGCTTTTGCTAAAGATCGTTCCGCGCAGATAAAGCCTGATTCTCATATATATATCGCCCACGGTCGGCGATGTATTGTACGAAGCATTTTATTCTCCAGTGATCACCGACAATGGTCATCGCCGACCGTCGGTGACATATGAGAATCAGGTTTTATGGCCAAATCTGTCCAAATTCTGAATACTCTTTTTTGACGTGCATGAATATATTGCCGTTTCAGTTAACCTGCTATTTGCCAAAGTATTCTATAAAACAGGGGTGTATTTGGGAAGAAGGAAAGCTCGACTATTGTTACATTATATTAATTTGATATATTAATTCGAGGGAGCCTTACATAATTCATAATCTCGATCCTTGAATGTGATTCTTTGTGAGTTCTCACTAAGCACAAAGGTATACAACTTGCCCTCTACAGCTAACTGATTTGTTATGCTAATCTATTGAAATGTCTTTCATATAAACCATTCACTGTCTGACACGAGGCCGAGGATCTGGCCAATATATACAGCAGTGGCAGACAACGTTTATTTTGCATAATATGTTTGTTTCTAAAAGCAGAGCACAACTGCATATAGACCTTTTTGTTAAATATATATATCATTCTTTCAAAACACGTACACGAATGTATCCTAGCTTACACGGCAACGTACCGCACAAGAACGATCCCGATTCGACTATGTCTATTCATGATGATCTGACTCTCGTTTATTCCTTCCAGATTTTTTATCACTCACATCGATGTAATCGCAGACATTATAATTTCGCTGTAAAACATGAAGGATAAAGAATTCTATTTTTGCCGCTAAAGCATGGTTTCATATTAAACAATTTCGAATTATACATTGAACTAACGTAGTAGGTTTGTGAAACTGGACACTAATTAAATCGTACTTATATATATCAAGCCTAAATATTGCATTATTGGCACAATTTTAGGATCCAATGTCGCCTCGCAACTATTCGCTGATATTCATGCCGGACTGCTCAGTAATTTTGAAAACCCCGAATCATTATGGAACAAATTTTTACCGCACAATCGTATGCGTAACACTCCCCAGCTGACAGTCGAGGTTCACGCCAGCAGCAAAATACGAAGCGTTAACGCGGCTAAATAGCTATTTAATTAAATTCGTTATGACCTACCTCTGAAGCAATGGACGTGTAGGTAGAGGTGTAACGTATTGTTTCACAAGATCGTTCTCCCGTGGGACAAGTTTGGCTGATGTTTAAAGCAGAACAATGCCAGCGAGGTTCTCTCGCAATAAAGATATTCATCAGCATTTGAAAGGCAGCGGGAATAATGGCCAGATTCACAAGGATATACAGTCGTTTCTGATACGGCCCGAACTCGCCGATTATCCTTAAAACGTGGTCGAATTCCATTGTTTTCCAATTGCCAGGGCCGTGAAAGATTATTTATATTATATCTCCATATAGTTACATTGCGGTTCTCTTGTGTTTTCATCATACAGTAATCATATGTCTCGCGTTGATCCTTTCTTTGTTATGAACAGGTAAACGATTGAAAGTTCCGTGTTCAGACAGCGTGCGAACTGTGGGCGTGCGCGAATATACTGTCATGAATTTAACATGAGCTTCGTGTTTATAACTCACCAAATAGATTTTTGTTGAAACGGTGGGAACCTCGAGTGTATATAGAAATAAATTATTGCTCCTAGCATCTAGCAATCTCCATTTGTTTCCGTAAAAGGACGGTTTTGTTTCAAACATTTTGCTATTCTATGCATGCATTCGCCATTTTTTCCAATTGTGAATAGGGATGCAGGAGTCTTTCTAGTCTAAAATACAAGAATTTTCCATTTCTGGCTACTCAAGATCCGGATTTACAGAGCCCCGTTCGGGGTGGGGGACATGTCTCGCAGAAAAAAATATGAGGGATTGAGGTATCTGAAATCGCATTATCAGCACCTCTATATGAGAAGAGCATTGCCTTACACAAACCTGTATAATATATAAAACATCTAACTGCAAAACTGCTCAAACCTGAAAACATGCAGACATAGAGAAATCAGGGCCTAATTGAAATTCATGTTATAGTCTTCGCTTCTTCTTGTTCAAGCTATTTTGGGCGCGAATATTTCACTAAATTCTCTCACGATTCCACGTCTAAAACTAAAAACAGTAAATTGCATGTTCATCTGTGCGGCGGCATTTGTCCAAATCTATTTTAGTCGGTTCTTCCGCTATATCCAATTGTTTGTTTGGTTTGGAAAAAAGATCTTTAATTGCTACAGATCACTTAGCCTCCTCCGCAGGCATCTCTTATGTATTCAGTATATACAGATCACTAACTTTAACTGATTTTATTGTATTGATAGGCTTTCAAATAACAATAAAAGCTTTCATTTTTTATGCTAAAACTGTATATAGAAACAGAGGAAAAAATGTTTTCTATTTCTTTTATAATATAACTCAATAAAAAGATTTTGTACAAATATTATAATTCGACTCAATTACAAATTCTCATCACATTACTTTGCTTGTTAAGTACGTTCGGGGGAAAAGTCCCGTGCTAATCTCTCTCGTTCTTGAGCATATTTGGCTTATTTTTAGAACACTAATAAAGTCAGGTACCAGTCAGGTACCTTACAAAAATTGACCATTTTCGGAAATTTTCTGAGTTGTGTTAACATGCCGAAAATAGCTTCAAATGTTTACTCGGTTTGTTTTTGGAACATTGAAAAATTTGTCAATTTTGGGCAAAATAGTAATAGGGTACCTTTAGACAATGACTAAAGGCCATGTTACACGGTGCAATTTTTCTTGCAACTTGCAATGCAGTTCTTCTTTTGAGAGATGTAAATTTGGCAACTACCAAACTTTTGTCTTTAATATACACTCTATGTCGTATCTTACACTTACGCATTGAAAACTCTTCACTAATTTACATCTCTTACAAGTAGAATTGCATAGCAAGAAAATAAATTAATTGAAAAGTGTGTTGTTCGCCAATCGGCTTTCTCCAAAAGATTATTTTTATATGGTGAGGCCATAAGGAAATAGGGTAAGAAAAATCGCCGTTAATTCGTTTAAACAAATGAAGGCGTCTTTCAGAACTATGATTTGCGTTTTTGAACATTGCAAAACAAATTGTCGTGTGTCCATGAATGGAAAATTTTAATAGAGTTTCCCTTTTTAAAAACGGTATAGTTGAAAACTGTTTGCAGTTTTATTTAAGACTATATAATATTATATGTGTTTAGTTGGCATGTTGCATTCCGCTATAGGCGCAATGATAATGCAATGTGAAATGGAAATGGTATCTGACAATGGCATGAATGACAGATTTTAAAATTTCTAGTAGTGCAAATAGCTCAGGTGAGTTAATATTGTGATGGTGTTAACTCTTTGTAACCAACCGGGCAAGCTAAAAAATTACCTTTACCGTACCACGGACACGGTAGAAATCAAACCTGCGATCTTTTTGGTTGGGCACACATTTAAAATAATGATTGTTCAGCAAAATGCGCTTATAGTTATGGTCTCTTGAATGCGGTATATAAATATGGTATGAAATAAAAAACGAACGGAAACTGTGAGCTAGAAAGATTTTTTGATTGGTCAAACATATTTCCTACGCGGTTTTTGTTAATTGGCTTGCGAAAATGATAATTTTACACGTAAAAATATCGTATTCTTACATGTGTTTAAATACGATATTTCTCGGTGGCGTTAAACTCAATATAACACTCATGTTGATATTATAAAATGAATTATATTCATGCGCTACGCAAATCCGTGCATGTACGACCCTCTGTGTTTTTACACAAATGCCGGAAACATTCGCGAACGACATGTATTTACATTAATTTCGCTCATGCAAGTGGAAGACAATATTCTCCATGTTGAATTCAGCTGTGTGGAACTCAGAGTTTAAAGGAACGAAGCAATTCTAAACGCATTAATTATAAAATTTCATCCGCTGTTCGTGGTTTATGGCAGTTCTATATGTATTGATATATACGAATTGTACGTTTCTTATTAATTCCAAATTTTTCCATGTTGAATTTTGTTAGGTGTTAAAAGAACGAGGCATTCCTATTGTATTAATATTTGTTGAGTTGCGCGTTGCTTATTGAAAGACAATATTTTCAATGTTAAATTAGGTGTGATTTTAAAAGAAGGAATCAATCCTATTGTATTAATTTGAGTTGCGTGTTGCCGTTAGGGATTTTAAAAAAAAGGGGACAATCCTACTGTAGCTATATTCATATTTGTGGATTGAGCGTTGTGGGTTGTAAAAGAACGAGGCAATCTATTGTATTTATATTGGTTGAGGGTGTGCGTTGATACAGGTCGATACGACATTCATTCATGATCAATTCAATTTTACGAGTCGTACGGGTCGTGTCTATTTGGAAATATTGGACATGTGTGGCGAACAGGAGATGAGAAGTTTCTTTTGCGACGTGGCGGTCGCGATTTTAAGATTCAGGCAAGGAAAAACCGAAGAAATATTGGCTAAACAAGACCGTCAAGCGTCTGAACGTCAGCGCGAATCTATCGAGAATGTCGCTAAAGCGATAAACAATATTAAAGAGACCGTAGAAGAAAAGAGATTTTCAAAGGGCGAGAGCGAAAAACACGTCGCTGAGTGGGCTAAAGAATACGAAGACGAGCTTGCTAAAGCGGACGAAAATGTGCGAAGATTGGCTCACCAAATCAATGAAATTGATCGCCGTGAACAAAACGAGAAAGCTGTGCAAGATCACAGGATAAACCTGGAATTTAATCGAGAATTAGTCAAGCAGAAGGCGGAATTTGAGAAAGAACGCGAGAAGGTAAAAGCACACGAAGACCGAAGCAGAAACCAACGAACAATGTAAATTAACGTCCGCCGCTAAATTGCCGAAATTGCTAATAACAAAAGTTAACGGCAAGTTTGAGTCATGGCTAACGTTTTGGGGAAAATTTATATCGGAGATCGACTCAACGAAAATACCAACATTGACAAAGTTTTCCTACTTGAAAGAATTACTTGAAGAGTCTGTACGTTCTGACATCGACGGCCTGCCATTTACCGAATAAGGTTATTCGAAAGCCAAAAATATTCTCGAAGCCGAGTACGGGAAGTCAGCCGAAGTTGTAAATGCGTATATAGTTAATATCACCAAACTACCAATGATTTCCGGGACAAATCCGGCTAAAATACACGATTTCTATAAGCGACTAAGATAGATATAACGTTCAAAGTCTTGACACTTTTGGCAAACTAGATGATGTGAGAGGAAATAATGTACGAGCAACTTGGACAAGTTGAAGGGAATAAAAGCAGACCTTGTTCGCGGAAAGAAGGCTGGCAAGAGTGGGACTTTCATGATCTTGAGCTAAAAAAGTGAAAAGATATCAACCCAATCGAGAAAAATCAGAGCCAAGAGAACGACTAAAGGGCGTGAATCCCAAGATGGAAGTTCTTCCACTCAAAAGATTCTCCACGAGACACGCGTGGGTGTGTGTATTGCGAGGATACCACGCACAAAGCCACGATTTGCCCAAAAGTTGTGGAAAGAGAGCAAAGGAAAGAAATATTAGCGGAAAAGAGACTATGTACAGGAAGTCAACATCGTGCTGCCAATTGTAAAAGCAAACTCAGATGTCAGAAATGTAACAAGAAACATCATACCTCAATTTGTGAACAATCAGAAGAACAATTGCTAGTCGCAGGCAATGGCACGAACACAAGAGTGATGCACCCAGTCGTGATATTCGAAGTTGAAGGTGTCAAGTGTAAAGCCTTACTCGACACAGGCAGTTCCTACGCATCTGCTGCACTTTTGGATCGTATTTCAACGCGGACGTCGAAGAAAGAAACCCGGAAAATCGACATGATGCTCAGTGTGACAACGAGGGAAGTCGAATTGTCGACCATTGAAAATCAAGGGAGGATCTGGTAAATTTTCTATGTCATTAGAAGTCACCAAGGTGAACAAGGGGGACTCTTATTCATAGACAATCCGAGATATCAGCACATGATTGAGCAAAACCCACCACTTGAAAGGAATCGTCATGGAGGACATTGACGAGAAAGAGCGTCTACCGGTTCACATCATTCTGGGAGCGAGCGAGTATGCGAAGTTGAAAACCGATGTGCCCCCCAAGGTTGGCCAACCAGGCCAACCAGTGGCAGAGTTGACACAGTTTGGATGGACTATTATGTCTCCCGGAAGGAGTCTTGCAACATAACCAACATGCTTTTGACTCAGACATCCCAGGCCGATTACGAAGAGCTGCGTCGTCTGGATATCTTGGGCTTAAAGGATACACCTACTAATGACCAGTACAGTGTGTTTGATGAGTTCAAGGAACAACTCACCCGGGACCAAAGTGGTTGGTACGAGACAGGCCTCCCGTGACGTGGCAAGTTTAACGAACAGACTTGGGCGTCAGGGTTTAACAAGCAAATACGGGGAGATAATCGAGAAACAAAAATCAGAGGGGATAATCGAAAAGCTGAACAGCCAAGTGTACGAAGAGAATACTACATC